TACGGTATATTATATCGCTGGACGTAATCGCGCAGCGTGGCTTTATTCCATCTAGAAAATCCCTTAACGATTGGCTTGATCATACTCATCATTTATATATATCAATATAATTTTTTTTAATTTTTTTTAAGAGGTCAGACTTTTGGATTTATAAGCAATCAGACTCACCGGCTGGTGAGGGAGATCTTCAAGACGAGAGATATTGAGCCCCGGTTTTGGCTTGGGGCTGAGATATCGGGAGGGGCGGGTGGGGTGGGGGCGTGGCTAGAGGGTGGGGGAAAGGGGGAGGGATAAAGTCTGGTACCTGCCCCTCTCCCCATTGGCCCTGTACTACCCCCAGACCTATGGCAAAGTCTGGTATCCGCCCTTCTCCCCTACTCCTGCATTGTGCCTCTGGCCACATGCGAAGTACGGTACCCCGACCTACTGGGGAGTTTGTCCAAAAATGTGCAAATTGTTTAACATGTACCATTGTGGTACAAGTACGGACGCCACTTTATACATGTTACATGTATATGCCACCAGAAATGTCAGTTTTCACCTCACCTTGTGATTTTATTGAAGACAAATTCATTAGACTTGGCAAAACTGAAAACATGTTGGGAGTCCCAATCATCCAGCACCTTGGGGTCATTAGTTTTCACTATTTCCCGACAAACCATGTTGTACTTTTAAAGTATTGCATTACAGATCAGAAGGCTACCGGTATTCTATGTTGGATAAATTTTCAATAAAACTATAATAGAACGTAACGTACGAATGGATTTGTTCCGACAATTCTTTCCATTTCTTCTATTGTTATGCAAATTGGTCTGCAAAAGCGCATCCACTATGTAGTAAACAGATTAGCCTTGACCTTTGACCTTCAATGTAAACTTTGTCATGTTTGCAGGCCCACTAGTTTAAACGCCTCACTATTTACCCTAAAATAGTCTGATACATACCTGTACATGTAATTTATAAGCAACCAATCCAGAACTACGTATATAATCATGTGACACCATTATGTCATCCTGCTATCCTGGGGAATTCCCATGGACTGCAATCCTGAATTGCAACACACGAGGAAACCAAAAATAGTTTATGTCCTGGTACGAGCGGACACGTTAGACACTTTCCTGAATGACTACAAAAACATGTGTTTTCAAATGCCAGGGACTAGGAGGTAGGGCAGACTAGGATCTTGAGTGGAAAAAAAAACATACAAAACAAAATCAGGCCAACTTTACTCACTGTTTAGATGGCAAACTTCTCCAAATTTTCATGAGGCAAAGACAAGGTCCTCAGTATTTCACCAGCAGAGTTTGAAGTCTCAATTCAATTTTTACCCTAAATGGTAATTTTAATCCTCCAAATTCCTCATGGCGGTTTTGGAGGATTGAAGATGAATGGTGTTTGAAAAAAAAAAAGGATTGAGGAGGATTGAGGAGGATTGAGGATGAATGGTGTTTGAAGAAGAGTAGGATTTCGGATGATTGAGGATGAATGCATTTTTTGAGGCAGGACTGTCTGACGATTTTGAAGTATTGAGGTGCTGGATACCCTTCATTTGAACATTTGAACAAAATGTTGGAGGATTGAGGAAGATTGTGGATGGTTCCTACAAAATGTAGCAAAAAGGCCCTGGGGGTTAGGGTTACTAAATCACATGAAAATCAATATTTGGTGCAAAAAGATGAGACAAACTGCATTTTCAGATTTTTTTTTTTTAAACTTAGACTTGCCTGTTGATATAGTGGCAACCTCAACTTTGTCTTAAAAAAATGCTTAGAGGTTTTCTGGGCTGATATTTCTCCCTGATTTGTGTTTTGCCTGATTTCTTCAATCAACATCAAGGTCTCAGTCTTGGCTGGTCTGATTAGGCAGGTATTTTTTTCCAACCTAATAGCGCTACAGGTGCATTTTCGAATATTATAGTTTTCGATCATTTGACCTGGCATTTGATCGAATATTTGAATATTCAAACATTGACATTGAGGTAAAAAATTATAAAGGTAACATTTGGACATGCACCTATATTTGTTCGAGACAGCAGACTAGTTGATGTATGACATGTTATTCAAATTAAAATTCCCCACAGAAGCTTTCAAAACATACTTATGACTGTCCACAAATATTTTGCATTTGATGAAGAATAAAACCACTCAACTTATTTCAATATTAGGTTTTGCCCTTCAACCTAATAATAATATTAATAGGCCTATATAAAGTAACTAATCAAACACTCGACTTAAACAACTTACATGTTAACTTACATCACGGAGGTTTCCATCGTCTTCTTGAGACCACTCACTTTTTCAAATATTCTCTTTAAAGGGAATATACAACATTTGCAAACATCGAACAATAAAATTACCAAGTTTTTAACGAAATACCTTACTAGGATGTTGGTAAATGACAGTCCCAAGCATCTTGTAAAATTATGGCACCTGGTGTGAAGTCATTTTCAAGAAAATTGTATTTTTGTATACATTTCCAACGGTGGTCGGCCAACCAGCGTTGGAAAAACCTAACTATTTTTCAACTACTGCTCCAAATTTACCATTTTTTCAGTCCAAATTTTGTTTGCTATCACTATTGGTTACATGTTCATAAACGGGTGCAGGCCAGCTAGACTGGTTCCCTTGCTTTACAATTTTCCATCATCTATAAATTGATCTATTTTATCTTTTGTGGAGTCAGGGAACCAGACTACTTGAACATTTTTGTTTTTCTTGGTTATTCCAACCTTTTCGAACACAAAACTTCAAAAATGTCAGTGTAACAATATTTGATCTATTATACTAACCCCTCAAATAGTTCATTTCTGAAAGTTACAGCAAAAGCCAATGATGTACATTCCCTTTAAATAAAATGCTATTTAGATATATTCAGTGGATGATTGTACAGGGTGTTTAAAAAAAAGGAAACCCAACTTCAAATAATGAGTATGGACAGACGATATGTTTACTGGCTATAAAACTGGTATCATCTGAAAGCGTCATCTCTATGCCTTTCAATGATACCGTGTTTAGGTTTTCTGAGTCATGCATCACTGAGCATCATTGTCTTGAAAACTGGATGCAAAAATGCAGTTGGTTCACTTTCATAAAAAAAACACTGGGCACGGTGTGCCTATTGTTACAGAAATGTCTGTGAAATGGCTTGAATGTTAAAGGGAATATACATCATTGGCTTTTGCTGTAATTTTCAGAAATGAACTATTTGAGGGGTAAGTATATAATAGATCAAATATTGTTACACTGACATGTTTGAAGTTTTGTGTTCGAAAATGCTGGAAAAACCAAGAAAAACAAAACTGTTCAAGTAGTCTGGTTCCCTGACTCCACTAAATATAAAATGGATCAATTTACAGATGCCGGAAAATTGTAAGGTAAGGGTACCAGTCTAGCTGGCCTGCACCCGTTCATGAACATGTAACCAATAGCGAACAAAATTTGGACCGAATTAATGGTGAATTTGGAGCAGTAGTGGTAGTTGAAAAATAGTTAGGTTTTTCCAACGGTGGTCGGCCGACCAGCGTTGGAAATTTTTACAAAAATACAATTTTCTTGAAAATGACTTCACACCAGGTGCCATAAATTTACAGGATGCTTTAGACTGTTATTTACCAGCATCCTAGTAAGGTATTTCATAAAAACTTGGTAGTTTTATTTTTCGATGTTTGCAAATGTTGTATATTCCCTTTAATACTCGGGAAAATGGCACATTGTTTTGAACATGGCTTGGTCAAAACGAGAAATTCATGACAAACAATAAAATCCAGTTTTGAAACCAACCCGACTTGTTTTTTGGTTTCTTTTTATGCACTCGTATCTTCTTGAATAATTATTCTCATGCACACCATGCCTATTGTGTTTGATATGAAAGTGAACCAACTGCAATTTTGCATCAAAATCTCATGACAGTGGCGCTCAGTGATGCATGACCCTGGAAATGTAAACAAGATATCATTGAAAAGCATAGAGATTATTATCAGATGATACCAGTTTTATAGCCAGTTAACATTTAGTCTGTCCATACTGGTTCTTCGAAGTTGGGTTTCCTTTTTATTGAAACACCCTGTATATTGGGGTATTCAGTATTTTGTCTGTGATATTTTGCAATTTAGTAGTAGAAACATTTATTTCAATGTTGCCATTTCCACACAATCAACAATAAAATGTTACAATGCCGTGTTAACGTATTATACAGAGCAAAATGCAAGGAGTTAAGTAATTGTGTATAATAATGTACAGGGATCAATACTAGACAAATTTACGACAACATTTAGGTATAAGGTGAAGTGTCACGCTTTTGTACCCTAACCTATCGACAGACAAGTGGACATGACCAAGGAAAACAGAGACAGTGACAAAGGACAAAATGGACAACAGTGAGACACACAAAGACACAACCTAGAAAAACACAAACTGGTATGAGACGAGGGCATACATCTAGATTCATAAATTATAACTAGTTGTTCGAATAAACGTAGAAAAACACAAACTGGTATGAGACGAGAGCATGCATCTAGATTCATAAATTATAACTAGTTGTTCGAATAAACGTAGAAAAACACAAACTGGTATGAGACGAGAGCATACATCTAGATTCATAAATTATAACTAGTTGTTCGAATAAATGTAGAAAAACACAAACTGGTATGAGACGAGAGCATGCATCTAGATTCATAAATTATAACTAGTTGTTCGAATAAACGTAGAAAAACACAAACTGGTATGAGACGAGAGCATGCATCTAGATTTATAAATTATAACTAGTTGTTCGAATAAGAATTGAGTAGATGTGATCTAAGATTTTTAACAAAGACAGAGAAGGAAGGTGCTGATTTTAAGAAGTCATCTAGACTATTCCAGTATGATGTACCACGTTGAATAACGCTGTTTTTAGACAATGTTGTTCTGTTGAATTGGACATATAATTTTCTCCTACTAGTGCTTCGGGTATTATACAAATGAATATCAGATGTTTTGTTGTTGCAAAATTTGCATCCTCGGGAGCTTTCAGATGAGGAGAAGCTCAAGTACAACGTGCGAGCCAAGACCTACAGCCAGGAACGCAAATATGAGGAAGCTGAATCATCAGGCAAGATGGACTGCACTGGACAACTCATCAGTGTGAGTTATAATCAGGCGCTTCACATTGCAGAGCGCCACCAATAGTTTGCCACGGAGATTTCATTTTTCCCAGTGCATTGTGGGAGATAGTTGACAAATCCGCAGCGCGGAACATTTGAAATTGTTCGTTTTTTCCGGTCGCTGGTCAGTGGTTTCATAAGCGAATGATTCAAGTTTATATTTGCCCTTTTCTTTTTGTTGTATTAATATGGTGATTTTTGGTAAGGCGGCAGAACGCTATGCCCCAATCTATAACAAATTAGCTCAAGTGTCTACTGACGCTTAGTCCAATGGGCCATGTTTTGTCGACCGTAAACTTGAAAAGTTGACTCTCCACGGCAAACTCGTGGTGGCGCACTGCATTGTGAATCGTCCGATTTGGGGTTGGGTGTTTCGTAATATTTTAACCCTAACCTTCCCAAATCCTCCAAAATCCTCTTTGCAAAATGGAGGATTTTGCAGGATTGAGGCTATGCGGTGGCAAAAATGTGTGGCAGATTTTTGAGGATGCACTGTGTCGAGGTCTTTGGCCGGACCTTGTGTTGTTTATGCTCAGCCGTGCTTTTGTCCGATCTCACCCCTGGTGATAATAATGCAAAGTGCTTTCATCTTAGTTAAAAGTGCCATAAGTATCCATTACAATGTTTTTTATATATTAAAAGCCCTTTCAAACTATGGAAAAAATCTGTGTGATTGACTCATGTTGAACTCTGAGATTTTGAGAGCCTTTTTCACACTGGCGAGTACCCAACACGCCTTCTACATGGATTGAGCCTTACCTGGGTTAACCTGGGTTAAAGATCAAAAATCTACAGCTGACCTATGTAAAAACCAGTGTGAGTGTGAACGGTATGCCCTGTTGCCCTGTGTTAAATCAGACCCATTTCTGCTTGCCATGCTTACCATTTCAACACAGGCATGACGATAGTGCTAGATCATATGTACGTGACCTGACCAAATGAAACGAGTCACAAATATCACAAGAGCTGCATTTTGAGTTATTGGCTTTCTTGAAATCTTGCAGGATGAAAACATAATCACACTCTCTGCGTACCGGTACAATTGAACTCAGTGATACATCAAAATGATTAACAGAGTACATAGTATGTTTTTGGCTGTACTGCATAAGAAACCGATTTGGATGGTGGGTCAGAGTATTAAACAAATTTAAACAACTTTGTCAATTTCAGTTGAGAATTATCAGCTTTTCTTGTTTCAAAGTGCTTTGCCCGTTTCCCGGATTTGAAATGTTTTCTTATCCTCTTTTTTTCTTGCAATATGCAGGAGAGAGTGGATCGCATGGCACTGAACGAGACTAGAAGGTCCAGAGAACGGAGACAGTTGATAGAGAAATGGCCAGCAGGACATGGTGAGTATCAACGGAATGCGTGGGATGTCATCATGATTGCAACCTAATTCGGGCGATTCACAATGCAGAGCGCCACCAATAGTTTGCCACGTACAGTTTATTTTTCCCAGTGCATTGTGGGAGATGGTCGATAGAATCCCAGCACAGGAGATTTGAAATTGTTCGGTTTTTTTCCGGTCAGTAGCTTCGTAAGCGTATGATTCGACTATATGTTTGCCCCTTTCTTTTCTTTGTATCAATATGGTGATTTTTTGTACGGCGGCAGAACGCTATACCCCTATCTGTTAACATAATAGCTCAAGTTATCATTCAAATGGGCCATATTTTGTCGACTGTAAACTTGAAAAATTGACTCTCCATGGCAAACTCTTGGTGGCGCACTGCATTGTGAATCGCCCGAATTGTTAGGTCATACTATGCGGCAGTAATAATAATGATATCGGAGTCTTATATAGCGCACGTATCTACCAACAATTAGGTACTCAAGGCGCTCCATTATTAAAGAAAGGTAAATAAAGTTTATGAGAAATGTAAAACCTTACAAGATGCTGCGGCGCATATTGCAGCCACTGCCAGAAACACCGGGGCAAACCCCTTCTCTTAGCGATAAGTGTTACTGGGTTCTTTGACGTGCATTACACAACACAGGGGACCTATGGCTTTACGTCCCATCCGAAGGGCGAAAGCAATAATGGTAAAGTGCCTTGCTCAAGAGCACAAGCACCATGTTCCCACGGTCAGGATTCGAACACCATAACCATTGGACCACAGCACCCCAGTGCAGTGAGTGCTGAATAAGGCCAAGTAAGAAAATAAACCAGTTTGTCGTCCCTCGCTTGCTTCTTTTTCCTGCCTGCCTCCTTTTTGTTTGTTTGTTTGTTGGGGCATTTGTTCATTTGTTTTTTATGCATGTCACCCATCACAAGGCCAAAGGCCACTCGAGGTGTGGGCTACAGAGGAATGTGTGGAAGAACCAGCCCCTCACACTGAAACAAGACAAGATAATCTAATCTCTTCATAGTATGAATGGGTTCGGGAACTAGTGCAATGTAAGGCACCTCTATCCATAATGAGTAATCTTGGGCGTCGCCGGGGGGGGGGGGGGGAGGCAATGGGGCGCTTGTCTCCCCCCCCCCCCCCTCCCCCTGAAAAGCCCAACTAGAAACAGGAGGGAAACCAAAGAAAATCAAAAGAAAAAGAGGCGGAAAGTCATGTTGATGTTACTATAATGGGTTGGGGGGGGGGGCAAAAGTCTGTGCCCACCCTCAAAAAATAGTCAATCGAGAATTTGTTGACAAAGAACTGTGATTTCTAAGGGGAAAATTTGCTTTGCCCCCCTCTAGAAAAAAAATCCCGCCGATGCCCATATACATGTAAGTAATGCACAAAATATGCATTGATGTTGACCCGAAAAGCTCCTTGTATTTAAACTGATATTCATGTGTAGTGAAATATCGATTAATTAATATTTCTGATCTTGCTCGCAGCTGTGTGCATGGAGACATTCTACATGATAGCCTTTGAGACGCTGTGCGAGCTACCCAATGACCAGGGCTACCTGCCGTGTGAGATTTCCTGTGTGTCGTACAGCTTGTACGCCGGCATTATCGATGTTTTTCACAAGTTTATAGAGCCGGGCAGGCTGCCGGTCGGATATCGATTCCAGTGCCAACACAAGAGTGAGTTTCATCTTGATTTTGGTATTGATTAACCCTAACAATCCCCATCCAGTCAAACTCCAACACCAGGGTTTGTGCTACTCGGGGTTCGACCAGGATGTGCTACTCAGAGTTCGACCTTAAACTTTTTTCACCAGCCAGCTGAGCTACTGAATCATACTCTTATCTCTTTCAGTGCCCGCGAAATTTGAAATGTTTAATCCTAAAGTGCCCAACTTCGAGCGTTTTTGTTAATTGTTCAAAATTCTGTAAAAAAACAACAACTAAGTTTTACTCACTAAATTTGTTGTTGTTGCTCTCTGGTATATCCTTGGTAAGTCAATAGTAGTCACATACATAGTGATACACCCTGAAACACTGTCCTGCACACAGGGGAATTCCGCACTTTTTGCAGAAAATACGAGTGTCAGTGTTGCGCCCTCTCGCAAGAACTCGAATGAAACAAATCAATACAGGTCGTAACTGAATGAAAATGATATTATTAGAAAGAGCGAGAGCGCCCCCTTGTGATAACATGCTTACTGTACCTCGTATATGTACGAGGTTTGGCAATTTTAAGTACGAACATTACCTCGCAGATGTACGAGGTTGGCGATTTGGAACTAACAAATATACCTCGTACATGTACGACTTTGGCACTGAAAGAGTTAAGTAGCCCGCATTCATTTTTACACTAGCCAGCCTGTTTTTCATGTATAGAGTGTCTCATAAACAACAATGTGCCGCATGTACATGTAAAACATATATCCTGAGGCAATCTTGTCAGTGTTTTTAAAAAACAGATCTAATAATTTAGCAGAATAATAAAATTAGACACAAATTGATACAGGTTTGTTTTCTTTCTGAATTCAATGATTTATATTTTGCTGTCCTTTCATCTTTGCCGTAGCCCAGTAATTTTTGACTGGCCAGCTGGGCTAGTTAAGGAATAGTTTGACTAGCCCGCCGCTGTTTTGACTAGCATTTGGCTAGCGGGCTACCACTAAAGTCGAACCCTGCTGCTGCACTAGTAAACTGATAATGGACCCTGGTCCAATGACCAGATTATCTGGTGAGGAGGATGCAGGCTGATCGCTTAGGCGTTGAGTGCTCACTGAGCTGTGTCAGTAGCGGGTAGGGTGGCAGTAGGTATCAAAACACAGGGATCAGATCGTTTAGTTTCGCAACCAACAGTTTCTTTTCGGAACCACACTTCTCAAAAGAGATTCGCAAACCTCACTGGTATACACTACCACCGTGCAAAGTTTCAAATCTTATTGATTTATTTTGGTTTATATATTTATGATTTAGGTGATAACACGCACAAGATTCCCATCCAGTATTTTGAGCTAGCGACAGACAACTATCGTCAACTCTGGCTGGATCTGTGCGACTTCCTGAACCCACAACGTCAGTCTGCCTTCCCTCCGGTGTTTTGCCAGGTGAATCTCAGATTTCTGAAGTTTAGATAACATGATCAATGTCGCTTTTATGAACGCAATGGAGTCCAAGAGTAGATTGTCTGGTACAAAAATCATTTGTTTCAGTAATTTTCAGCCATTACTGTGTGTAAAATGTACAATTTGGGAGCCCATGGGGATATTCGTTGAAGCCAACTGTATGGTGAAGTGGTATAATTAAAGAGGTTGTGGAATGCTCGAAGACATTTCCGTCATTTTTCGGGTATATGTAGCCTATGGTGTGATGAAATAAAAACGACTATTGTGTCTGTCATAAAATGAGTACAAAAGGTACTTTTGAGAGCTGTTTTTCAAGTCCTGTCATGCCTGTTTCGACCCGAACGTGCAATTTGTATAAAAGTCGTCGTTGCGGGCAGCAAACAAAACACAGTAAATCGTGACGTAATAAACAGGACTCCCGATGCAGAGTAGCATAAACGAGTGAAATGTGTGAAATCATTGGAGACCATTAGCAGTATATTTTGACTTTTTATTTGTAGCTGCAAAGGCGTAATGAGGTGGAAGGATGTTTGCGATGGCTTTCAGATCGTGCAGGTGAGCGCAACATTAAAAATGAGTTCAAACAGGTCTCCTTTTCGGTTGTCTTGAAGAATTAAAGCTGCATCTTTTCCGAGTGGTCCCTGCCTCACTTTGTTCCCAGACATGGAACATTTTTCATATATCTAGTATTGTGACTTGGGACGCGATCCAGTTTTAAGTTGTGTGGTTTCTGCATATTGTCCCAGCACAAAGACATTGACAAACTAGGAGACCGTTAGCAGTGATTTTGATAGCTTAGTTGGTAGAGGGTTAGTGCACACATATTCTCAGTCACTTTTCTTCTTTGAGCCTAATAGAACACTGAAATATCATTCTATAGGTCACAGGTTCAAATCCCACAATATTGAATTTTGTTTTGCTGAGTTAATAGTAGCATGTCGGTACAGCATTCCAGCGGTTGGGAGTTCAAATCCCTTGGAATCAATCATGTTTTTTGAGTGGGTAAACCACAGGAATGTAGGTTACAGATTGGTAGAGCTTTGGTACAGCATATGAGAGGTTTGAGGTTCGCATCCCCTTAGTCACTGATGTTTGTTGAGTTGGTAGAGCTCTAATCTCATTTTTCTTTGCACAGTTGGTAGAGCAATGAGACAGTATTCCAAAGTTTACAGGTTTAATACCTGCTTTTGTCTTGTTTCTTTTGAACCAAAAAGTTGACTTTGTCCCCTCTATTTTTTTCCAGGTGTGCCTAACAGGCTGGCCAAAGTCTTTGAGATGGAGGTCTTAGTCTGCGAGTTGTTCGTCCATGGGGGCGCCAAACCACCCTCGCATTCAGCCTGTACGGGTCTGCTGACGACCTCGGCGTTTGACTACGAAGCAGATACACGGTAGGTTGTTTAAAAGTTGAAACCGTTCACGATTGGACAGGGGCAAGTTTGGGCAAGGACTGTAGTATACAAATAATGAATGTTTGTGAGTGCAATGGTAAGAATAATTTCATGAGGTGACAGATGAAATGTTCCATTCTACGAGGCGAAGCCGAGTGGAATGGAACATTTCATCTGTCACTGAATGAAATTATTCTTTCCATTGCACGAACGTGAAACATTCATTATTTGTTTTATATAACACCTGAATAAATCCTTGTCATCTGATTGGTTGACTTCTAAAAGCCAATTTATTCAGGTTAAAAACTGTTTAAAAGTTCGACAAGTTCATCATATTTATATGAATGCAAACTGTTCGACAGGCTAAGAACAATCAGATTCCATTGCGGGTTACCAATTGCAGCATGCAACATAACGAACAGCGGGGACCAGAAACAAGAAGTTTTGTGACTATAAAGTCATTCGCACAAGTGCAAAGGTTAAAGTTCCATGTACGTCATGAATCAACCACTACTCGACTAATGGTCCTTGCCAGAACTTGTTTCAGGTTGTCAGGCTTGTTTCAAATGTCTATTTTGCAGCACATAAAGAGCTTGGAAAATACAGCCATGTGGCTGTTTTGACAATATTGATTTTTGCATTAACCTTGAGCAAACAGTTAAAGGTAATACACAACGTTTGCTTTTGCTGTAATTTTTAGAAATGGATGGATTTGGGGGTAAGTGTTTTTATAGTATACACATATAGACTGGCAATGAGGTCACTTGTGCATGTCTATACGCCCCAAGGGACTGTGAGTGACCGGAAGAGGGTTGGCCGAGGGATATAGGACCCTCTTCTGGTCACTCACATGCCCAAGGGGGGCATAGACGTGCACTATTGACCGAATTATGCCAGTCAATATGTGTTTTGTAACTCACCTCTGTCCAAAATATAAAATAACAAAAAAAACCTTTTAAAGTTTCAGGGTTTTATTAAACTGTTTTAATTCAACAATTAACTCATAAGCAATTCAACTGTAAGTAATTCAACAATTAAAGGAATGCTTTTAGTTTACCTAGATTACATTTTTGAGTTTGAGTTTTGTCAGAGAGCGCTGTTACCAGTCAAAAATTGTTGAGTATAGTGCCCGATCAGACAACTGTACTCAACACAAATGTTGTACATTAGCTTTAAATATTTTTACTCTTTGTGGGTAGACGTCCTTGAAATGTGTTTTTGTGTGTAACTTCACAATCACTTTACAAGATAGTTTGCATTGATAGTTTCATTTTCTGAAGTTCGTAATGGATGTTGAATTTTCTGATTGTTCTCTTTCCAGATGTAAATACCATGAAGACAATGAGGTTGCCATGGACAACTGTGCCTTGGGGAAAGCCAAGAAAAATTGGTGAGTACCGGTTTAGGATTGTCATTTTTGCAGGTTTATGGCTAGTGACTTCTTGAGCAAAGACATTTACCAAATTGGGGAACCGCTTAAAGAGGGCTGGATAGCTCAGTTGGTAGAGCACCGGAACGGCAATCCAAAGGGCCCCGGTTCAGACCCCAATCCAGTCAACAACTTAAAAAAAAAACCTGGGCTTTAAAGGGCCGGGTTATTTTGACCATCTCTCAGCCGGGGGGGCCTAAGATCTCGGCCATCGAGTGACGAAAAAATTTTAAACTCGGTACATGCATAGAGCAACTCATCATAAACATACCCACGAAAATTTCATGCCTATATGTCAAACGGTTTGTGAATTATGGCTAATTAATTATTCATATACACAGGAATGGTAATTGTGCTCTGTGTACACGACGTATATGGGAAAGTTCAGTTTTCACGGCGCGTAGCGCACAAAAAATTTTCAGATTTTTATGTTTTTTGGTATCAAAAATGCGCAAGGCTCGAGGCTAAAGAGGCATAACAGCTCGGGCCGCGAAAAAAAATGTTCAAGGCTATCGCGGAAAAAGTTGAGGGGGGGGGGGGCGGTTTCTGGCCCTTTTAGGGTTAAGGCAGAAACCTCAATTGACAGGTTCCCTGAAGAAATACAAAGTTGCTCAACCTAAGCCCGCGGCAGTTTTCATAAAACCCTTACTAAAAATTCCATCATCGCTGACATTACAAATTTTTTTGGTACTTCGAGAGCTCAGTGAATAAACCTGAAAATGTATTTTTCAAATCTTGCTCATCTTTAATCAAGTAATGTGGCTCTGTCATGGCCATTGCTGTGTCTTCCGTATCACTAGAATGGGAGACTTTTGAGCAATGGTGGCAGCATACACACCGGTCCTTCTTGCATTGTTTGCGTCGTGTTGAGCATGCGCACTTAAATACATGACGTAAACAATTGAAAAGGAACGGTGTGTTTGCTGCCACCAACGTCTCAAAAGTCTCCCACTGCTCATCACTGAATAAACCAATCCGAAATGCCAACTTTTTTCAGTTTGCTGTTTATAGGACTTTGTTTATACTCTGTCACTCAGTCGGTCCGTAACTCGGTCATCCAGAGGACAGTAAGGCTGGCTAGTTAGGTAAAAAAAAATGGCTCCAAGAAGTAACATTTATTTTTTAAGTAAATAAAAGATATTTTTTTGGACTTGAGTTACAGAGCTCGTATCAGGAGCTTGCGACGCTTTCACGGTGTCTTTATCAACTGGTGTTGTTGAGGCCCTCACGTGACCCGTCACATGACCAAGCTTGGTCGCACGACAGGAGTCGGTCGTACATGAGGGCCAGCTCGTACCCTCCATCTCTGTTTTCGCCTCCTGTCATGTGGCCAAGCTTGGTCACGTGACGGGTCATGTGAGGGCCTCAACAACGCCAGTTGATCAAGACACCGTGATGGTTTCGCAAGCTCATGATACGAGCTCTGTAACTCCCAAAAAAGGTATCTTTTATTTACTTATAATGGGACTGGAAAAGAAGTCTCATGCTCGATCTATTTTTTAAATTGTGTGTCTAGTTTTTGTCTGAGTGACTCTCTGGCTTCAACCTACAACATCGAGCTGACGTCGAAACATCTCCCCGAGCGTCTAGATGTCTCCACCTGCCTCGTTATACCGCCCTCAGTCTACGGCATCCAGTTCTCCAATGCCAAACCCAAGCCCAAACCGCCCCCGAGCTCAGTCGCTAGGGGGAGGGGTCTTGACGTAGACCACAAACGCAGGGAGCCGACGCCTGGTGCCAACGCAGCTACCAACACAGCTACCAACTCAACAGTTCAGGTACTAGACCTGTCAGCCATAGGCCGCGTCCAAGTTATTTGGCTACAGCTTATAATTACACGTGCGCCTATGGAAGCAGTTGTAGCCACTTCCAATAGTTAATGTATGTTACTCTTAGCCATAGCCAAGAAATTGGGACGTGACTGTGTTCTCATTCAGCCATAGGCAGCGTCCAAGTTACTTGGCTATGACTTGTCTTAACACATGCTCCTATAGAAGCAGAGTTGTAGCCACTTCCAATAGTTTAGCCATAGCCAAGAAATTGGGACGTGGCTGTGTTCTCATTCAGCCATAGGCAGCATCCAAGTTACTTGGCTATGACTTGTCATAACACATGCTCCTATAGAAGCAGAGTTGTAGCCACTTCCAATAGTTTATCCATAGCCACGAAATTGGGACGTGGCTGTGTTCTCATTCAGGAGTCGGCCATCTTGAATTGAAAACGAGGCGAACCTTACACATTTCAAGGCTTCATACGAAGATGATGCAATAGACCATATTCACTAGGTAGCCATTTTCGATCATGTTCCCTGAATCTGTTTTATAAATTGTAAACTGTTGAATGGGATGGTGCCAGACTATTTTATGGTTGGAGTGCATTCCAAGCCTCACTTTAATTTTTTTTTTTAATGTGGCTTAAAACATTAGAATGTGTTTCATCACACATTTTAGATTATTCATCTTAGCAGACTAGTCATAATTTGTAATGAACTTTTATTTTATTGCTTTCGTTTCTACTCGCAAGTTCCAAAACCGAAGAGGTTACCTCACTTTCAATTTAATATGGCCGACTTGTGAATAAACTCTATATATAGAGGATAATTATAGATTAACCTCTCTGTGCTCTGTAAAATAACTCTAATTTTCACAAAAAAGTCTTCTTATGTTTTTTTTGCCCAAATGCAAAATGTGTTCTGGAATTAAAGCGAATGTGTCACTCAAGAGCACGGCTTAGATGGTTTCTATTAATATGAAAAATTTCTCATGTAGGCCATCAGCCTGGGGGTTTGGTCGGTATAAAATGAGGGGAATAATGGTCATTGTGATTTTTGGCATGGTATGCACCCCTGTAGTTGGAAAATGTGTGATAGCATTGCAGCAGTGGCAGCTTTTTGGTACCATCGCTTTAAAAAAAAAATGGCGGCCAAAACATGCTTGTTACCATATATAGTAAATCCAGTAAGCGTAATTTTTATTCCTAGGAGGGTTAGGGGCAATGTCATGAATAATTCATGTTTATCCATGAGAACGGACAATGACATCAACAGCATTGTTGTTAGTTACTCAACTAAAGAACGGTTGTCGTCGAGCTACCACACAGTAGCCTAGTGGATAGCGAGATGAGCTATGGATACAAAGATCCCTGGTTCGAATCCACGTCGTCGCTGCTCATTTTCATCAGCTATTTTTCTTCTCCAAATTTATCACTGAGATAATTTTAAATTAAGGGGAAAATAGAACGAGAACCTAAGTCTTGCAATGATTCAAAGGAAAAACTGAATTATTCATGACATTGCCCCTAACCCTCCTAGGAAAAAAAATTACGCATCCAGTAACAATCATAATGGCGGCCATTTTGAGAAAAAAAAAATTTAAAGGTGATACCGCCTAAAAAAAATGCCAAGGTTCACACTTCAAAGCTATCACAAATTTTCCAATTCTAGATGTGCATACCTTGCCAAAAATTGCTATGAGCATTGCTCATTCCATCATTTGATACCGGTGGCCCAATTTTTTGATCGACGCAGATAGCCTCATTGGGTGCATGATGCTTTCCCACTTTAACTGGTGTTTGTTTAGTTGTACCTGGAATACGTACACATTCTTAAAACTAAAATAGATGTGTATGTTAAACCACGTTCATATGGATCTTGTGTTTTTTATTCTATTAAATGTTATCAATTCCTGTATATTTTGCATCGTTTACGTTTCAGAATGGCATGGATAAGCCAGCTGCACAGGAAGAACCACTAAGGAGACCAACATCAGTCAGTAAGTCCCCCCCCCCCCCAAAAAAAAAAATTAAAACTGATCATCATTGAACCCAGTATTGACTCCTAGGCTCTCCATACTTTGCATAATAAGCCAGCCAGCAATTACTTTTTTTCTGCAACCAAGTAGAGTCAGTGACCATAATGCGCATGCGTCAGTTAGTAATGGAATGGTTCTCGGATTTAACTTCCCTTTAAAACAAAATCCTCAATAGCTATGAAAAGGTGAATTTTATTTTATCGATCAGCAGGACTCGATTAAACCCAATTTAGGAAAGAAAATTCACTTTTGTGGGAAAAAAATAAAAATGTAACATTTTTGGGATTCGAACCTGCAGCCTGCAGTACGACCTTAATTGGATAACTCGTTATGTTGTGACTCTTGTTACAGGTGTGACTGGCATGCTGGCAACGAAGCAGGTGCAGCCAATGAAAGACCGGGAGATGGGAACCAAAATGGCCATGCTGCAACCGAGTGCTGGTGAGTGTTTATAGATAGTGTAGCGTTTGACCAATGGGTTCTAAAGGACGGATGCGAATTTTCCTAGGAGTTTGCCGACAGAGTACTGTAACACAATGACAGACTGAACAACACGTTGACATAGACGAAGAAATGTGACCAGGAGACAGTGCCTCAGTTTTTATCTTTTAATCCTCAACAAATCATTAATAGGTCAATCTCATTATTCAAGCAGAGTAGCTGTCCGTCAAGGGAGATTCGGGCTCGAGTCCTTTTTGGAAGTTCCGCAGCGCACAACCGTTCAGCTCCAAGCTAGCACAACATTAACCTTTTCGCGCGCGCGTAAACCAACTTAATACATTATCCTGCGCTGCTAATCTGCGCATGCGCACCCGGCCCTACTCTCCGGACGGACAGCGCCACATGTGATAATCGCTACAATAGATATAGCAGTGTGGTAGTCCAGCCCATCACTCTCAAGTCAAGTTACTAGCTATTCAAATGAACTGTAGCAAAAGCATTCCTTTGTCTATTCATAAGAAGGAATTTGTGCTGGGGTGATGTAAAGCAATATTAGGTTTTGCCCTTCAGCCAACCGATCCCGCAAGCTCGGTGGTCGAGTGGTAAGACATCTGCACTAGAAAGCAGCAGGTTATGGGTTCGAGTCCCACCCGAGTGATTTTTTCCAACTTTCACTCGGGAGGTAAAACACTGAGTATACAGTGATTATACGTCGGTGAATTGCAAAACCTAATATTGACAATCATTTGTCTTTGTTCACCCCTTACTTGTGACTAAGACTACAACACTGGCATAAACTGCAAATGTTTGTCATCCATACTAGTGATACAATGCAAAGGTCAAAAAGTTTTATCCACATGGGGACATGAGTGGGAATCGAACCAGTGCCAACCCAAACGTGCCAATTCAAATTCCCACATAGACCAATCCGTGCTCGCCTTCAATTCTGCCGTGAAGGCCCCCTTCAATGGCGAAAGCGTTGTGCTAGCCATTGTTCAGATAATTGTCGCGGGGTTAGTTGCTTTGTACAATAGCCTCAGTGGTGTCTCCATTGAAGGGGGCCTCATGAGTGCACAGTGATCAAGTTCAAATTCTCCAAGTCTTCATCAGAGAGTGATTAAACCCTAACTCACTAGCATGATTTACTAGGAACAGGGGTGTGAAATCTCAGCTTTATAGCTGATTTCAGCTTTTTTTGTTTTGGATTTCAGCTATTTTCCCTCACTTGCTGTGTACAAAAGTATAGGGGATTTCCAAAGTTCAGCTTTTTTTACACCTTTTTCAGCTGTTTTCAGCTATTTTCAGCTATTTTTGTCAGAGGTCACTCACACCCCTGTACTAGGAACCATAACCATCCTGGCAAATATGGGAAACTGAACACACATATTTCTGACTTTGATTCTGGAGTTGTGCCAACCCAATGTAAAAGACTGCCAGTTTAGGGGCACTGTACCCATCCTGACAGATTCCAACAAAACATGCCGTTGGGGTTTTATGGGTTGAGTTCTGTTAGGGAATAAGTTTAAAACATTTTGTAAAGCAAAATTTATTTGTGTAAAGTAATTATGAAATTTTGTTCAGCAAAACATGAAAAGTGCCCAACATTTTGTGACACAAGTCAATGGAAAGCGCACACTGATCAATTTGAATTGTATTATTTTGTCAGTTTTGAGAAAAAATTAAAAATTGCTCTGCTCCTGGAGGATATTTTTCATGGGGTTAATAGAAGAATTCTATGAATAGGATACAGGTTTGAAACTGTATGTTTGTGTTCTGATAAGGCACTTTGTAGTCCAAGCAATAAGCAAATCTATAAAATTTGGCCTTTATCAATCTGAGTCAATATTATTTGTTGATTTCCTTTTTAAAACTTTCCTTTTTAAGCAAGCATTTAGTGATTCTTAATTTCTGCCTGTGCGTCTGACTTCTGGGGGGAAGGGGTTGTTTTTATTTTTAATTAATGGTTATTGTGTATTTTTGCCTGTGAGTTTTGATATTTATTTGTGTGTGTTTGTTTTTTTTGCTAATTTTTGTAATTGATTTAATTATCTGTTTACTTTTTACTTTATTCTTAAATATGTAATGCGCTCTCGAACAAACTGGTCCTGGAGAGAGCGCAATAAAGATGCAATAATAATTATTATTATTATTTGTTCCATCAGGCGCTCCATCAAAGTTTGCTCTTCCAGCATCTGCGCCTCCGCCCACCTCCCTGCCCCTCCCTGTGCCATCATGGCAGGGCACTCCTGGTGCATCGTCAGACCAAGGTCAGTCCACACATCACGTTTTACGACCGATCATTACTCCCGCAAACCAGGGCTCTCGAAATCGCCTGCCCAACGTCCCGGGACAACCAGAATATTTTGTTGGACAACCAAAAGTTCCAGGTTGTCAGCCCGACGGGCAACCACTGTTTTTCCACCAATACTCACACATTTTCACACTTTATTTTAGTCCATGGGATTTTCGAAAGTTCCAGAATCCCATAAGCACAGCGTTGAACAATAATCATGATAATATCGCCATTTTGACTCAGTACATACAGTCCGGCTACATCATGCGTTTCGCGTTCATGAATGTAATCCTGGACAAGTATTACATTCACTGTGTGGACTTCCGAACAAAAGATGTCCACATAAACCAGGTAGCAGCGACGTTGTGTGGACTTGCCCACGTCCACACAAGGTTTTCCCCTCTCTGGAAAACAGGTTTAGAGGCATTTTTGGGTTAGGTTTATCCGTGGCAAAATAAAGAGAAACACTATAAGGAATCATAGAAAAAAAATTGGGGTGAAAGAGTTTCACAGTTTGAGAAAAATGAGTTTTTTTCACTGGTTTTTCTTAACGACACGAAAACAAAGGAATGTCCACACTAGGTATGTAAAACAACATGCGTGTGTGTACGTGTGTTTCCAATAATAATGACCGGACCACTGTACGCCATGTACCAGCGCGGCGCAGAGAACAGGTACCTTACACACGCACGCAACAACGGTCGGACACTGCCGGTGTCACGGTCTCACTTCACTTCTCCGGCCACGCACGCTTGCAAAATGGCGATAGCGCAGCGGCTGAGTACAACACCGGACAGCCAATTTTGTGAGCCCTGAGCCACTTCAGGTAAAGCAGCCATGTACATTATTAGGATTTGGCCTTCAGTTTGGGGCAATATTTAAAGTTCTTTATTGGGCAAACTGAAAATGAAATTCAGGCAACCAGATTTCAAGAACCCCTGCCCGAAGGGCAACTACATTTTTTTAAATTTCGCGAGGCCTTCAAACCAAACCTCACAGAATGATGTGGACGTTTGTATGGACTTGAATCTTATGTTCTTCACATTTGCAGGGGATCTGCCGAGCAACGCAGCAAGCAACATGCCAGTGCAGTCCAGCTTCGGCTTGGGGCGAGGTTTTGGGCGTGGAATCAGACGCGGCACGAATCCTAACCACTAGACCATATATCGGAACCCTGATATGATAGTAATCTTGTACATACATGGCAGGGTTTTTTCCCAATGGGAAGATCGAATTGAGACATTTTGAGATGTGCAAGTGCAGTTGAAAAACCAAACTGATTGGCTGGCTGGAGTTAGACTGGGAGAGAATTTGCGCCCTCTGTCCATCAGTTGAGGGCGCTCTTGTTTATCGACGAAAACCAACAAGGTTTTCCAAACCTCAACTTTGACTCCAGCTTCACCCTGAGCTCCACAATCATTTGTAAGTCTTTATCCAACCTAAATTGAAAACACACTTAATTGAAAACCTCCCAAATTTGGCATCGGACTTGACTCGATGTTCTGTGAATCAGAACGTGGACCTATATTCAGTTTGGGTGCCAAAAAGGTAGGGGCCTAAATTCTGCTGATGGTGGAGCTGGGATTGAAGCCCAAGTTTTGAAAACTGCCTCTGATATTAAGGCAGGGCATGGCAAGGGGTCGAGATGCCTCACTTGCAAGTTTCAACTGGTAATTAGAGTGTAAACAACGGGAAAGTGCAGTTTGCGTATATTTTAAACGAGAAGAACGGGTTTTTATTCATCAAGTCAAAAGCGGAGGACCTTTGAAAGAAGATTTTAATCACCGTTCTCATGAATCCTTTGAGAAAAGCTAAAGAAGGACAAGTTAGTTTTTTAGTTTTACAGATGGAAATCCCCAGAGTTGTTCATTCTTAAGAAAATCCTGGAACAGTTTCATTGATAAAAAAAACCAGAAAAAATATTTGATTAGAACATTATGTGCTGAGCAATCATTGACTAAGAATCAGTACAAAGCGTGGCTTTGTGGGTTTTGCCCTTTACCGACGTCTTTTTATAATCGCTGTATACTGGGTGTTGTCTGACTACAAGTTTTTTTGAGAGAAAAAACTCGCAAAGAACTTTGGGACTCCAACCCACGACCTCCTGGTTAGGAGTGGAGATGAATTACCACTCGACCACTGAGCTTGCCGGGGACGGCTGGCTGGTCAAAATCGGATATAGCAGCAGATGAGTGCACAGTGTTTATAAAAAAAATTGTTGGATACCAGTCGCAATATTGTATTAACATCACCCAGACGTAAAATTTCATCTTGCAACATATATTGGCTGTCACTTGTTTCTGACAAGCAGACTTTTTTCTAAGCTGAGCAATTTTTTTTGAATATTAGCTTCATGATATAGGATAGGATAAGAACCAGGTCCACACAAAGTGGAAGGCAAGTGTCGTACCACTGTGCCAAGGGGGGCCGTTTCATAAGTCCGACGCCTCATAGGTCCGACGCCTCATAAGTCCGAAATGTCGTACTTATGAGGCGTCGGACTTGTGAGGCGTGCAATTTATTTATTCCACCTCATAGGTCCAAGGCTTCATAAGTCCGAGCCCTCATAAGTCTGACACCTCATAAGTCCGAAGTCGGAAATACAAGGCGTTTAATTTGTTGGACTTACGAGGCGTCGGAGCTATGAGGTGTCGGACTTATGAGGTGTCGGACTTATGAGGTGTCAGACCTATGAGGCATCGGACTTATGAGTGGACCCCGCGTGCCAAGCTGCATGGTTTTGAAACAATATGCTTGTAAATTTTAGATTTTATGACTGGTGTAATAAAACTGTCAACATCACTATTTTTTTATCTTTAATTCATTGTTTGTCATTATAAGCCTAACTAACTACCTGTAGGCCTGTAGTTTATTCTAAACCTTGTACAGTCTAAAGGGCTTTGATATATCTATCCTAGCTTAATCTTTCTCAAATGCAAAACAAAAACAAGAAAGTGCAGAAATATGTCACTACAAAAATACAAGTGAAATATTTTTAAAAAAAAATTTCTGTTACCTAATTTGCCTCATGACTTTTGTTCACAAGCATTTAAATTGTTTCTTTATTTGACATTTTTCTTCGCTAGTTTAATACGTTTATGTTCTGTCGCATTTATTGAAATCATGCTTCAATTTTTGTGCCGATTCATTGGTCACATTGACATTGTCAAAGTATTGTCTCAGGTATATAGCAGGATAAGCGCTGTTTTTATTTGTTTATTTATTCATGAGAGGGTCTCTGTTGAGGGAAGTGTCAGTGAGAGTAATTTCCTTGAATATCTAGATGTAAACTTGGTGATGTGGTCACTTTTTTTTCTAGAAAGGGTGTTATGTTTTGGGGAGTTTGAGCCTTAACATTTGCCAAATATTCAGTATAGCTAATCATGCATGTGAGCATGTACATAATTTTACCGTGTGCACAGTTAAAGGACCGCCATTATTTTGGCTTCTTCTGTTTGTACTTCAACTGTTAGGAACACCCGTTATTTCATTTTTGAATGTTTTTTTTTTTAGGACAAGTTCTATGTCGTCCGCTAGTCATATGTAATGTCTCTGTAATGCATCCCCTATTTACATTATAACGAAAGCAAATGCATGGGAAAAATGTGAGTTTACCGAATAAAGTTATTTGATTTTAGATGTCGATGTTTATCACCGCTGTCAAATTGTTAATTATAAATTCATGCATGCATGAAATCTGTATTGTCCTCGTCAGCAATCATCGTGGAGGGCGTGATCACAGGGACACGCCGAGTCAAAGTCCGTCAGCATTAGCCACGCCCCTTTTGAAGGAATTTTTTACTATTCAGTATAGTCACACCATGGAGGTCACACCCTGCTCTTGCTGGGCCCACTCTGATGTGATGCTTGAAATGTTTTAGACACATAAAAAAGAAAAGATCCATGATGTTCATTACTGGATGTGTATGTTTTATTTACTTAAAATTAAAATACCTGGGGATGTAGCTGGGGTTTTTTTTGGGGGGGGGCAGTTTAGGCGTTTGCAACCATTTGAATAAAATAATATCTTTTGGACGTGCTTTTTTACGTACAAAACGATTCGCTGAATCATTGTAGGGTTGCAGAGCAGGCAATTTTAGCTCGTACCTCCCTCCCCCCCCCCCCCCCCCCCCCCCCATTTTCAAACAGGGGGCGGGGCGGGTGTGACAAGCGAAACGACGATTATGACTCGACTTGTCAAGAAGGACCAACGATTGGTGGCGCTATTGTTTGGCAACATGAATGCCGCGCGGCCGTAACCATCTGACCATTGTAAGATGTTATCGTCGTTTCACATGGAACTTGGAAGACTAGACGGACCTTTGTGTAAGTGAAATATTGAACAATATGTTTCAGAACATTTCTGGATTGGGAAAGGGGCCTGGCAAATCCAAACGCACCGCGAAATCGGAAAAACTACGGGGTCAAAAAAATAAGGACGGCGCCCTTTTTTTGCTACTGTGCAAAGTGAATGGCGCCCCCAATCGCCAATTAGTACTGTCTTGACGGGTGTCGGACGCTTCGCCCCATTTCCACGTCGCCCCATGTCACTTCGCCCCTAACCACTTCGCCCCATCCCCACTTCGCCCCATCCCCACATCGCCCCATCTCCGCTTCGCCCCATCCCCGCTTCGCCCCATCCCCGCTTCGCCCCATCCCCGCTTCGCCCCATCCCCACTTCGCCCCATCCCTACTTCGCCCCATGTAGTATGAAAAAGGTGAAGGCTAGGGGTGCAGACCAAAGAAACTGCCAAAGACCCCAGATAATAAATGCTCCCAATTCTAGAAACTTAGGAAAAATACAAACTCTCTGATGAGGTGCTCGAGACACAGATGAGAGAAATGATGGCTCTATCCCATTCAGAGACGCCTCTCCTATTGGCTTGTGATTAAAATCATCAGCCGCTGGATTCAAAAGAATCCATAGGTATGGGTCAGTGAGTTAAAAGGAACTCACTGCCTTGAGGAAAATGTTCCGTCAAAATTTGTCTGATATGTGACACTTACAACTTCATTTAGATGAAACTGGTTCCTCCAAGAGTGAAATTAGGATGTCAAAGGTATTGTCGTTCTCAGATAGGCCTAAGTGGGAGACGGGTTGGTATAGCCGGGTTGGGAACAAAGTTGGATCTTTTACTTCAAGCTTTTTTCTCGGTAGGGGAGAGCCTAGCTCGAGAGGTTGGTTTTTTTTAAGCCAATAAAATAGATGAGATTTTTTTTTATTACATGTAACGGCTGGGGCGAAGTGGGGATGGGGCGAAGTGGGGATGGGGCGAAGTGGGGATGGGGCGAAGTGGGGATGGGGCGAAGTGGTTAGGGGCGAAGTGACATGGGGCGAAGTGGAAATGGGGCAAAGTGTCCGACATTCGTCTTGACTTTAGTTCAAGCATGGAACTTAAGTAGAATTCTACCTCCATGGTTCAAGTTTCCCTGTTTTATTTATGGGAGGGGGGGGGGGGGGTTGAAATCATCCTGCAGGCTAGCTCCATAAATGTGGCCAATTTACTGGACTAGGGCCTACCTCCGTAAATAAAGGCCACACTTGGAACATGTATGTACAAAAACATGTTGAACTTTGTCAAATTTTGATTTCCGCATTCAAGTCAATTACAAGTCACTGCATTCAATCTCAAATCAAGTCACAAGCTTTTCAAAGTCGCTAGCTATTCAAATGAACTGCAATGTCCCGTCTGCCAGGCTGATTTTACTTTGTCACTATATACTGCCACTGAATCTGATATCGAAAAAAATGTTGCAACCTGACGCCACTCCCGCGATTGTGTACAAAGTCTATAGTATCATGGAGGAATAAGAACATAGAGAGTCAAGAAAAATTTTAAGTATTTCCTAACAAAATTGGAAATATTTCTCAGTCCCAGATTCATGTTTTATCATTTTTTGCAATGAATGACCTTCATTGAGATGATATACGAAGAAATTAAGTGGCGTCAGGTTGCAACATTTTTCCCCTGACATTATAGTTTCATGAATTGTTAAATTCGATTTGAAATAGAGTGTTGACTTTGAGTTTATGGTACATAACTTAGACAATGACACCTTACAGATTGTTTGTCGCAGTTCTTTGAAAGAAAACAAGTAGTGTCAATCTGTCCCGTCTGTCATGCCATAATTAGTCAGATATGTAACATAAATATCTTTTTGTAGACTTTTTCGTTGCAGAGGACCGCAGTGAGTGAGTGACCACCCCCCACCCCCCTTCACCATGGCCCTAGTGTTTGGTATCGGTGCGGGTCTCTTCACTCTCGGCATAATATGGGGCTTCTCTCTACTGATGTGCATCATTCTGTCCCGGGCTGCTGGGGGTGCCAAGTGAGTAAATGTGGGCCTGTCTCTAAATGTGATATGGTTAAATTATGAGTCTTTTGTCGGGAATTTTCATTTGGAGATTCAGGCTAAAATAGGGCCACTTCATCACGTCACTTCATCACATTTCTTTGTGTTCCGACTTTCATAATATTTTGAACTAAGTATGGTACCAGCATGCAGTTTTCACAGCAGTAATGCTGAGAAAAATTTTGGTCCCCCAAAAAGTGGGTCTAAAAAATTATGGCAAGGGGTTTAGGGGCTGCTTAAGGGTCCCCAATTTTTTTTTGGGGGGGGGGGGGATTCTAGATGTTCTGTGGTGGGATCGAAGGCAATTTCTGACAACTTTAACCAAATTAGTTTGTGAAAAAGATGTATCGGTAGTACTAGTGACCATGACAACAATCTTCCTGGCGAGATTCTGCAACATAATGATGAGTTTCTAATTTCTATTCTACAGAATATATCCTATCTGGGATTTTTCTCCCACAAGTTTTCTTGGATTATTATTGAGATAAATCCATAGTGCTAATACATTCCAGTATGTGTCTTTTAAATCTTTGTAGATATGGAGGTTTTGCCTTGATTGTACTAGCCGGTGTGATAACCGTCATACTGATCATCTACCCCAAGGAAGGATTGGTGCCAGAACCGGACATACGGGTAAAGTCAGAAAAACGAACCCCAAAACCAAACAAACAAACAAAAAACTTTCCATCACAGTGAGCGCTTATCCTTGATTGGCATCATCAAATGTGAGCCAATTTGAACTTTTTGCCGCAAAACATTTAAAAACTATGTATTTTCAAATAATTTAGATTTTAATCGTTGGAACTTTATTTGATCAAACATCAGAACATCAGAACTCAGTGTGTTACCTCCAGAGTGAAAGTTGGAAAAAATCACTTGGGTGGGACTCGAACCCACGACCTCCTGCTTTCCAGTGCAGATGTCCCAACACCCAACCACCGAGCGTACATCTACTCTAGAAAGAAGGAGGTCGTGGGTTCGAGTCCCACCGGAGTAATTTTTTCAACTTTCACTTGGGAGGTAACACACTGAGTATACAGTGTTTATACGTCGGTGTAGGGCAATGATCACAGTTGTGAACAGGTTTCTGTTTTTTACTCACTGTAGCCCCTAAAACTGCCTGAGCACTCTATGGTTTTATGGATTCATCAGAGAATAATTACTATGTAATACAATGTAATACAATGTAATACGATGTAATACGATGTAATACGATGTAATACAATGTAAAACAGCGTTATACAATGGAATACAATGTAATACAATGTAATACAATGTAATACAACGTAATACAACGTAATACAACGTAATACAACGTAATACAACGTAATACAACGTAATACAACGTAATACAACGTAATACAACGTAATACAATGTAATACAATGGAATACGATGTAATACCATGGAATACGATGTAATACAATGTAATACATGTACCATGGAATACAATGTAATACAATGTAATACAATGTAATACCATGGAATACAATGTAATGCAACTGATAACCTTTGACCTTTAATTTTGTCTTATTACAGATAACGGACCGCATGTTTTGGCCTCGTGTCATCATCCTTACACTCATCAGCATATTTGCTCTTCTCTGCTTTGTCTTCATGTTCATATTTCATTGGACGGAGCCAATCTACGCCAAGCCAATCAAGAGCAAGAGATTCTGATAAGTGGAATATCACTGAGAGTGACACCAGTGAATTGTAATATGAGGAGTGCACTAGTGCACAGGAGGTCGGAAGTTGCAGTCCCACCTGAGTAAGATTTTGAAGTTTACTCACAACTTCTCGGAGAGAAGTGTTCAGTGCTTGTAATACAACAGTGGAGTGTATGTGGAAATGTGCTGCGTGAATGCAACTTCTGATGGGATTTTATGGAGATAGCATTTTCAACATTGCTGTTCCAAAGGGCCCTGAAGTTCATGTACTGTAACTTCTTTTTTTGCAGAGCAGCGGGCTGTGGATAACGTTGGTTGGAACAAATAATTCGGTGACACGTGATCAACGACCCACCAAATAGTGCATCCATGTTGGTGGCGGGACTACCTTAGCACCTTGGATTGTGAAAGCAGAATGGCATTAAACACAAGTATTGCCACAATGGAGTACAGGAGTTTGATGTCAGCTGTCTTTGTTCTGATTCATGCGCTGGTTCACTCGCTGATGTCTTCACACATTTAAAGATATAGTCCATCATTTGTAATTTGTGCATTTTGTTCGTTTGAAGCAACAAAAGTGCTCAAAATTCAATGAAGGATACTGAAAAACTAACCTGATGAAGTTTCAGCTCGGCTTCAGCTGTATATTCCGAGAAAAACAGCATTCTAGGATCTCAATTTCAAATCAAAAGTTGCTGAATCATGTTTTGAATTGTTTTGAATTGCAGCTATGCGCGATGTTGCGCACTGATCCGACGAATTATAGCAACCGCGCGCGCCTGTGCGTCGTGCCAATGCTTGCGCGCGCTGCGCCGAATAACAAAACAAACTACTAGTTTAAATTTTCCTAAGATGCACTGTTGGAAAGGCCTTTTTTCGTTGATTACTTCAACATGATAGCTTGCCAGAAAGATTAATTTTACAGGGAGTTTAGTCCACTTACTATCTTTCAACCAAGTATGTTTTTTAACAATAATACGCCAGTTACTTTTTCGGATGGCTGCAAATGATGGACTGTAGCTTTAACCTATGCGTGGGTACCAGAATACGCGGCACGCTTTGGTACTCTATGACATCAGAAAACAAGGCTATTCAGCAGTCTTCAGCTTGTTTTTTCAGGAGTCGTCATGTCCGGGGTTGTAAGGGAATTGGGATGTACATGTAGCTGTGTAGCTCCACGTTTGACTGGATATTGTCTGAACATTTGTTTTATTGAACCATGTGTCTTGAACAGTGTACAAATTGCATTGAAAAGATTTCTGAAATATTAAATAAATATGTGTACATATGCAAGGTGTTTGTAGAGTTGAAAAGGCCAGAGTTCATACTTGACGTGAAAGGGAAAGTGAAGCAAATTTCACTTCAACAACTGACGTTTCATTGTGATGTTCTCTGTTACCCTAACAAATTTGCTTCGCATCGACATCTGCATGACATACATGTATGAACCAGTTTTAAGTCAAATATCAATTGCATGTAACAATGCTATTTGAGAGGACTGCAAAATTTGTAGATTGAAAGTACATGTGCTAACAAGACTCATGCTACTGGATAGTCATTGAATTTCTGTACTGTATGAAGAGTTATCAAGAGTACCATTTGATTATTAGTTAGAATCAGATCTCTGTAAATCCGTCCAGCCAATTTTAAGAAGAATCACAATCTAGTGATTTAACAGTGAGGTACTTTTAACAAGGTTATTGACTCCGTGCGCGAACAGCAGATGGCTCTAATACTGCCCTCTGGCCGGTATGGAATTCCATGGAATACGATCGCGCATGCGCAAAACCAGTAACCAACGCACTGACGCAGACCAGACATCGGCGAACAAAAGTGCCAGGAATTTAACGGTTTTTCGCTGTAAAACTGAAAAAAAATCCCTACTCGCCAATGGTGAAGGGTGAAACAGATAAAAGTGCAGCCAGTGGCGCACAAAAACAAGACACGACAAAAACGGGAAAAGACTTTTGAGAGCTCCAGGGCACAGGACATACTGTACGTGTTCATCTTTTCAAACCGTGGACGAAAAATACCAGAGAACAAAAGAGAACAAAATCGTCCACGATTCCCAGCATACGTCCGCGATTGGGGTCGTGAACAAAACCAATGGGAGTCTTCTAAAAAAGTTAGAGTACAAACAAACGAGGGACAATAGGTCGTCCACGATCGACGGTGAACACATGTTTGCATAACGTGTGTGCGTGTACTGGTTCCTGTGCATAGGGCGCGAAGTATGCATGACAAGATTATTCCGAGCGTGCACAAGCCTACAGAATCTTTGCGTGAGCGTCGGTTGTTGTCGGCAGTGTATTCTAATGGCCAGTCCCCCCCCCCCCCCGCAACTCTCCCTTTGTCACCGTTGAGGGGGTACTTGTGCACGGAGTCTATTACTTTCAAGTCTGTGAAAATGCTGTCATTGTCGTGTTTTCAAAATACTCAAAGTTGGTTTGCAGCTTTGGATGACATGAATAAAAATGGTAATTGGCAACTCCAAAGACCAACGAACTGCTGGGATTGCATTTTATATTGATTTCATGTTCAGCGCTGAATTTTACAACTTCACTGATTAACCCAGTTGCAACACAGCATTGCCCCATGGAATTTGTTAAAAGTTTTGTGTTTTGGTGACAAAAACTAAACTTGGAATTTTCTTTCTGAGCCTATGTGTGTTCCAGGCATGAGAATGAATTTAAAAAAAAAGAAGGAAACTTGTGGAAAAACAGGGAAAAAAGATGTGATCAGGCAAAAAAATAACATAACAGGCTCAAAATAAATTTTAAAAAACGCGGAAATTTGGGCAACAAAAAACCCCACAATTTCCTGTTTAGGCCAAAAAATATGGTGCGGCGACGCGGCTTTTTTTTAAACCTTTTTCTTCTTCAAATGTCGGCTGATGACTGTAAATGGTGCCCGACTAAATTTAGTGCAAAATGTGTGGAGCCCAGAGAGGCCACATAAAGCTTATACTCGATTGTAACCCCATCTTAAAACACGTTTCAATTGTGCAGCAGCAGGATTCCAGTCAAACTAGTGAGTTTGTCAGTTTAGAGACATCATCTTACATTGAAAAAAAAACTTTTTAATTTTGCCGACGTACATATTTTCCCCTCCCAAAGGTTCACCTGAAAGTTTTTTCTTTTTTCAAAAAATAATTGACATTCTCCCTCCACCCATAGAGCAAGGAACTGTCCACATTTAGTCGATAAAAATGTGCAATTTCTTGGAATTTGATGCAAGGTGTGATGTCAATGAATAACAAATGCATGCATATACCCACGAACAATACTGTAAAAGAGCATATAAAGTCAAGAGAACAATAAACTCAGCCAAACTACACTGTAACAAATATTTTTTTTGTCACAAATTTATCTATTATTTTATTCAGTTCATTATATACAATTTCATATACATGTACAATGCAGTTGTCTTTTCCAAAATTAAGAAATTTCAAGAATTGACAATTCCCGTGTGCAAACCCTAGTTTTAAACAAAACATCTATTGTCTATAATTTCAAACAAACTGTTACAATGAACCTAAAACAATGGAATAGAGATAATTCATATCCAATACTCAAACATTCAAACTACTATTAATAATAGTATTGTACAAGCCAATTTTACAGGGAATAAACTTCGTTAATCAAGGTGTTAGGTGATGACATATGCTTGAACGATTGGTTTCAGTTCATGACCAGAAAACAACCATTCAAAGCACACAAAAAATACTCATACGCAATGCAATAATGGAAGATTTACACAATAAAAAATATTGGTATTGTAATTATGTACATATTTACAGCAGAATGAAAGAAAAACCCAGTCCATCAATGAGGTTTTTCTTTAATTAATGTAAACATTTTAACCTCGGATGATTTTTGTTTTTAAAGATTAGAAAAAAATTACTGAAAATGAGAGAGAACTTGTCTAAATTTCCTGTGTTGTCTGTTAAATGTTATTTCAGTTCAAGTTTCAATTCAAATTGAACATATGGTGACATGATGTAGCAATTCTTGGACAGTTTTGACGGACTGCTTGAAAAGTTTGTAAAAGTAACGTGTAATTGCCACGATAATCAATGAAATTATCATGGGAAAAACAGATTTTTAGCAAGCCTAAAACCCATAATAAACCCATTTGCAATAATCCTACATGTCTTCACAGGTGCTAACAAATCAATAATAGTCTTCCAGTCCCAAGTCCGGTCACAAACTATCCAACGGAACTGTTACAGAAGTTTTCCTTTGTGACTGTTCATCCACTGTTAATTGTTATTCTGGAATTCAGCTGTACTTTCAGTCGGATACTTTTCGTATTTTTTTTCTCTCTTTTCTACCTTGTAATGTGTTAAATAAGGAACCAGGCCACGTACAGGCATTTGCTTTTTTTGCCTGATATCCGCCATTCATCACCCCCTGTGCATTTTTGTGAATAACTGTACATTATTTATTGTGATGTATGGAAATAAAACAATACCAATACTTGTGAAAAGCCTTGTGATTAACTTGTGATGGGGACTTGGGAATAGCCTTGTGATTTGGTTGTGACGGGACTTGTGATTAATTTAATGCAAGTAAAAACACTAAATCCTGCATGAAGAAGACCATCTCAGTGTAGAGACTCTTTAGGACAACTCCTAGCTGCCTCAGACTGTGCCATCTCCTGGGGATGTCTCCTCATCTTTGACTTGTCCTGTTGCTATGGTTATACTAGCATCCTCCTGAGTGGCCGAGTGATTTGCTTGTGACGGGACTTGTGATTAACTTAATGCAAGTAACAACACTTAATCCTACATGAAGACGACCAACTCAGTGTCAAGACTGTTTAGGTCAACTCCTGCCTCAGACTGTGCCATCTGGGGTTGTCTCCTCATCTTTGACCTGTCCTGTTGCTATGGTTACACTAGCATCCTCCTGAGTGGCCGAGTCGGCGGTCTGCTTGCCGCTCTTGTTGGACTGGCTGGAAGGCGGGGCTTGGGATTGGGCAGAGGGCGGGAGTTGCTGGTCCTCCGACTGTGATGACTGGCTAGAATGCACAGGGGGCGTGTCCTGGGTCACGGCTGGGGTAAGGGCGTCCTCCTTGATCGCATCTTGCTGAGGTGCTGCATCAGTGGTCTCCGTCTTCTCTGGAGGCTCATCGGCGACGGGGTCTTGGTGAATCTCGGCATCTGGCTCGGGTTCTTCAAGCGAGGGCTCCCTCTGATCCTCACTGTCAGGGACTGCCTCAGCCTCCGCAGGCGGGACATCATCTGAGACTGGACGCTGGTCGATGGAGGGTTCTGCTGCTGCTGCTGCTTCGGTTGAGTCTTGGGTAGCATCTTTGTCGGTAGAGGGCGCTGTTTGGATGGTTGGTTGCTCTTGGACAGGTGAGGGCGGTGTTTCCTTGACTGGCTCGGGCGGGGGTGTGGACGGCTGCTGGGGCACTGGGGAAGTTCTAGGTGACAGTTTAGAAACCTACAGGGTAAAACAAATCAAGTCAGAGAATAGGTTTGATGAACAGTTCGGGTCAGCAAGCAAAGCTATCTATGCGATAGGAAATGAATTTAGCTTGTTAGTTGCTGTACCACCTCAAATCCCTCTACCTGTTACTCCCTATACCGCCCACAACTGGCCCAGCACTACAAGGTTTAATGTGCATCCTATCCAGGGGGAATAGACCCACTGAAACTGGAGATAAACGCCGGCCTAATGGGCCATATGGACTTGCGACAGACTTAACTTTACTTATATGGAAGTGGTTAGACAAAAGGTTTGCAGACAAAAGGCCTTGTATAAATATATTTCCATATTAATGATGTAGCACCTTGAGCACCAATACTGTTGGATATGTGCGCTTTATAAAAACGCATTATTATCATATTATTATTATTATTATGCCAAATGGTATTTAAAATAAGCTTGTTATGCAATAGGCTCACAAAATGCACACAATCACATGAATAGGTATTATGTAATGTGAGTAACAATCTGAAAAACATGAAAAGGAGATTGAAAATCAGGAAATCTGTTTTGCATTTATGAGCAAAAAGCGGTTTGTGACTTACACTGCAAACGTGAAAGGGTGGAGAGAATCAAGCGAGAAAATTATTGAGTGGCTTGAGCAGAGCTGCTGACAACCTGGTGAAAGAAGCAGAGAGATGGAACACACAGAGTGACAGACAGGCAGAGAGAAGGCAGGGCAGATAGAGTGGCAGACATAGCAAGGCAAGGATACTATTACTGTTTGAGTCTACTCCATTACAAGATGCATTACAAAGCTTGTTACAAGAAATTCACAAGTCCATTCACTAGTCCGGTCATAAGTAAAAGTGGGTGAACAGTAACAAAAGGAAAGCCTCTGTAACAGTTTCTTTGAATAGCTTGTGACTCAATATTAGGTCCTGCCCTTCACCGACGTATAAACACTGTATATTGAGTGTGTTACCTCCAGAGTGATAGTTGGAAACTCGGGAGGTAACACACCGAGTACACACGTGTTTACGTTACAGACCTAGTGTGGACATTCTTTTGTTTTCGTCTATGATTCTCTTCAGTGTTTCTCTTCATTTTGCCATGGATAAACCTTAACCCAAAATGCCTCTAAACCTGTTTTCCAGAGAGGGGGAAACCTTGTGTGGACGTGGGCAAGTCCACACAACGTCGCTGCTACCTGGTTTATGTGGACCTCTTTTGTTCGGAAGTCCACACAGTGAATGTAATGATCGTACAGAGTGTTTATACGTTGGTGAAGGGCAAAAACCTAATACAGTCGAGTCTCGTTAATACAAACTCGTTCGGACCTAGCCAAATTGTTTGTTATATCAGAATTTTGTATTAAGAGGAACATCAGTCCCATTCATTGTGCACATAAATGCACAGTCGGGACCAAGGCCTTATGTTTGTTATAACCAGAATTTTGTATTAAAGCCCGAGTCCATCATTTGCAGCTATCCAAAAAAGTAACTGGCGTAATTATTGTTGAAAAACATACTCGCTGAAAGATAGTAAGGGGACTAAACTCCCTGTGAAATTATCCTTTCTGGCAAGCTCTCATTTTGAAGAAATCAACGAAAGAAGGCATTTCCAACGGTGCTTCTTAAGAAGCACCGTAGGAAAATTTAAATTAGTTGTTCGTTTTGTTATTCGGCGCAGCGCGCACAAGCATTGGAACGACGCACAGGCGCGCGCGGTTGCTATAATTCGTCGGATCAGTGCGCGACATCGCGTAAAGCTGCAATCCAAAACAATTCGAAACATGATTTAGCAACTTTTGATTTTAAATTGACATCCTAGAATGCTGTTTTTCTCGGAATATGAAGCTGAAGCTAAGCTGAAACTTCATCAAGTAAGTTGTTCAGTATCCTTCATTAGATTTTGAACACTTTTGTTGATTCAAACGAACAAAATGCACTAATTACAAATGATGGACTATAGCTTTAACAGAGTTTGTACTAACGGGAGTCAACTGTATTGGTTAACATCACCCCGATGCAAATTCCATCTTATGAAAAATAGCTTGTGACTGGACTTGGGACTGGAGGACTTGTGATGGACTTGTGACTGACTCTTGATGGACGTGACACTATGGAGCCCACATATGGGCGGTTCTGCCCCAGATAGGAAAGGGGATGAGAGGAAGGGACTTTGACACTAGGAACAGGCATATTGGGTTTTCATGATCGTGAAACTTTGTTTCATAAGATTTTTTTAAGACTCTGTTGAAAATGTCAATTCAGAACGGGACATGAATTTTGGGAATTGGGATATATGATTTTGAATGTCTATTTTTGAAATTCACATCCTGCTAAATTCTGGATGTAGAATTTCAATTTGCGCATTCCTATTGTGCAAAATCAAAATCTGTAAATTCCTGTGCAGGAGCTTTCGAGGGGATTTCGTTTCCAAAAAAAAACCAACCAACATAAGGATCTATTTAGCATAGAGGTGGGGGCTTCACCTAGACCAGGGCAAGAGACTGGCAAGATGTTTTAGGCGTGGTTTGGGGGAGGGCTATATAGAAAAAAAGGAAATAGGCTAATTCTGGTAAAATTGAAAAAGAAAATTGTCCTAGAGGTCGTATTCTCTAGTTTCCAGTCAAAAACACATTGCTGCCTTGCTCCTGAGCATCACCAGGTGGCGTTTTTTTCCGTCCAATATTGTGTTGTTTCCTACGAACTCGTATCTAATAGAATGGAACCCTTTATACGTCTGAAGGAACCCCTATATTTTGCATGCCAAAGATTTAAGGGATAAATACTGTTAGCAAATCTTTTTCTGATGTAATTTATGACTTTCGATAGAAAACTTTATGGAATCTTGAGGCCTGCCAACAAAAAGCAACTGTCTGTTTCAATACACGAGTGCATTTCTTTAAGCGGACTGAACAACAATGGACTTCTGTAATGTACAAAACGCAGTACACAAGATTATGTACAAAATACGATCTAAAGTGTTTGTCGAAAGATCTGTGCGCAAAGTAGTGTTGTACGGTAGTTGAGTCCATCACAAGTCCATCGCAAGTCCTCAAATATACTCAAAAATATTCACAAGTCATACAATTCCAAGTCAAGTCATAGATTTCTCATATGAACTGTAACCAAAGCATTCCGTTGTGACTGTTCATCCCCTGTTACTTGTGAATAGATTGTGACCGAACTTGTGATGGACTTGTGATGGATTCACTGCCAACACAGCAAACATGTGCTTGTGAAGCTCCACTGCAAACTGTGAGTTAATGCTCCAGCGATTCCAAAAACAGCACCATGAAAAATTGAGCGGTGACTACCTACCTTTGGTGAAGCTGTTCTGGATCCAGCAGCGGATCCATCTGACCTCCTCCTAGCACTCCCAGGCCTGGGCTTGGGGGAGCTGGTACCGTCAGGGGCAGGGGAGCCACGCCGGGTGCCGCTAGGGGGACGGGAGTTGGCGGGCGAGGCTGGGGCCTGGCCTGTGGGTGGTGGGGTTTGACTGATGGACTTGGCGGCAGAACCTATAAAGTAATTAAAATGGAACAGCAATTTAACCCTCGTATTTAAAACCCATTTATGACTGCTCTTCCCTTTGTGAACACCTAAAGGAGACCAGACGTTCTGGTGTGATGACATGCAGCAAAGGGTTCAAAATATAATTTTCAGGTTCAGGCTCAAGCTTTCCTTAGAAGACTGAGATCTAAAAATCTTTGTACCAAGAGAACATCTTATGTGCAGCAGATTGGTGATAAGATTGTTCAGTTTGATGCTAAAAGCCTGAGATCTGGAACACAGTCAGAGTATGTCATGGGAAAGATCTTTGGCAATAGGGCCATCGCAGATTTGTCCTTTGAAAACAATATTATAGAATAACAAGCAATTTTCACAATTTTCGAAATGGCGGCCACTGCATGGTATCCTATGATAATTTTTTCAAAGGACAAATCTGCGATGGCCCAAAAGCCAAAAATCTTTCCCATATACTCTGTCTGTGTGCCAAATTTCATGCTTTTATCATCAAATGAACAATTCCATGATATTGTGCACCAATCTGCCCGACTGTTAGCACTTGGAACTTGTAAAGTCTATCTCTTTCAATAACCTCACTTAAAGGAGAATTAACGGACACAAAACGGACACAAAAATTCCAATATCATTTAAAAGAAGGATTTACAACCAGTGTGTCCAAACGACGATGACTTATGGGGCAGAGACATGGGCACCAACCAAAGAGATGGAACAAAAATTGACAACAACACAGAGAGCCATGGAAAGGAGAATGCTCAATCTATCATTACGGGACAAAATCAGACATACCTTCATAAGACAAAAAACAAAGGTCAAAGATATCATAGAGAAGATCAAGGAAATGAAACGGAGATGGGCAGGGCACCTAGCAAGAAGACAAGACAACAGATGGACCAAGAGACTCACAGAATGGCAACCAAGGACAGGCAGAAGAAGAAGAGGTAGACAAACAAGGAGATGGAGAGAAGAAATCACCACATACATGAACACGGCAACATGGAGTAGAATGACAAACAGAAGAGAATGGAAACTGCTTGAGGAGGGCTTCATCCAACAATGGCTGACCACAGCCTGATGATGCCAGGAGAATTTGTGCCAATTTATCCGACCCTAACACTCTTTGTTTACCAACACCCCTTTACCCCAAAAAAATGCAACTGTTGTAGGAACTGTCACTCACCTGGCCTGGATGTCTTAGTAGGTGTGGATCGCCCCTCCTTGGCCGATCCAGGCTTGGGTGACCCGACTGTCTGACCTCGTGACCCTTGACCTTTGACCGGAGTGGGCTGCTGAGCAATGACCTCCTCTGTCTCTTTGTGGACTATTTTATGCGCCGCCAACAGGTGTTTCCTCTGCTGGATTTTCACTATTGAATAAATTTTTAAAAAATCAGAAAATGGATGACTTATTTGTTTCGATGAATGAATTGATTCAAGCTGTCTCTCGCTTGTTACATTTGAATGACTGATGACGAGACATTACTTCTGATTTCAAATTGCACTGAATAACCAGTTTGCGCCGGGATTATTTTGACATTGACCGGACCCAGGCGCGGGATTGCTTTTCACGAACCTTGATGCCAGACGGGTTCAGACCATCATCTGCAGGTAGCACACCCTGATATTTCCAGCCTCGCTCGCATCGATCGCTGCAAGCGGGTCACTGACAGATATTTCCGGCCTCGCTCATTGCATGTTTAATTCGTCATCCGTTCCGAATACCTCAAAACCGTTGTGTGTATACACATCATCCGACGTGTACTGGTTAAACAAATACACCGCTGCGATATTGCATGATTCGGGCAGCTGCACTTCATTCTTGCCCATTGTGAACAAGGGTACATGGCACCTCTATTATGTGTGTGATCATTTATGCTCACCCTTCTCTCTGACAGTGATTTTCTGTACTTCAGGCAGCAGAAACGTGGAGACCAACTCAGCCACTATCTCTTCCGATTCCAACTCCGTTTTCCTGCAACGGTAAACAAAAATATAACCATTTCAGTTTCGTTTACTCATCGAAGACAACTTTTGTGGAGTGACCTTTAATAATATCTGGGCTGCACAATAGGGCCGAAGTACATGGCCTGAGAAATAATACACACTTGTAGATCCAGCATAAAGTAATTAAGAAAGGTCACCTTCATCCAGAGTTGTTAGAGGTATGCTTTGAAATACTTCTAGATGGGATGGTGTATTCAAAAGGACATCACTAAATTTCCCTCAATCAAATCAGTATCATGAAATCGAAAGCCGTATTTTAATGTGACTTGGAAGTTCCGTAAGTTATCCTGGACTCCTGTGGGGATCTCAAGTACCTGCACACATCCTCCTAATTCTATTTTTGCCATTTTGTTTTTCGACGTAGATTATATGAAAAGCTTTCGCAGAGACCACTCCGTAATGTTGCAACTACAAGTCCCAGAAAGTTTATCAAAGGTCCCCACAAGTCACCCACAAATTACCACAAGTCACCCACAAATTCCCACAAGTCACCTACAAGTCACCCACAAGTCACCCACAAGTATACCCACAAGTCACCCACAAGTCACCCACAAGTCACCCACAAGTCCCCACAAGTCCCCCACAAGTCACCCACAAGTCACCCACAAGTACCCACAAGTCACCCACAAGTCACCACAAGTCACCACAAGTCACCCACAAGTCACCACAAGTCACCCACAAGTCACCCACGAGTCACCCACAAGTCATCCACGAGTCACCCACGAGTCACCCACAAGTCACCCACAAGTCACCCACAAGTCATGCAGCCCGAAGTCAGCTCACAAGCTATTCAAATGAAGTGCGACAAATAAATCCTTTGTCCTCATTCCCCTGTTACATGTGGCTAGACTTGTGAAAGGACTTGTGATTTATTGGTGATCGGACCTTTGAAAGACTTCTGCTGGACTCAAGTAGTCAGGGGTAGTCAGGTTGGCGCAGTGGTTACTGTCCTCGCCTTCCACCGCTGTGGCCCGAGTTTGATTCCTGCCCAGGTCCACACGTGGATTGGGTTTACAGTCCCTACCTGATTCCGTAGGTTTTCCCTAGAATATTCTTCTGGGCTTTTCCTCCCACCTCTAAAACTGTAATTTCTTCTCATTGTCTTCTCTCTACAGGTTTCTTCAGGCTTGCGAGCTACAGTACCAAGGGCACTTTTGAGGAATCCTTGGTTTCATTTACCAGAAATTAATAGATAAACAGATAAAAACTATAAGAGTTTTGGAGCTGCAAACATGCCAATGTACCTGTCTTCCATGTCATAAGCTACTTCATTGATGCGCTGTGCCATCACCTGGATCTCCTCCCTGGCCTGCTTGTCGGCGGTGTTGTCCATGGAAGACAGAATGATGTCCTCCAGGTAGGTGTCCACTGAGTTCTGATGCACCTTGACAACCTGCCACATGGGAGTAGGTAAACTGCTTATTAGGCTTGACACTTTGGCCACGTTTCTAATCTGTCACGACCAATATGGCCCATCAGGCCAGCGTTAATCTTTGGGAGTGTGGCCTAGTGGTTAGGGTTCATGACTCATGTTGTGCCCTTGGACAAGCCACTTCACCCCCACTTGCCTCTCTCCACCCAGGAGTATGAATGGGTACTGGCATTAGCTGGGGAGCTACCTAGCACTGGACTGGCATCCCACCCAGGAGGAATAGAACAGTTGGTTGTTTCATGCCAAGGAAACCAGAGTTGCTACATAGTTTAAACAAACACATGCAACTTTACCACTCCTTAGTAGGACACTCACATTTGTGTGTGGATTCAAATAAAAGGACCAGGCTAAGACTAATGGCATACCTGTTTGAATATCTCATCTTCTTCCCGCCGCCTCCTTTCCTCCACCTGTCTCCGCCCAGATTCCTCAGCCTCCCGTATGCGTCTCTGCCTCTCAGCCAGCATGGCGTAGGCGTGGATGCGTCGCTCCTCCTGCAGACGGATCAGTTCCTTGCTGAGGAAGTCCATCATGTCGCCCACGGACTCGCCTTCCAGCTGGGACATGGCCTCGTCGATGAAGGATTCCTGGACAAGTGGCAAAACAAATCACGATTGTTGGTTACCGTCTCAAAATCATGTGCAATGTAATGGTATACGGCTTCAACCCCTGACAGGGAACATGGTTGTGTTCTTGGGCTAGACACTTTTCAACGACTGCCTCTCTTTACCCCGGAGTACAAATGGCTGACTTTGAGGGTAGAGACCACATTGCATAGATCCTGAGGTGCTGCCGTAAACTGGTCTCACAGCCTGATGAACAGGGTAATAATTGTGAAGCGCTTTGAAACGTTGGTGCAAACAACTTAATAAGCACCACATTATAAACAAGACCATAAAAAAGCTGCCCTTCATGGCACAAATACTGCTATCAACAGTGCACCACCAGGGAATGCTGTTTTAAATACTGCCAAACACAGACATTTGGAATGGTATTCCCTGCGAGTTTTGATTTGTTCCAGTAGGTGAAATGGAATCAGCGGTATCTACGTTTCTTGAAATGTATACGTTTAGTTGAATAATTAACATTTTTCTATTTTTGAAGCTTCCAGATGAATTTGTGGGATATACCTTACATGCATCCTGAAGGATTAGTAATTAATTGCAGGACAACATACATACAAAGTCTGCCGTGAAGATGAAAAATGTTGTGCTTGAGACAAACACTTAGTAGCTCCTTGGCAGCCCAACCCCGTTACCTTGTGTTCATGCAGTCTGCGTTGTCTCTGCAGGTTCAGCGTGGATTGTTTGTCCTGTTTCTTCATCTGTTGCTCAGCTGACTGCAGGGCGTGGGTGCTGCGCAGCTCATTGATCAGTTCCTGACGCTTCTCCTTGCCTTCAAACATCTGATGAAAAAGAAATCACAAATATGTCATGTTCAAAATACCGCCCCAATAACTGCAAAGACAGAGTTGGGATAGTATCAAATTATTTTTTTTTGATTGATGAAGATCATTTTAACGACTGAGAATAGTAAGGACCTTGTATACCCTAATACATGTCACTTTCCCATGTCAGTTGAGGACAGACATATACTTCTCACTCTTCGTTCAACAAAATGCACAAACTTTTCAAACAAAATAATGGCAAGTTGCATTGCACACATCTTTGTTATAAATGTATGTGCAATCATAAGACGGGTCAACCAACAACCAAATCCTTTATTATTGTGTAAACTATCTTTCAACAACTGTACAACAACTAGTACCATCATTAAAGTTTATTTCCTGGGTTTCAACAGAATTTAAATGAGAGCTAATTGTGATGATTGTGCAGTTTTACCATTTAGAGTGGACAGACCCACATCACGTTCGTGTACTGGTCCGCACACATATAGCGCAATAGCAGCGCCCTCGACAGTACATGCGCAAACCCATTAAAACACCAGCTTACCATGTTCTATTTTGCGCAAAGTATTCACTACTAATTTTAATCTGAATGTGCACAAAGCCACAGGGTCTTCACGTGGGCGTCACGCGTCAAATGTCTCTTCCAGTGGTCTCCCCCAACTCTCTCTTTCTTACCACTAAAGGAAGATAATTAAATAGCCACCTCTTTCTCTTCAATAATAGCGCCCTTGACAGTGAACGTGCCAACCCATTACAACAGCAGCTTACCATGTTCTGTATGGCCCTGCCGCGGATGACCTGCTGAAGGAAGATGATAGCCAGTTCCTTCTCTTCTTCAACCAGGTTGGGTACCTCCACGGATGGTGTGGGTGGTCGAGGGATCGGCTTCTCAATCTTCTGCAGGAATCGCAGCGGTTTGGGGGCCTCCTTGCCTTTGGTCTTCACATCTTTGATTCCTAAAACAGCAAAAACAGAGCGTTATCTTAAATAATATTTTAAAGGATATTCCAGTGAGCCTTCTTATGTATTCAGGGTTGTCTGATCAGTGCATTGTGGCACGTCTACAATTTATTTTTTTAAGTTTAATTTTAATATTGTTGAGAAAGCCATGGCTTTTTTTTACTTAAACAATTCATTAACCTGGGAACGTAATTCTTCTACACTTTCAGTTGTTCCGAGTGCTTGAAGTTTACACAGTTGTCCTGCAAATTTCTTTATAAAAGGAGTTACAGATTTCTTGACACTGGATTTTGTCTGTTATAGCCACTGTATCCTCACTTCTTTCTAAGAGCTTATGGAAAAACTTTGAGAGTTTATTGGAAAAACCTCTGCTAACTCAGAGGGACTCGAACCCCCTACCTCTGGATTACTAGTGCAGACATCGTATTGAATAACCCGCAAACTTGTTGGGAACTACTTTAGAACCTGAATGGTGAGGCAGATTTTGTTTTCCTGAAATTTGCGAGGCATTCTGGCAAAAAGGAGACAGAACTGGACAGAGGTCGAAATGTGGATTAGCGGGTATTAGGAAAGAGAATACAATTCTCCTTACAATGCTGTTTGTTATGTTGCACTTCAATTAGACATTCAGTTGACAAGTTATGGCTGTTTAAAGTTCGCATTTATCAACCTGTCGAAAAAGTAAAATGCTGAGAAAAAGGCCTTTAAAGTTTTGAGTTTTGTATTCGTGAAAATGAAAGATACCAATTGTTTTTCCTTAAAAAAACTCTCTCATTCCACAATTTTATACTATTTCTTTAAAACATATGTAGTAGACATATCAAAAATTACAGATACCAATAAATCTGGAAAAAAAAAAAAATCAACCCCCATTCGATTTTTAGCATTTTTCTCCACCACGGCCTGTGCCCAGTTCCGTCACATTTTGTCAGAACGCCTCACATTTACGCCTTGAAGCATAACTGTCAAGTCTTTGCTTATACCTTTGTAGATTTCATCCAGTTCGTTCTGTCTCCTCTGGGCTCGTTTGATGAAGCCTGTCTTGCCCTGTGACTTGGGTCTGGGAGCCACCACCCTGGGCTGGGTCACAAAGTCTGGCAGAGAATGCTCCAACTCGAGCAAACCTGTCAACAAAACAGAATGAAATTAATCAAATTAGAATACAAAAGCATAGTAATGTATCTGTGAGGATGCTATTCAACTCGTTAGCATTGTGGTACACATGGCATGGGCCAAATAGTAAGACATTTTCTGTGTGGAAAAAATTGTTGCTCTTCATACGCGAGTTTTGGAATCACACCCTTCTACACAGATGCACGTCTTACATAGCAACGATCGATTTCGTCTGCAATGCCTGAAGGGTCATTTGATAAATTAAGGGTCCAACGTGTGACTTTTTTCCTGTCCCTGTTACCTCTGCGCTTTGTACTTTGCCATTCACGTATCATTAAGAATGACTGTAATCCGTTTTGAATTTGTTGGGTAGGTAGTTTGCAATTCATAATCACTCTTGGAGGACGACTCCACTAAGGAGTGTATTAGAATTATAAACTCATAGAAGTCAGATGTAACAGGGACAGGAAAGAAGTGGACCCCATATTTATAAAATAACCAAAATGGAGAGTAAAGGTGCAGCTACATTTTCACAATACATGTGTTTGAACATTACATCAAAGGGGATAGTTTTTTTAATCCCAATGAACCAACACCAAAGAAGACAGTCAGAGCATACTGACCAGAACGTCGAGTTTATACCTCTGGTTCTTTTCAGAACCATTCTCTTAGTTGAGAAATTATTCGCACATGGTGTTTCCGCAAACTTTTCATTATTTAGTATCTCCACCATGCAAAGCCTCAAATCTTACTCAACACCAAAGACTTTGGCCTTGTTATGCCCCGACTACGGCGAGGTCCCAACTATAGTTGGGACAGTCCTGACTATGGTTCAAACAATCCCAAACACTAGTTGGGGAATTCATAACTGTAGTTGGCATCGTCCCAACTATAGTTGGGACGATGCCATAGTCGGGGCATAACAGGAAATTCCAGCTTTCCAACCTTTGGCACCCGAGTACTCAGTGGTATGTGATTTTATTTACTGCAGATTGATTGGAGATTGTTGTTTTGTTGTTGTTGGTGTTCTTACCTTGGTAAGTATCCAGATATCTACTCTTGACCACAAACTGCTCAGATCCCTTATCCAGGAAGACGCCATGCCTGGTTCGTGGACCGTACACCTCCGAGTCGTACTTGGAGTACTGCTGCGTGATGTCACGTCGCTCCAGGTTCCCTTCTACCCGACTGCGTTTCAGCGTCAACTTCCGAATCGCTGGAAAAATGAAGGATATAGTCCCATAAGACAATGACAATACGTCAAGTGCCTGGCAGAAGGGCATATGAGCGTTCTAACAAAATCATTTTCAAGATAATTGCATTGAAAGCTTCTATTGTTCCCCCGCTCGTATTATGAATCCAGCGCTGTCTTCGCGTAATATAAATCTTATAAATTTGATATTTGTCACGCGTATGTTTTTGAACACCACTTGTATTAATCTCTGACAAAAATGTTTAAATTTCATTAAAACAGTGGCAGTTTTCCGCATATGCCCTTTTGCTGGGAACGTTTTGGTGATTAGGCGTTCGCGCATAAGGGCATACGTGCATATGCCCTTCTGTCAGGCACACGACGATTATAATAACACAGTGCTTATAAACACCTTTTGCATTCAGCAGACATCTTTGAGGTTTATTTTGTGATTTAAATTTGTGGCAAGGAATACACAAGAGGTCTACTCATGTCTGTCTCCATAGAACAAAAGTGCATATCTCAAAGATGGCCACAACGCAATGGATCTATGACTCTGTAATATATATCAAACAGGTGCATTTTTTCGACGGGCCCTGCACTAGTCAAAGTCTCAATGCACTTCACACATGATTAGGGCCCATCTCGATTCACATCCGGGACGAGTTCAGGACAAGTTGAGGGTAGAATCATTCACTTTGTTAGAAGAAGCTCTGCATTTGTCCCGGACATGTTCCGGGGAAATTTTCATAAGCAACTGCTTGACTCAACAATGCTGATAACTTCATTGCAGGAAGATTGCGGGGAACTTGTTCAGAATCTGCAACTTATACCCGATACAATGTCCGCAACTTGTCCAGAACTTGTCGGGATATGAATCGAGACGGACCCTTACCCCTCTTTACTAGGTCATGAGTTCAACTTTCAGTTGGAACTCTAGATTGGCGTGACTGTGTTCTCTACCCTTACGAGAACCCACTTATACTCCTGGGTGGAGAGAGGCGATTGTGGTAAAGTGTCTTGCCCATGAACACAAACACCGTGATCTCCCTTCTCAGACCTTCAAGCATGGTTGACTGTTCAGTGCACTACACTGGGGGGTGTCAGCCCCTGACAAACAAGTCCGTTTATTAGAGGACTTACATTTGATGTGTTCCTTGCGTATCCAGTTGACCTTCCTCTCCCGTTCCTTTTGCTTCTTGCTCCAGAGTTTATCCAGCCTCTTGCTGTTCAGCTCTACGTGATTCTCCTCTCTCTCTCGCAGGATCTTGGTCAGTAGATCCAGCCTCGCCTCCTGAAGCCTGATAAAAAAGATTTACATGTTAAAAAAACACTATGTTATGATGGAAATTTGTGTCACGGAGATTTCCAATTCAGTATCAACTGGGTTTTGCCCTTCACCATCGTAATTTCATAAAATCTGCAGAGTAGGTGTTGTCCGAGGGCTTGAGAGTCCCACCTGAGTAAACTTGAGATTTTTTTCTCACAAGCCCAACAGACAACACTGAGTATACAGTGTTTATATAATTACGCCGCTGATGGCAAAACCCAATATTGAATTTAACGTGAAAAATGATTCGACAAATCAGACAACTGACAAATTGTCCAAGTAGTCTTTGCATCTTGGAGTCTCTTTTGATGACCTTGAAAGTGCACGCTATTTGCTTGTTACTTCGGAAGAAACCACCTCATAATGCATAACATCAATATGACATTTTTCTGCTTTTGTGAGAATTCGGTTAACTACTCGATCATGAGTACTCGACTACCCGCGAGCAATATCTTCGCAAGCACTCACTTTGAAAAATCCACTACTCGCCAGGCGTACATCAAATATAAAGGCAATTATTTCCAAATTCAAAAAGTTAAACATGTGGTGGCAGTTACACATGCACCAATGGGAGTAGCCTTGGTCAAGGCGCTAGTTGTTATTCATCCCGGCCATAGCGCGGTAAACGATATCCTCGCTAGCGCTATGCATGCGGTGCATTAAAAATACAGCGCGAACAGCGACCTCACGCGGCCACCATTTCTATGCAAATTAGTTGGACCCAATCTAGCGCCTTGGTTCAATCGTCAGCAAAAGCTCATGTTTTTCTTTATTTTGCGCTGGATTTCTAGCGCACGACCTCGTATGCGAATACAGATAAGTGTAGGCAGGGCTAATAATGTGAAGTGTCCAATCACACCTTGGTAAATCCGGACGTCATCAAATTATCTGCAGCTATTCGCCTTTTGCGGACGTGACAGGAACCACAGTTTTTGTGAATTGGTGCCGTGTGCAGAGACACACAACGTGTACGTGTATGGATTATGTACGGTGCCACGTTTCACTATGCAAGTTTCCACGCAACGATCAACCAATAAGAAAACGACATTTAAGGTCAGCTAAGGCTATTAACATAATGAGCACCACCCCCAAAACCTCACATGGACGATTGAACCAAGGCGCTAGATTGGGTCCAACTGATTTGCATAAAAATAGTGGCCGCGTGAGGTCGCTGTTCGCGCTGTATTTTTAATGCACTGCATGCATAGACATATGACTGCATGCATAGCGCTAGCGAAGATATCGTTTACTTTACCGCGTTACAGCCGGATGAATAACAACTAGCGCCTTGACCAAGGCTACAATGGGAGTGGCTTAAACAACTTCCATAGACATGTGTGTTACTGACAGCCGTAGCCATGTAATTCACACAATGGTCTTACTTTTCAATTTCTTGTTCTCTGAGGCTCCATTCTTTCCTCTCCATCTCATCCATCATGCGTTTCCTCTTCTCCAGCTGAGACACGTCGTTCAGAGACGGCAGGGTCGCCTCCCAGGCTCTCTTGGCTCTGGCTCTCTCAATCATCTCAACCTCGGCAAGACCGGCGGGTAGACCGTGACCTACAATATCCAGTGAAAAAATTGAAAGTCAGGTGAAAATTAAACTCACTACTATGTTAGTCTGAACACAGAATTAAACATGGCAGACCATGGCGGGCCGTTTTAAGTCTGATAGCGGCCAGCACATCAATTGTCAGGGACTTGGTGTCTACCTAATATAATTATCTACCCACGTACCTATCAGATGCTGAGTTACGCGCGACGCATGAGTGTGCAGGAGAAGTAGGCCAATCGATCTAAAGGGGAGGCGGCATAGCCAAGACACCAGCAAAAGATATCTGAAGCACGAGGCCATTGCCTGTCCCCATGTACACGTTTGTTATGTGGTCAGTTAAACTATTATTCATAAATACCTCAGACAGTTAAGCTATTCCTATTGGTCGAGAGCCCGTCACGTGGCCGGTCTTAAACGGATGATAAAGACATGGCTAGCTGGTCTTAAACACTTTTCCAGTGTCACAATAAAATGTGGACTCCTAAAAATCCGGTGCCTCTTACCGTTTCATTGGTTGAACGTTCACAATCCTCATGTAGGCATGCGCAACACTACATGCGAGTCAGAATTTTATAGTTCTAAATTCAAAACGCAACGCCCCAGGTGCGTTCTGCGTGACATCGCGCAGAACATGCTACGCGCGCGTCAATCTCCATAAAAGGGTTGTTTACATCTTACTCGCCAGCTGAACACTCCATTATTTTGCTAGAGGGATGTTTCAAAAAGCATGAAGTGAACTTGTTGAACAAAATCGGGATTTTTTGAACGAATTATTTGATATTTTTTTACGGATAAGGTATTTATGAATGGGAATAAATATGTGCTCGGTCGGTATTTATCACTCTGTTTAATATCGCTTAGAGTCTGGGTGCTGATAATTACCCTCGCCTCCGGCTCGGGTAATTATCAGCACCCTGACTCTAAGCGGTATTAAACAGAGTGACACATTTATTCACTTATTAAACCACAGCTGATCCTTACTTGGAGATGGTACTGTCAACAGGGTGACATAACAGTTGGACATCGGGCATTTACATGTACCCATGTGTTAACTGTAGTTTTCGTATCGGAATGTGTGCTGAATTTACCCTGAATTTCTCACGTCAAATCAGTACCATTGTGAGAGAGTATTAATTGATACTGAAATATCAAATCAATTTAGTTCTGGAAGATACACAATTCCTTTTTAAAAGGCAATCAAGCCCGAAATTGGTCTTGGAAACACAAATTTGTAGTCGTCCAGTAATAGCTGAAAGAGGATGACCTTGAACAATAAATTAGCTTTATTTGATATCTTAACAACTTCTACTGGATGACTGAGAACATACACTGTCATATTAAGGCTCAATATTGATAGTGAATCTTTGTGCATACCATATGACAGAGTGGCCAACGTCAGTAGTTCTGGCTGTGAGCCTGGCCGGACCACATATTCAGGCGTATACGGATCTGTCTGTGTTTCACTCTCCCGGTAATCCGTCTGCACGTCCACTGTTCTAGTCAGGGGTGTTGGGGACCGTTCCATCATGACTTGTTCCTGCTGGCTAAAGGGGTCCAGCCTGTAAAAAAAACAGACAAAACGACAAACCATTAGATCAAGACTGACACACTTGTCATGGTGTTTATATAACCAACAATCAAACTTTCCAGCGCTGCATTGTCTTGTAAGGGAGTCAGGTTGGCGAAGTCATTACTTTCCTCGCTTTCAACCGCTATGGCCCGGGTTCGATTCCTGCACAGACCACATGTGGATTAGGTTTACAGTCCCTACCTGATATTCCGTGGCTTTTACCCAGAATATTCTTCTGGGATTTTCCTCCCAACTCTAAGACTGTAATTTCTTCTCATTGTCTTCTCTCTACAGGTTTCTTCAAGCTTGCGAGCTACAGTGCCAAGGGTGCTTTTGAGGAGCCCTTGGTTTCATTACCAGAGATTAAAAGATAAATAGATAAAAAGTGTAAGAGTTTCGGAGCTGCAAATATGCCAATGTACCTGTCTTCCATGTCATAAGCTACTTCATTGATACGCTGTGCTTCTCCTTGTCTTCTCTCTACAGTTTTTTTTTCAGGCTTGCGAGCTACAGTGCCTAGGGCGCTTTTTAGAAATCCTTGGTTTCATTACCAGAAGAAATAAAACCAAAAATTTTTTTTTAAAAATAAATAAAAATTGTAAGTTTTGAAACTTACTTTGAGGTGTGCAGGACCACCTCCGGTGGCACTTGCTGCAAGAACGGGATGATGGGACGACGGAAGAACTTGTATCGGTCCTGGCCCCCGACATCGTGCTTGGCAAACTGGACGGCAGGAAGCTTGACATCTGGGGCGTAGTTAAACCTGAAAACAACGTTTACAAAATACAGATATCAAAAATATCCCAGTTTTCAACGTTGAGGGAGTAGCTGTGTACAGATTCCATACTCACGTCTTGTATCGAACCATGGCTTCTCTGGCTTGAGTTGAGTAGCCACGCCACTGACGCGAGATGAATCGCGGCACGGGGTCTGTGGTCTCCAGACGCATTTGGAACCGTGGGTGGTGACGCAGGGCACTGAACATCGTGTTGTACAGGGGAACCCTTTTCTGCAAAGATAGTATGTGCGAAACACACACAAAATATTAAGCTTGTGCTGTACATGAATGTTCAGGGCCTGAGATAGCCCCATAAATGCGGCCAATTTACTGGACTACCTCCGTAAACATAGGCCACACTGCCACATGTACAAAAACATGTCGCACTTTGTCAAATTTTGATTTTCACATTTAGGCTTAGTTTGTAGTTTTTTTGCTTTAGAAACACACTCACCCTCTTTATAGGCTAATCAGAAAGTGCTGCCTTTTTCAGATGTCTACTTTTTGTGAAATTTCATGTTGAAATTTTGATACGCAAACGTGTGCAAATGAATCTGGAAATTTCATGAAAAATAGACAACTGAAAAAGGCAGCACTTTCTGATAAGCCTATAAAGAGGGTGAGTATGCTTCTTAAGCAAAAAAAACCCTACAAACTAAGCCTAAATGTGAAAATCAAAATTTGACAAAGTGCAACATGTTTTTGTACATGTGGCAGTGTGGCCTATGTTTACGGAGGCAGTCCAGTAAATTGGCCACATTTATGGGGCTAGGCCTGAGAGAGTGATGCTAAATCTTTTCAATTAGCTTTAGGTTTTTTTGCATATTGGGCTTAAATTTTTCAAGATGTTCAGTTTAGTAGATGTATATTTACCCTTTGGCTCAAAAATGTATCCTTAAATTGTACCATAGACATGCTACATTTAGGTTAACTGCATTAATTTTAAAGCATTTCTCACAACAGCAACCCAATAAAATATTTTTTTTCATTCAATTTTATCAGTTACAATGCTCAACAACACTATTGTAACAAGGCGACTAAAAAAACAACAAAGACACAAATACAGTAAAAAGAATATTAATTTGTTTCACTTACAACCCTGTCCACACTGGTGTGGGCCTTGAACATGTGTCGGGCATGGTCCTTCTCGCTAGATAGTGTGTGCACATTGTCTGAAAAAATATAACATAAAGAATGCCTTGCTATAAACTTCATTTATTTAAAAAGAATTCATTATCTCACAAACATATACCTTAACATATAATGTCATTAACTAATCAAGCATGAAAGTTCATTTCCATTAGGTACCTTAAAAAAACTGATCAATATTTACGATCAATATAAATTTACGATGTCAATGTAGGCTTATGGCTATGCTTATAATATTTTATTAATTAAAGGGAATATACATCATTTGCTTTTGCTGTAATTTTCAGAAATGGATGGAATTGGAGGGTTGGAAATATATAGCAAATATAGTTACACTGACTTTTTTGAGGGTTTGGGTTCGAAAATGCTATAAAAACCAAGAAAAACAATCATTTTCATGTAGTCTGGTTCCCTGACTCCATATAAGATGAAACAGAACAGTTTACATACATTGGGGAATTGTAAGGTCAGGGAACCAGTCTAGTTGGCTCGTACCCGTTCATAGGTTTGTAATCGATTGCAAACAAGTACAGTGGTCAATTGGGGCCAGTATTTGAAAAAAAAGCCAGTTGTTTCCAACGCTGATCGGCCGATCAGCGTTGGAAATTGATACAAAAATACCACTTTTCTTGAAAATGACAGTATACCAGGTGCCATGATTTTACAGGATGCTTTACACTGTCCTTCACTAACAGTCCAGCAAGGTATTTCAAAATGATTTGGTAGTTTAATTTTTTGATGTTTGCAAATGTTGTATTTTCCCTTTAACTAATCAGTAGTAATGGTTAGTATTAGATATGACACACAACTGCAATTTGTCTATATTTAAATTACGTTGTACAATGTAAGACTAAAAGTAGAACAAAGTCAACCTGCACCTGAAACCTAACTTGAAGAGAGAATGAAAAAAATATGAATGAATGATTATTAGGCCTAAAACAAAATGAAAACAAATAAATCTGCTGCAGGCTGCATGCTTTCTTAAAAGAAAGCATGCAAAACTTTATTTTCTGTTTAAAACTTGAGCCTGAGGGAAAACTTTCAGAATTTTTTTTTTTTTTTTAAATATGATGGGGGCGGGTAAGTTGGTCAGGGGGAAAGTCACGTCACAACTCACGGCCCCCACTCATTTTGAAACCTACCGCCGGCTAAATCTGATTAAAGTCTTGAAGAAACACTATTTTAGGAGTGCAAAAACTCTTTGATAATAGGCCAACTTTAACTTTTTCTGTCATTGTCCATAGACTTTGTGCAGGAGGTCTGAGTGGAGGCCGTGTATGGAATTCTTTCCCGAGTTGGCAAGGGGGCGAGTTGATCGGGGGCGAGTTGACCTACAAATACAATCTTGTGCACAACGGCATGACAGTTGACACCGTCACCAACATGACCAATGAAGAAGATGACGATTGAAAATGACGGCAGCTCACCGTAAAGATAATCGTGAGTTCTTGTCTGCTGCACCCTAGGCGCTCGCATCGTCTGTCCCACCGACATACTGCTGATTTCTTTCCCAGTTTATTTTTCAACAAGTTATCATCATTGATTTGACTTTTGAGTTAAAAATCGCTTCCATCTGGACATCAAAACGAGACAATCGCTTCGCCGTATGCGTGCAATGATAATATGCTTACTCGATGTAGTCATGACGACACAGCCTCGTACGGCTAAAAATGTCCATTTTAGGGGTGCGGAATAAAAACATATTATTTTGATGCATAACACTTAAAAATATTTTTTTTCGGCAAATTATATTTAATTTGACACTCCAATAAATTTATTTTTGTTAGTTTATGAAGGAATATTGTATGTTGCAACATCAATCAAGGTGGAAACAACTATACGCAACATGTAGTTCGTGTACGTGGGCCATGAGGCACACTGAAATGGGCGGGGACATAGTCAGGATGGAAGTGGCCCATAAATGGGTGGGGCGGGCACTGGGGTAAAGTGGAGGTTAGCAGCAAATATTAGTTGATATTCGATCTAGATATGTTAATTTTATCAGTAGCTTCAACATATTTTACTTTTACTCGCCCTTAAGTTTTTTTTAATAGCTATATCCATAAATGAGTGGCATCTTATTGTTTGGGGACGGAGGAGGAAAGATGAAACATCAGTTACAGCCAACGATAAGATGACATGGGGGCTTTAATTTCGGTCATAATATTAACGTACGTACCAGGCTAATATTTTCTTTTTTAACTTAATGATTTTGCCCCAAAATGTGACCCCATGCATGCTCTTAACATGACTGGATTTGTTTTTCAGTTTGTATATAGCACGTTGTCTCAGTCGTAAAAGTTGCCACCTCCGTACTGTCTTAACTTGTTCTTTAAAATGAAACTTGCGGTCGCTGGCGAACTTAATTGAGCGTGATGGGGAGCAATAAATAAAATAACCGTCTGATATTTTCTACACAAACCCCCGGTGTAGGGGGTTTTGCGTAGACATTTTAAGATACCGACTTTTAGGTGCTGTACTGTATTGTTGTGAAGGAAAAACTACTTTTATCGGATTTTGGGCGTGCGCGTCTGCACTAGGGCCCTCTAAAAATGGCTTTCATTTTGCGCACAAAGAACCTCAGTGCCCGAGCTGTGTGAGCCGAATTGCATGTCTGGCAGCTAATAATTCGAATTTTGTGCAGAACTAATTCAATAACTAAACGTTATTGTTTACCTTAACATTTTTCGTTCGATGTCTCAATCAAAAATGAATAATATTTGCTCAAAAATAGTAAATAAAAACAATCTATTTTTTCAAGGTGAAACTCTGCGTCAGTTGTTTTGCCACCCAGTATCAAGTAGCAGTGGGGCAGTGGTGTAACTATTGAAGGGGGGGGGGGGGTCTGCGTTCCCTCCCCCCCCCCGCCATTTGAAATAGTGAATTGAACAAAAGTAGCCTAATATCAATTGCCTTTAGATGCCCCCCTTGAAAAATGTGCCCAGGCAGCGATTTTTTCCCATACCACACGCTCGCTAGTATATAGAATTATGCCGGGGGGTATTATGCAATAGTATATTGAATGTTTAAAACTACCACATAGATCGAGTCACTGCTGTATTGTCATGGATACTATTTTGATTACAAATCCGATGAAGCGAGTTCGATTCCCGTTGGATGCTTTTTTTTATAAATTTCTTCTTTACTTCTTTTTTTTTCTCTTAAAAAGGTTTGTTAGTCATTCGCTCTTTTCACACTTCCGCCATGGGCATGCAGAGCCTCGATCTGGCAACTGTTCACAATAAATATAGCCGGTTCAGTGATTCCCGTGTCTGGGTTCAGAACCGCGGCGGGTATTTTGATAAAGTTGCCAGATCGAGGATGTGCAAAAGTGCCCAATGGCGGGAGTGTGACAAGAGCGAATTTGGAACATTTTTCTTTTACCAATATGTGGTTTGGAGGATTTTTTTTTTCAAGGGAAAATAAAGTCCGAGAACCTAGCTCTTGCAACTCAACGTACTTAAATACGTCCATGATGCATGTGTACAGAAAGAAAAGGCGCACTGACAAAAATATCGCGCCCATAAGCAAGGCCAAGGTGCCCCCTCAGAAATTGTAGCCGTTGCGCCACTGCATGGCGGTAACGCGATGCAGGGACAAAATTGAAACATTGCGGAAAATCAGCCTTTCTTTTTTGGAGAATATGATCATCTTTGAAATGAATGAGCGCAAGATCCCAGCTCGTTCTCGTTCCTGACACGAACTACACGGTAGAATAAAATATGCCATATGCTGGGAATCAAAGCTAGTCTAGTTCCCAAACTCATCCTGCGTGGACTGGATTGTTATGCACAGGGGGGACAGACTTTAATTGAAAGTATTTTGAAAACGACCGAATGCGGATCGGATACGTACCAACTTCGTCCCCAGTGCTTACTTTATTTCCAACCGCGTTTCCAATAGTGAGAGACCAGGTAGTGGTGGGCGCGTACTGCTCGACAATCTGGAGACGAGGCTAGATACGTACGTACGTGCGTACGCGCGTGTCTGTACGGAATGCTATGGGAATGCATGATGATGACGAACGACTAGTGAATGTTGTGGGCGCACTACTGGCGCAAGGCACGGTACCATCACCCGTCCCACTCGGCCTAGTGAAACTTGAAGGGAAGGAAACGGAGACAAACTGTCACCATTTAGGCGGTGAGTTCGATTGTGTTGAGTTAGTTTATTATAAACTTATTAACCCTTACCGTTGGTTGGAAAATGTTGACGATAGGCCCCAGTAATATTTTTGTGTTCTCCAATTTCCTGCACCACTGCCGTAGCGTAGCACAGGCAGTCAGTACTGAGTGAGACAGAAAGTTTTTTTATAATGCTTATCTTTTAATGTTTGTTTTGTAATGACTTTGAAAAAACTAAATTGGTTCATTGAGGAGTAACACTCGCCGTTAATTTTATTTATTTTATTGTGACTTTAAACATGTTAAAAGTTCAGGTTTTTGTGTTTTTTGTTTGCTTAAAAATGTTCTTTTTATTAGGTCATGCAAAGTGAAGTGTGTAAATTGGTAATAATTAAAGAATGACACTTTTTATTAAATAGTCCAACTCTCTTTGTATTCAGTACTTAAACTACGTCAATATAAATGCTTTTCTATGTCAAACTGTCAATTAATTACAGGTTTCCCTTTTTTTATCACAGGCATCAAGCAAACAACACAGCAGCCGTTTGACTTAAGAAATCCTTAGCGAAATGGATGAACGCAACAGGGAAAAGCTGTGCTACCACTATGACGCAATCGCTCAGGAGCTGAACACGGAGCACGTCTTGCTGTATCTGAACGGAACGGTCCTCACCCCGTACGAGTGCGACAAGATCGCCGCCGGCAAAACGAGAAAAGACAGGGCCAAGTCCTTGCTGGACATTCTTGTCACCAAGGGCCCGTTGGCTTACCAGCACTTCCGCTACGCACTGAAGGAGCGCTACGCCCACTTGGTGAAGAAACTGGACACCGAGTCTGCCATTCCCGAACGCGACAACAACACCCCAGTTGCGAAGAAAATCACCTTCCAGCGGCGAGACTCGCTCATCCTGAATCTGAAGACGGACAGCATCATGGACGTTTTGGAGAAGGGTGGCATTCTCAGCAAGGAAGATTGCAACCAGGTCCGAGCGGGAATGACCAAGGAGGACAAGGCCAGAGTGTTGGTCAACATGATCCCGGAGCGAGGGCCTTCAGCTTATCGGCAATTCAAGCTGGCGGTCAAGGCTCACCAACCCAAGCTGGCGGAATTGTTGGAATGATCCAGATCAACCAACACCTTGAAACCCTCAGCAGCTTTGTGTGATTTGAGGATGTGATGTTATATGAACACAGGAATCAGCATCACCACCTGTGCCCTTCTGCTAAATGTCACACCCAGAAAGCATGCAGTCTTAACTCACACTTTCACAAAGAAGTTTTCACAGTGTGTGTTAAGCCCGATTCATACTTCACGGGATTTGAGAGCAAAGTGAATTTGTTAAGGGTAACGGCATGCAAGGTGTCCCAATAAACATTGTGCACGAAGAAGTCGCTGATTTGCTCAAAAGTTGGTCATACTAGCTAATCAAATGTTATATTATTTAAAGCCTATTATCTTGTTAATAATTGGTGAAAATATCACGAAAATCCATCAATGCAAACCAGAGATATCGTTGATTTTGTAAGGCTATGATATTATTTTCCTCCTGTACAATTAGAATCCTGTACATGTAGTTAAGCTTAGGCCCATACATTTCAGCTGTCAAAGAAGTTTGCATGTTCATTGTCCTTTCAAAATCTTTGTCAAAGACTTTAACACCTGTTATTAATTTTTATTAGGCATTCCAAGTGGTATTAGATTTGATTATATAGTGTTATGTACCCAAAATGTTATCTATGTACAAAATCCGAATGCAACATAAAGGCCATGCAATATTTCAAGCCATTTGTAACACATACCAAAAAGCCAATAATTGTTACATATATACAAGCAAATACTAAGTGTTAAAATTACATTGTGCAGGTCGAAAAATACATAGCCTTACCAAATCAAAGATATATGTCTGGTTTGCATCGTTGGATTTTCTTGATTTTTTCACCAATTATAAACAAGACCATAGCCATAGGCTTGAAATGCTATAAAATTTGATTAGCTTTTCTGACCTACTTTTGAAAAAATCAGCGATTTCTTCATGCACAGTGTTTATTGGGACACACTTTATGTCACATTAGTGAAACAACGATTATTGACATGAAGTTGAACTGGCCTTTGGATGTTTAGAAAGTTGCTTCTTCTTGTGGTTAAGATGATGTTTTGATTAAATTTGGCCAGACTTTTTTTTTAAATCACATCCTCCCAATCCCCTTTCCGTTATCAGTTTGCCAAACATTTTTGCTGATCTCTTTGACTTCTTTCAAAACAAAAGTAAGTTACTATGAGTTACCGGTACTACATGTACATGTACACAGAATACAGAAGGTTGTGTAAAGGCTTGTATTGTACTATCCATTTGCTAACCAAGCCATACTCTTAAGAGTTAAGAGGAACTCGTCCTATGAATTTTTGTTGTGTAAACTGAACTGAATAGAGTAAACGTAAGCCGTTTGCTACTTAACTTAATTACTTATGCTTTTATCAAGTTGTGTACAGTATTCATTTTTAAAAAGAATTAAATTAATCTGGCATTCATGTTTTAAGTGAGATGAAAATGTTATAAGATGGAATTTTGCGTTGGGGTGGTATAAATCAAATTAGGTTTTGCCCTTCAGCTCGGTGGTCGAGTGGTAAGACATCTGCACTAGAAAGCAGGAGGTCGTGGGTTCGAGTCCCACCCGAGTGATTTTTTTCCAACTTTCACTCGGGAGGTAACACACTGAGTATACAGTGTTTAAACGTCGGTGAAGAGCAAAACCTAATTTGATTTATATCACCCCGACGCAAAATTCCAAATAGTTTATGCAGTACCCGCTGCTATGTACATCAGATTCGAACCAGCCAACCGATCCCGTTAGCTCGGTGGTCGAGTGGTAAGACATCTGCACTAGAAAGCAGGAGGTCGTGGGTTCGAGTCCCACCCAAGTGATTTTTTCCAACTTTCACTTGGGAGGTAACACACTGAGTATACAGTGTTTAAACGTTGGTGAAGGGCAAAACCTAACTTGAGATGAAAATGATTAGGATGTAATATTGAAAGAAAAACCTATAAATCTTGGATTTGCTTCCTAATGCATGTAATGTAAGCCGATTCTTTACTCTTTATTAACAACTTTGTACGTATTTAAGTTAAAAGGTAATAGAACGGCAGGAAAATTTGAGGTCAAGAGCTTCTTGCCATGCTATTAATACCTAGAGAGAAGAATATTACCTCGTTACAACTACAGTACAGGGGGAAGTACATTTATTGGTGACATGTAAGTGGTCTGTTTAAATACTTGTATAGTTTAGGTTTTTAAGGTATTTTTTTAATAACTTCACTTGAAAGTACTATTCAGTACCCTTTTGTACATGTGAAGTGCTGTTACAGGAAGTTGTCTAGCAGTGCTGGTTCACATGCTTGTTCAGTGATGTCATACGTGCACTTGTATTTATCTGAATGGCCATTGTGTTTATGAGTGTTTGGTTCCATTGTTAATATGGAGTGGTGTCATTCAAGTTCCATCATGGACTTTCTATACTTTCATATTTTCAACTTGTTTGTGAACTTTTCACAGAAAGTACTTATAAAATAACATTTTATTCAACTCAGGACTGTTGAACTGTGCCTTGAAACTCTTATCACCTGTGTGCCTTATAAAAGTTGTGCCTTCATGGTTTTCATATTTATGACACTTGTTATTTTATCTGGTGGTATTTTGAAATATTTGTATTATATTATATGTGTGATATTGTATTTATTTACACAGCTTTCTCACTTATTTATTCAGAGTATTTTTTAAGCATCACCATTGACATATTGTGGTAAAAAGTGCTGAAGGAAAAATTAATTGCTTATTAAGGGCTCATGAAATGGAATTTTTGTAAATATGCAATCCTCGAAATGTACCTTTGTGTTCCATTGAACTTAAGTTTTAATCTTCATGTTGCCATTTCAGTGGTGTTCTGGTGCATTTTTTGTTTTGTTTTTCTGCAAATACAAAGTTCCATATATTCATGAGCAAAACTGTAATGTCATTTAAGGAAGAAACTTTAGTCTTACATGTACTTCAGCATGAAAAGTCACCAGAATTTGGGTGTTTTTTTTGGCTGTTGTTTCTTTTCTTTAGTAGGTGATTCATTTGTTGTTTCTGTGCACGACAGTAAGACGAAAAAAAATTCTCCACAAATACTTTTAGTGAGCAAAAGTTGGTGTTTAAATTTGAAGAGAAAAACCCTAATCCAAAGACTGTGTGCATAAAGTGACATCACAGCAACTACCTCCTCAGACTTCAGGAGGCAAAAATGAAACACTTTAAATGTCTCATAGGGATGTCTCATAGTTTGTAACTTTGTATACATTTCAGAGGAACAGATATTTAAAACAAATATGATCTAGTGTAAAGTTAATTTCATGTACCCTTTAATTTTGTGCATTCTACATTGTATTGGCCTACTTAAACTAACAAGTTTGTAAAAAAAAGTCCCCATGGAACTGTACATTAACTTGTTTTGTAAAAGATTTCTGAAACTCTGTTGCCACATTGAATACTATGTTAAATGTAGTAGATAAAACTGTGATACGTTTTGTGTTTACAATGATAACTAAAAGTATTGTAGTGTGGCCATAGAGATGTGTGGTTTACCATAAATGGCAGTTCCGATTCCATGACTCATACTTTCTGGCCTGATGAAGTCATATGTGGTAGTAGTTTATTGATAGCATTGTGGTGGTCATGGTTGAATGAGCTCTGTTCATGTTTGTTTACTATCCTACTGGTATTAATACTGAAAGAGGCTTGTTGTTTACTGTATCATAATAGATTGAAGGTTCCCTTCACCACTATGTATGATGATATTGGGTTTTTAGCTATTTACTTGAAAGATTGATCACCTTGTTATTTGCACAAACCTTCCAATCTCATTTTTGTTTTATTAAGTTTGTGAATATCACAGGAAAAATATGTGTATTGTAATACTGAAATACAGTTTATAGCCATGTTCAAACCTCTAAATATTCAATCTTATTTTCAGAATCTATTATGTACTTAGCTGCGTGTACAAGTACCAACAAAATAGAAGTGTAATGGAAATGTAATGGAATTGTATTAATCTACAGGTTATTTGGATCGTTGTATTGTTTACTCTGAAGCATTTTCTTGATTGAGTGAAAAGTATTTCGTCAGGGTATTTCAGGTCGTGCCTAGTATTATTATGCAGGGGCCATGCATTTTTTTTCAGCACTTTCACAAGCGGACAAATCGTGTGGGGGAGTGGGATGCACATGTATGCTTTTCAAAAATAATTAAAATGATTATATACCTACCTCCATGATAAGTACATATATGTATGTTTTTCAAAAATCATTTCAAATGATGATAATTGTAACACCTACCTCCCTGATAAGCAGAGAAATGAGCAGTTGTTTTCCTTTTCAGTTTGTACTCTCTAGAAGGGGGTCCAGAAAAAAAAGAGTACTCGTACACTGGTGAAAATTATGAAAAAAGTGGATGGCCCCTACAAATGCAGAATGAGGCAGAAAATGCCACTTTAGTCAAATCGTTGTAGTTTTGATGTGAAAAGCTTGTGTGTGCCCATTGTAAATGCGTTTTAAATCAAAAACTCTGATTTTAATCTTTGTGACTTTTTCTATATCAGGTTTTATATAATGTGGAGGCTCTTTCTTGCAGTAAAGGATTGTGTGTGCATGTATACTGTTTATGAGACGAAAATATATACACAGATTATATGGTAATATTCCTCAATTGTTGAATTTTGGTTCTTTCTGTGTGTTGTGTTTATAAAACCATGGAGGTAGAATTCTTCCATGGTTATAACTAGTTTTAAGTTTGTGGGGTAGTGGGAATGGGGGCGAGGGGGGGGGGGAATCATCTAGCCCAAAACAGTTCCCCATTAATAATTGGAGGTGTTGATTGGAGTACACAACTTCTAAAACAATAATAGCAGTAACTATTCCATGATGGTGGTCTGTTCTGCAGATGAAAACTACAGGTATACACCTTGTTGTACATGTGTATACTGGCCTTTTTTTGCCTGAAGGGTTTTATGCTACATAATACTTTTGATAATTGAAAAAATCGATATCGTTAAAAAAAATTGTACATGTCCATTCTGGGCCATCATAATAAAGGCATCCGCCCGTACGTACACCGTACGTGTATGTGCGTTATCTGCATGCAATGAATGTATACACGTCGTACGTGTACGTGTATTTTACATGCGCGCGCTAGCTCCCCATTAATGGACGGACGCACGGACGTACAGCAAGTCGAGTCGGGTCTTCTTCAGAGAAGTGTATTTTCTGTAAGTTTCTAACCAAGTGATTGGAATGTGGGTAAGCTGGTGGAAAGAAACCTGGTTTTCTAGAAAGAGCTTTGTGTTTAAAAAATACATGAGTAACTTTTTGAGGAAGCAGAAATAGTAAAATTTAAGTTTACACGGCAAGGCCGGCTAGCTGTGCTAGATAGGACATCGAACTCGAAACAAGTTTGTGCATGTGACCGGTTTTCCTTTCTTTATATTATTTTGCAAGATAGAAACATCGGTTCAGTAATCCCATATGTTATTCGCGTCTGTGTTAAGGTGTCAGCCCTTTCAAATAACGTGTTATCTTTGATTTAATCTGTCTTTCGTTGTTCCCTTTTCGTGCCTCCTTGTTTTACTGTGTACAGTCAAATTCCGTTTGCAAAGCAGTTTTCATGGGTTATTCCATTTCTCACATGATAGGGGTGTTCCTCTCTTTAAGCTGTGCTGCTTAGTACCATGCGCTATGCACGTTGATGCGGTCGGTTGTGCAGTGGGAAGTTTAACTGCACACAAGTCATTTAAGCTAAAAACCAATACTGTACATTTATCAAAATGTAAATGTTATGTAACATTGTCCTTAATTAAAGAATTATGAAATGCATGCTTCTGTGTGCTAAGTTTGTTTTGCTTCTTGTACATTGTACAAATAAATTTGGCACATGGTTTATTGCCATACCTAATTTATAAAATGGAATATTCCATAATTCTTTTTGCTTACAAAATGGCTGCCATGGCTCACTTTGCTTACTGAATTCAGAGTGTTGCTTTAATTTACTTATTTTGGGGAGAAAATTGGTTTTTATTAAAATTTTAACGTGGAACTTTGACTTGGCAATACCTTGTGTTAGACTTGGCGAGTCTAATCACATTTTATTTTCAGTAGACTTTCCAAATTGCTGAGCTCGTCTTTGCTTTGTTCGCATTGTCAACATTTGTCATGCCTACGTTTTTGTGGTACGTCGTTAGGCCAAAAAAAAAAAGTCTCCGGTTTCTGGTATCCGTGTGCGTCGCCGTAGCCATGCGCGTCGGCAAAATGAAAAAGTTTTTTTTTCAATAAAAGATGTCTCAAAACCGCCAACTCACTGGTTTGACTGGAATCCTGCTGCTGCACAATTTCAACGTGTTTTTAGATGGGGTTATGATCGAGAATAAGCTTTATGTGGCTTCTCCGCACCCATATATATGCACTAAGTTTAGTCGGGCACCAATTGCAGTCATCAGCCGACATTTGAAGCAAAAAAGACAGGTAAAAAAAAAAAAAAGCCGCGTCGCCGCACCACTTTTTGGGCAAGCTCCATACCAGAAACCGGAGACTTTTGTTTTTTGGCCTTGGGTAAAAAATATTGCAAAATTCAAATGTGCACACCTACCTAATTGAGCAATTTTTTTTGTAGGAAATAATTAATATGCTAACCAATTGACAATGATTGATTTGACTTTATCACGCTAGACAAAACGAAGATTCCCTTCCCAAGCCTAGGCCCCCCCCCCTCCCCCCGATAACTACCCTTTCACAAAACCCATTTGTAGGCTAAATTAATGTTTTGAATTTATTTCTGGAAAGATTCCCATATCTGGCCATCACTTGTCAACCGGTGCACAAACCATATGGGACTGGTCTAAACATATTCAAGTGTTTTCTCAGTAAAAATTGAAAATTTGGCCCTGCTAATTTGACTTTTTAGGACATATTATCACTTTCTGATGGCTGATTGGTCATTTAAGGGAAAAATTACTGATGGCCAGATATGGCAATCTTTCCTTATTTCTTTTTTTAAAAGTTTAACAAAGCAATTGACTGGAGTGGGGTTTGAACCGAATTACTGTTCGGGGGCACCAACTGAGCTGTCCAGCCCTATGTTGGCGGTGCCCCATTTTGTCAGTGTCTTTGTTCAAGGGGTGCTTTTCAGAAGCCATAAACCTCTATTGCCATGTAACCAGGGATCACGCCGCAAGTCCTAATGCCAGCAATAATACTCTTTAATTAGAAAAAAAATACAATTGCTGCCAATTTGAGCAATACATGTAGCAAATGTGGTGTTTTTTTAGTGCAAGTTGCATTAAAAATTTAGAATCTGATTCTGATTCAATTGAAAAGTGCGCATTCCTTATTGTATTGCTGGTCCTTTTTGTTAATACAATGTGTTTGCAATAGAAAATAAATGAACTGAGTATGATTGTAACATTTCATCTGTAAAACTTCACATCGAAAATTCACAAACTTTTGTAAAAGCAATACATGTGCTCTCTTTAATCATTTTGTTTTGTATATTTTTTTCTTTTTGACACAGGTTGCAGGTTCATGCAGATTTGCCGTAAAGAATTACCAAGCAGAATATTGTCATCATATCCATCTCTATCTGGCTTCTTCAAGAGTCAAAGATTGACGTATTTGAGGGTAAATTTATATTGATTAGCTTTTCTTGTGTCACACAAAATGGGGACATATTACCTCTTGACAAAGGCAGAAACCCCTACCACTCATCCCCCCCCATTTTATTTTTATAAACAGCCAGTGATATTACTTTAAGCCAAACAAAAATAGCTCTGCCTCTGGTTTCTCTACCTACCCTATTCTGACAGCCACTACCCTAATTTTTGTATGGGAAAAATGAGAATAAAACACACAAAACCATCAATTACTACCTTTTACCCTTGACTACCCGCCTCCATTTGATTGTACACAATAAACAATTCAGTGAATGATGACTGAAAGGACCAGGCATGCATCTTTTCCTCAGAAGAGCAGATGTCCTTTTTCAAACTTCTTGTATATGCTATTAAAAATTAGAAAAACGCAGGAGCAAAAACGAATTACTGGCCAAAATATGAAGAGGTCATTTTCAAAATGCTATACGCCATTTCATTCCCATTTCGCTTCTAGAATCCCGTTGACTCCTGGCTGCCCAAAATGAATTTTGACGGCTGCTATATACATTTGTGTAGCTAAACACAACTTCAGAATACAATAGAGCAAAAATAAAGTTTGGAAACTGCTATTATATCTGTTTATATTCTTTAACCCCCCCCTCTCTGGTAGTCAAAGCACAGCTATATCAGGTTTCAAAACAATCACAGCCAGTCAATCTGCTGTAAGAAGGCAAGGCAGGGAGCACTCAACTGTTAAAAACAATCACTTGCTTTATTTTGACTGCTGAGCTGGCCTTCCAGTTTTATGACAAAGGAAAGCGTAGAAAACAGCATAGAAATAGCAGTCCAAATAAATCAAGTGACTGTTTTTAGCAGTTGAGTGCTCTCTGCCTTCATAAGGCAGGATTGACTGGCTGTGACTGTTATGGAACTTGCTATAGCTATGCTTTGACTGTAAGAGATTGATAAGCCAGCTGTGCCTACCAGTCTTCTGCTTTTGTCTCTTGATGGAATTCAATTCGGGCGATTCACAATGCAGTGCGCCACCAAGAGTTTGCCATGGAGAGTCAACTTTTCAAGTTTACGGTCGACAAAATATGGCCCATTTGAATGAGTGTCAGTAGACAACTTGAGCTATTATGTTATAGATAGGGCATAGCGTTCTGCCGCCTTACAAAAAATCACCATATTGATACAAAGAAATTAAAAGTGCAAACATACTCGAATCATACGCTTACGAAACTACTGACCGGAAAAAACGAACAATTTCAAATGTCCCGCGCTGCGAATTTGTTGACCATCTCCCACAATGCACTGGGAAAAATGAACTCTCCGTGGCAAACTATTGGTGGCGCTCTGCATTGTGAATCGCCCGAATTGTCAAAGTGCCTACAAGAAATATGATCTGACTGTTGGTGACTAGCCTGTGTAAAAGGCATGGCAGGAGAAGAGGAATTTTTGACAGTCTGACTGATAAAACAAATGGAGGGTTAAAGTTTCACAACTGCATATTTTTTTTTTTTCGAACGGATGTATTTTTTTTTGGAAATGAACACTTCATATCATTCAGTGTATAATGCTTGCATCTGGTTTTTGTCTGTCTTCATAAAGCACTGGAGCGCTGTGGTCTAATGGTTACGGTGTTCGACTCACGTGCTGTGGTACGTGGGTTCGAACACTGACAGGGAACATGGTGCTTGTGTGCTTGGGCAAGACACTTTACTACAATTGCCTCCCTCCACCCAGGAGTATAAATGGGTACCTGTGAAGGTAGAGACTAGCATGCGCTGATCTCGAGCTGCTGCAGAAACTGGTCTCATAGCCTCATGAAAAGGGGTAATAATTGTAAAGTGCTTTAAGACCGTTGGTCTAAAGCGCTATGTAAGCACATTATTATTACTGCCTTCAGCAATATTTCTTGTTAGCTCCATGCAATTGGGCTCAGTTCAAGTCAGGTGGATAAAGTGTGAAAGTCCTTCTGATTAGCCTTGTTCAAGTGGATGTTATCAGAAGGCGAATTATTAAAACCTTTCAGTTTTGCTATTTTCCTGCTGTGACGATGTTACTTGCTATTAAAAACCTCTATCTGTGTTTGATTTTATTTGTAGACATATTTCCTAAGGCGGACTAGGTGCAGAGGCACTCATCTATGTTAGTTCCTGTCTGTAACAAGGCTTTCACGGACAGAAATGAGGTTTGTTTATTTACTTCGATAATTTTAATTTTCCATATTGAGTTTGGCCCTTGAGCAAAACCACTGACGTAATTTGAACCAGTAAGCCGAACCTCGGCAAGCTCAGTTTCCACCTGTTTAAGCTTGTTAAGTTTCTGGTGTGGAGCTTGCCCCAAAAGTGGTGCGGCGACGCAGGTTTTTTTGTTTTTCCCCCAACTTTTTTTTTCTCTTCAAATGTCGGCTGATGTTGCAGATGACGCTTCGATCCCCTTAAAACTCTCACAAATATCCTTCAGAGTGCAACTTGAGGTGACCTCAGTAAGGCCACAAGGCTTGAGAAGTATATTGAGCTAATTAAAAAGTGTTTACAGGTTCCAGATACACAACCCTCGCTCTGTCAGTCTGGCTTCCAGACGCACAATTACAAAGTTACAACACTGTCTGCAAATGGTGCCCGACTAAATTTAGTGCAAAATATATGGGAGCCCAGAGAGGCCACGTAATGCTTATACTCGATCGTAACCCCATCTAAAAACACGTTAAAATTGTGCAGCAGAAGGATTCCAGTCAAACCAGTGAGTTTGGCGGTTTTGAGACATCATCTCACATTGAAAAAAAAACTTTTTAATTTGGCTGACGCGCATGGCGACGCGCGTGCATACCAGAAACCGGAGACTTTTTTTTTGGCCTAAGCATGAAACATGGGATAATTCTATGGTCACCACATGAAGTCCCTCTGCCCTCCCCCCCCCCCCCCCTTAAAAAATAATAATAAAATGGCAGCGCTTGCTGGAAGAGACATGTAACTCGAGGCAGTAATTAAAGGAGCATAATGACTTGGTGCAGACGGTACAGCGTGTTTGCGATTCGTATTTTGTATTCATCACACAAAAAAAGAAAGAATTCATGTGTCAGTTTGTGTTGATTTTTATCAATACCAAGTGGAAGCACAGTTGACTTTTTCATCGCATTTAGCCATTTTTGACCGCAGAGTTCGGAGTGATATCCTTTTTTGGCATGTTTACCTGTTCCATATTGTAAGTTATAATTTAGTATCGTTAGCCTAAACAAACAAAAAAACCATGTTTAGCGTCCCGCCCGCTTCCTTTTTCGAGGCCACCTCCTTTATTATTATTTTTTTTTAATTGAACAAAAACCCGAAAAAATGATAAATTTTAAACAGTGACATCATTTTGGCCTCTTTGTCCATTGCATCTAGCCCATATAAAGCTGGTAGTCATTTCCTAAGTCCATGTGGGAACTATTTAAAATAACAATTGGCGGCCATCTTGAAAATTAGCCCGGTCGGACGGCCATTTTGGAAAAAAAAAGAAGGAAAAAAAAAGGGCCGCCTCCTTCCTTTTCTTCAAAAAGGCAGGACGCTAAACATGTTTTTTTTTACTTGGCCTTATGACCAAATATGTTCAAATCACATATTGCACTATGATTAAAGACCGAAATACTTCACCAAAAGTTTGATTCATTTCAATCGCATCTACCAATTGATTGTAATATAGATCTTATATTACCGTGAAGACATGGTTTACATTTCTGCTGAAATATTGCAACAAGTGCAAATCAGAATATTAGAGTTAGTAGAAAGGTGGGGTTTTTTCTTACAGAGAAAGTATAAATTTAAGTAGTGCTCACCAGAAGTTCTTTGCCGAATTTTCGGACTAGTGTCCTTCTTCAAGGGAGTAGGTTGCAATGAAGAAACGCGGAGAACTCGACGTCGATGCCACGCGGGAACAGCGTTCCAAGGTGGAATATCAGATGCTTCTCCCGCTCTTTCCGCATTTCCTCAGTCTGCGTGGTTGTCAAGACGCAGATGCGCATGTCGTCAATGGTATAGGGTGAGGTAGTGAAGTGTTGCCCAACAGCGGTGTCCTTGTTTTTTCGTTTTTTTTCATTGGGTAACACTTCACTACCCCACCCCAAACCATTGAAGACATGCGCATAGACTGCGTCTTGACTCCACGCAGACTGAGGAAACACGGAAGGAGTGGTTGCAGCGTCTGATATTCCGCCTTGGAACGCTGTTACCACGTGGCAGCAACATCGAGTTCTCCGCGTTTCCTCATTACAACCTACGCCCTGAAGAACGACACCAGTCCGAAAATTCGGCCAAGAACTACTGGTGAGCACTATTTTCATGCACTATTTTCCTTACTTGTGTATTAGTGCTACGCAGCACCCATTTTGTTTTTATGGTTCTTATGTCTGACTCTTTGTAGTCTCATTTCTACACTCTCTAGTACCCCATGTGTGGTATTTTATCTTGAAATGCACTGTACAACACTGTGTCCAAAACAGGCTTCCAGGGCTACGGCTATGGCTACTGTCGGCTTGTTCCCACACAGTTTTGTGGGGCGATGACCTAGACAATGGCTCTAGACTAGAGATTCGGACCCAGCCTAAAATTGCATCAATGCATGAATTTATAGCAAGGTCATATGAAAGTATATAACCACATGACCTTGCAACCTTTTGGTATGTTGAGTGGTGCCAATTTCCTAATCAATGCCAGTGTAATATCATTCAAAAAATGAATGTTATGAGTGCAATGGTAAGAATAATTTCATGAGGTGACAGATGGAATGTTCCATTCCACGAGGTGAATATCACCCAATCCAGTACCTGTTCTTTATATTATTTTATTTTCAGTTTTTTTTAAGTACTACAGTCTGTGAATATATTCTGACCACAGCACCAATACCAAGGTTTTTTTTTTTTTTTTTTTTTCAATACAGGTCCTGATTTGCTGTGTGTCTCTTGCTTTTACCGCCATGATGTCACCCATTTTCAAGAATTTTGTTTGATACCCTGATGGCTGAGACAACAGATGCTTAGAATGGAGGCAGATTCCACCAGTGACAAGATACCGGAAGACTACCTTGAGACGTCAGGTCAGGAGGTCCCTGAAACCATGGAAACAACTCTGGTATCCAATGGTTCCGAGGAGAGAAGTTTGTCAGATTTGCCAAGAAGAGATCAGCATGCTTTCAGTGGCGGCCATGGAAGCTCCACAGTGTCAAGCAACAGTGACTCCATTAACGAATCTTTTACCCATGCGGAAGCCATTCAGCAAGCTATGGAAGACACTGCAGGAGACTCTCTCTGCGATTTATCTTTCAGTGAAGCCAGGAATGATGGTGATGCTTCCTCAGTCCGGGAACCAGCCAGTGATGGTGTCATTACTGCTACAGATGAAGCCGCGGAGATCGTTGAGACCTCTGTTTCATCCAAGTGCCTTCTTGAAGATGACATCAGGTGCTGTCCGGTCAGCACAACCTTGACTGATGTGTCAGGCTCTGAGCCTGACTGTCAGTCAGAAACAGGAGGCTCTCAAATGTCAGATAATCCCAACGTTGCTGGAGATTCCAAAGCTATGGAAGTATCCAAAGCTACCAAAAGTGCTCAAGCTGCAGATGCTTTCCAAACAGTGGAAAGTTCCCATCCTGCAGAGTGTCCCAAAACTGCCATAGGTTCCAAAGCCACCGAGGGTTCCAGTGACAAAGGAAGTTCTGAGTCTCTGAGAGGCTGCCCATCTACAGAAGACCCTCAAGCTTCAGAATTTACTTATGCGTTATGGGGACTCCAATCTACAGCTGGCTCACAAGTTTCACAGGGCTCCTCAGGGACAGAACACTCTCTAGCCACCAATTATTCCCAAACTTTAAGAGGCTCCCATGTTACAGACGGTTCCCAAGCAACGGGAGTGTCTCTAGATATGGAAGGTTCCCAAGCTATGGATGGTTCTCACACTCGAGAAGACGACAAAGTTGTAAAAGGCTCCAAATCCAGTGAAGTTCCTCAAGTAAGCTCCCTAGCTGCATTAGATTTCCAAGTTCCAGTTCATGTTGGTGCTGACTCCACCGCTACGTCGGCCACAAATATGTCATCCACCAATCTCGGAACACCTGTCCGTAAAAAAGGTGTCCAAGCTAAAGCAAGCTGTAGTGATTCCATGACAGGTGTGAAAACATCAGGCAAATTTACAAACGAGGATGATGATTTGTACTCGGAAATAATCGCAACAAACACCAAAGTGAAAATCCTGAAGAAGTATTTCGGGGATACAAGGAAACCAGGCCTCTGCCATCGGCCACACCACAAAAAATACTACGGGTCCTTTAAGTGCAGAGAGTGTCACCTGTCCTTTAGTTATTTGCCATCGCTTTTGTTACACAGCAATAAACATGGCAAACAATACCACATGTACAAATGTTCCAAGTGCAACTACAAATCCTCTGCTCCAGGTGCCTTCACAAAGCATGAGCTTAATCGTCACCCAGTTCTACTTTTCCAGTGCTACGTCTGTATGTCCACATTTTTACAGGAGAGCACACTACGCAGACACAAGGAAGCGTGCCATCTCTCGAAGCCCGTGGATTATGTCTGTAAACTTTGTAAAGGTGTATTCTCCAGTCATTCGACATTGACTGAACATTTGAAATTGCAGCATATGATTGTTTCAGACTGCAGTGCATGCAAAGGCAGTTCTGATGCTGTTGGAGAGAGCAACAGACAACCTGATGCAAGCTTTCAGCAAAAGTTCTACTGTGTTGTGCCCAGGACTTCCAAAATTAGCAAGCGATGCAAGAAGTGCAAGGCTTTGTTTCCACCAAAAGACAAGGCTTTTGTCCAACATCGGCAAGCCTACGAGGTAGCAATCAAGCCAGCCTGCGTATGGTGTGGCTACAGGGGTACTTCAGCCTGTGATCTTTCATGCCACAAACGACAGGTTCATAACTGGTGTTTGGTCTGCAATTGGAAACTTGGAAACAAGGGGCTGTTGGACCAGCACACTAAAATTGTTCACCATGGATTTGGGAAAAAAGAAAGCCTTGACAAAGGAATCCAGTCCCAAAAAAAATTGAAGGAAGAACAGCGTGTATCAAGCCATCAAGAACATCGTTGTCCGCATGTGCAATGTCATCAAAGAGTATATTCAGAAGTTGGTCTTGAGCAACACATCAAAGAGGTACATGAGCAAGACGAGACTCGGCCTTTCATTGTGAATGTGAATACCGAAGCTGTACAGCACTGGTACTGCACCACGTGCAATGTCATTTTCCCGACCAAGAGACTGCTTGAACTCCACATCAGGCTCAATCACCGGCCAATGAAGAAGACGGAAACCAGCCCCTTAGTGCAAGCTGAACCAACCGAAGAAGATCAGGAATGGCGCTGTCTGCTGTGCAACACACTGCATCACACACTGGAAGAATGCAATAAGCATCAGATTACGCATCACCCTGATGAGTATGAGTACATATCCCGAAAGGAGATTGCTGAACCAAGCCAACCTCTTCCTGTGTCTGCATTATCAGACACGGGTCCCCCATACACCTGCAGCATGTGCGACTCTAAGGTCTCATCTGTGGAAGAACTGCATTTGCACAAGAAGCAGTTTCACAGGATAGCGTACACGTTATCCATTAAGGATAAAGTCTGCCCCGAGAGAACCATTTATAGATGTAGGTACAGATGTGGTTTTGCAAACAGCATCCGCAAACATGTCCTGAAGCATGAGCCAACATGTCTGCACAAAACAACAGCTGAACCCAAAGTTTGGGGCCATCCACCCATAGTGCTAGACTCAAGCTCAGGAAAGATGGTACATAACCAAGAGAGTGCCTCCACCATCAGTGAACCAGCCTCTAGTAAGAAGTCACAAGAACTGGAAGCAGACCATCCTGAGATCAAAGAAAAGGCTGGTTCTGAGGCCGATCCTCATGCGGATAATACCAATCAGGATGAAAGCATGGAAGCCTCTTCTGAGAAAGGTGTTGACCAGTCTGTTGTTCATAGGCAAGAGGAGACAGTCAAACCTGCATCCAGCAATCTAAAACCTGCCCTTTCTCAAACAGTGTCAACAATTCCTTCTGGTCAACTTAAACCATCCAAGCCTTCAACTTCAGGGTTTGGTTCTACCTCTGCTTCTAACAAAATCATCTCCAAGTCTTCTATCAACCATCCACAGGGTAGTAAGCTTCCTGTTTATGGCAAGCATGATGTGATAACCAGCAGCAGTGATGATGACAGCAGCTGCAGTTGGCTAGATAAGAGCAGTGATTCAGAAGAATCAGAAGAGGCTATGCTGACTGAAAACTCTGTCGTAGATTCTTCCCCCATGTCAAGTGAGGGGGAAGATGGTCAAACAGAATCTGTACAGGAAGCTCCAACATTGTGTCCTCAGGGTCAGGCTGCTGGACTTGGGGGGCAGCATGCGCAAGTCAAACCACCTGCACCTTCTACCAATCCTCATCCGCCATTGCTGCAACCCACTGTCCTTATGAGGTTTTTCCAGGCGATTGACTTGTCAGACCTCTACCGCCTTGCCCTGCAGATGATCACAGGTTCCCCCCAACCACACTCCCTTCCTACATCAGATCCAGCGATGGTGAGCTCAAAGGTAGCAAAGTTTAAATACAAGATCCCCCTTGGCTATAGTCACCCAGAATTCAAGGAGATACCACTCTTTCCCTCCTCAAACGAAGCGAAGATACTTGGTAACCTGCAGACACTACCAACCTCACTCATTAATAAGCATTACAGAGGGGTGCTTGCAAAGCCTTTCCACAATTACCTATCTTCATTAGTTGACTCCGCAGTCATCAGCAACTTCAGCGAGAATACCATCAAAGGAGTTGAGCGTTACGTGAGGAAGCAACGGGTAGATGATCGAAAGGACATAACATCAAGCCTGTCGCGGTATATCGTCTCGCAGTATGTCAAGAATCAGCAGAAGAAACCTCCTGGCACTCAGCCCATTCCCCTGTCAATTGGTGCTACAAACAATCCCGTCGTGCAGTCCATATCCCGGTCTGTCAGCGCTGTAAACAGTCCCGGTGCAGGGCCCAGTGGGGCTCAATCAAGGCCTCCGGCAATCCGTCTAGTGATCACAAAATCGGCTGTTCCAGTAGCTAAAGTTAAGTATATGGGAGTACAGCCATCAGCAGTCAATGCCAGTGGGGCCCCTGTGCAGGCCAATATTGTAGTCAGCCGTCCACTTCAATTAACCACGACATTGCTAAATATGTCACCCTCCAAATTTCCTTCTGAAAGTACTTGTAATTTAGGAGTTCCCACTGCGGCAACAGTTGTTAATCCATCAGCTGTAAGCCAAACCAAGCCTTTAGGCATGGCAGCTAGTGGAAAAAACACTCACCCACAAGACAAAAGTGGTAAAAGGGTTCAGCCTGGTCCCAAAGTCAAAAGAAGCCCAGCAGCAACTAAGTCCACCAAGATAAAGCCAGCAGTTTACAGCGTACCTGTGAGAAGGTCGCCAAGATTGCTTAAGAGTGCGGGAGACCTGCCATCTTCATCAGGATCTTCTAATGGCCTCGCTGATTTGGAGAAGTGTGATACCTTACCTAAGCAGAATGACCAATCAAAGGGCAAGAAATCGTGTACACCAAAGACAACCGTGGATAATGGCACAAGTGACCCTGAGTTAGAAGAAACTCGCACGGATAAAATGAAGACAAAACACAATGAAAAGCCAACATACAGAGGTAGATGTAAAGACGGCCAGTCAGAGACCGCAGAAGACGGAACAGATAACGGAAACCCGAAGTCACTACCTAAGCCTTCTGACCCAACATTGTTACCTCAGTTAGGGTTTACAGGCATTGCAGTGGCTCCAAGGAATGGGTCATCTGCAAACGGTCAAACTCAGCAGGTCAACAGCAAACATAATCTAATGCTCCAAATGGTACCAGGTCCAAGGCTGCCAATGTTGTCTTTGAACACCAAGCTGCCGCCAGGTAGCATCTTGGCTGAAACGATTGACAGAGAAGGGGTGATTCAGACCAGAATGGCAAGACACCCGCTCCATGGATTAAATGGTGGCACTGTGCCAAGACTCATCGCCCCCAACAATGGATCTTTTCTCAGCACAGGGCAAGCAGTGCCTCAGAACAGGACAATGTTCTTCATGAATTCAGTACCTGTCAATTTACAGCCAATACGTCTTCCTGATAAGTCCACGATACTACCTGGTCTGTCATTGAAGGCTCCTGTGGTCCAAGTAAATCCTCAGAGCTTGGGAAGCAGACGCTCAGATCCTTTGGTTAATCGGGTTCTGTGCCCAGATACCAACAAGAATATGGAGCATGTAACTCATGAACTTGATGTGTCCACTAGTCCAGGCTTAAGCTCTCTACCAAGTGAGGAGCAGTTGATTCCTCAGAGTACTCTGTCCACTCAGCCTCTGTCCACTCGACAGGTCAGTGCAGGTGACAAGCACAACTCGACAGCAAGTAAATGGAAGATGACACTGACCATGGATGATGTCTTGGCAATCATGGCAAAGAGAAAATTACAGAGGTTTTCTGCGTATAAGCCATTACCAAGTGGAAGCCTAAATCAGGCAGATGGAAGCACTGAGGTGAGCAGCAAAGATCAGCTGCAGACTTGTGACATTGATAAAAATGATAGTAATTCAACGGTCAACACTCTTAAGAGAAAAAGTAAGCAGCGAGCTTCTTCAGAATCTGTCGGCACACCACAGAAAAAAGTTTGTAAAGTGATGAATGACTGTTGCAGTGAGGAAGCTCTACCTAATCAATTACTCTGTGCCCAGCCCTTGGTTTTTGATTCAGAGATATTGGAGAAGTCAGGAACCACTTCGAATTCAAACCAGAGGAACCCACACTCCATTTGTACTAAATTTGTAGAGGGTGATGACGAGCAGCAGTCAACGACAGAGCAGGCAGAGCAGGCAGCTGACTCAACTAGGGAAGAGGAGAAGACAAGTACCAGCTCTGAAGAATTGGTGGAGGAATCCTGCTCAGATGCTACAAGCAAGACGAACTCTGAAATGACCAATCCAGACACCACAGAAGAAACAAATATAACAAGGAGGTCACTACGTACAAGGGATGCAAAGAGGAAGACAGAGCCTGCTAATAAGCTCAACAATAAGAAGCGAAAGACAACAGTGGACCACTCCTACATGAAAAATCCCCAACCCGACAGCAGTGACAATAGAAGGAAACTGAGAGCTCTTCGGCAGCGCAGTAAGGGATCGGGGATGCCAAGAGAGGCTAAGAGAGAAAGCACTGGAAGTAAGACCAGCGCAGACCGACGCTTGGTTCCACATGATCACTCTTATACTGGCAGCAGACCTCAGAGAAGCAGTCCTAGGCTAAAAGCCACATCAAAGATGGACCACTCTTACTTCTGGAAAACTCAGGATGGAATGAGGGCAAATGGAGACTCTGATGATGCAGGCAGCAGACAGGATTCAACAGTCAGTGTTGGAAAAGTGACTTTTGAAGTAGACAGGAAGCTACCAAGAGCAGAGGATCTGAGAGGCAGCGTAGAAGACCATGCCAGTAGCCATGACCATTCTTACTCGGCCAGCTTCCCCCAAAACGTTCAGGACCAGATGGCAGCTATGGACCACTGCTATGTCAGACTCACTCCTATCAGCATTGGCAGCAAACGACAAGTACCGCAGGCAACTACAATGCAGCCAAGCTCACCGGTACATGAGACCTTCCAAGCAGAGAGAAAGCACAGAAAGGTTGCAGAAGATAAGTCCAGCACTTCTGACGCTGCTCTTGGAGCGGCAGGTGTTGGATCATCCAAGCATGATGTTAGGCGTACACTGAGAAGCTCTGATCAGTCACATACTAAGTGAGTCTGCCATGATGACGCTGAGCAGTTTGGCGTTTTATGTGATGACTTTGACACGTATTCCATTTAGTACATTTCCCAATGATGTGCACACACAGTTCTGATATGCCAATCCAGAAGAAAACATGCTTAAGACATTCCTTGTTCCATTGGGAAGGTACTTTGTTCAAAATGGATTGTGTGAGATGGAACTGGATGGTGAGCATTTTGAGGCATGTCCTTAGCTCAGCAGTTAAGTACTTTTCTTAACCAAGAAATGCAATTGAAGTGTGAATCTTTTGAGTCTTTAAGCAAAGAGCATTAAGCAGAAGCAAAATAGGGCAGTGAATATGTTTTGAAATTAAAGTTTTCTTTTTGTATCGGTGGATGATGTCATTGTTGAAAAGGATTTCAATTAATCATTTGTAGAAAGGAAGTTTTTTTGTCAATAATCCCAAAAGAAACCAAGTTTGGTTTATCCTCTTATTTTGATTTGAGTCTCAAGGTACGAGTGAACATTGAAGTTCAAACCTTTACTGAATCTGTAAATAGTGTGTGCTGCCTAAGATGGCATTTATTGATGGACCAGTAACGAAGGACCAGTAATGATGGGTTCATACTTGTATTTCTAGTCGATTTGTAAAAAGATTAATGAATGTACAATAGTTGTAAACTTTTTGTGTCAAACCCTAACTCTGCCTTCACAGCTATGCAAATCACACATTGTCTCTGTGAATAGCTTTGGTAAATTATAACTCTGTATATAAGAGGTGTCTATAAGAGGAAAATATGGTATCCATTCTGCTATCAGTTCAGTGTAAGAAAGATATTTCTTACAGTTAAGGCTGGTTCCTACTCTGCACGGAAGCAAACTGTGAACACAAATTTCGCAAGTATTTGCACTGCACATTTGCAACACATTTTCTACCTCAGCGAATTGTACAGCGATTGTTTTGTGACTGGCCCTTGTAAAGATTGCTGATCAAAATCAGACGTTGAGTTCTGGAGTATCTATTTCTGTTAAAGTGATGAGAAATAATCGGTAATGCTCGATTCAGCAATTTCATGAAAGAAGTAATAGAATTACTTGGGTTATTATTACTGAGAATGGCACCTAAGAAAGACATCGGGATGTGCTCAAACAATTTCAACTGTTCATGACCCCTAACCCAATTTGACTTTATCCTACCCGCACACAATTTGGTTCATTTATGTTTTGAACTGAGCAGTCAATATTGCAATCAATATACATGTACGAGCAATCAAAATAGCATGTCTGCGACACTAAAATGTTGCCTCTTAATAGGAGTTGTGACATTAGGGAGGCATTGAGATGTCTCCTTAATCTACCTTGTCTCCCTGAGGTATAACTTGACGAAAAACAAGTTTTCTTTCATGGTATTTACAGGAATTAAGAAATTGGTGTTTGACGACAGGCCTGCTATATAACTCTCACGCGCTGAGACTCGCGCACGCATTTATGGTTATTCTCACACTCTTGGCTTTATGGCTTCATCGAGGAGTTAATACAGTGTAGTACAATGTAATACAAAGTCGGTTGTTTCTTGTCCATTGGACTTGCCTCATACTCAGCTGAAGAAACATTTGTTTTAAAATGCGTTACAGTCAGAGATCAAAATCTACCAGCTGATCCTGAAAGTACATTGTATTGTGAAATGACAGTGCTTATATGTAGCATGAGGCCAGTAAACTTCAAGACAAGCTAAACCTGGCCATTTGTTTGAACAAATTGTATTTTATGAAATTTTTTAATAAATAGGATTTGTAAGTACCCAAAACAGTTTACCCATTCCTGTTGGTCGAGAGCCTGTCACGTGGGTGGTTTTAAACGGTTGGAAAAAAAAATCAACTGGTTTTGAACACTGTTTTCCGGTACCGCTGCGTTCTGCGCAACATCGCGCAGTATGTGCCGTGTGCATGCGAATCGCCATAAAATGAAATTATAGCTACGCGCTGGAGGCACATATGTACAAGTAACCATGGACATGTCCAGCTGGAGGGGTAATTTCACAAAACTTGAAATAAAAATTGATGAACAAAATCGTTTGAAAATTGTGAATTTGTGACTTGTTTTTGACTGATAGATATTTATGAATGGGAGAACAATATGCGCTCGGCTGGTAGTAAAGAAGTACGTTTACAAGGCCACCAGCCAAGTGCATGTTTGTCCCGTTAACAAAATGTTTAATAAATGGCTCGTTTGTTACCTTCAATTTTGTATTTACTACGATGTATAACATTTCCCGTTATCTATGGTTAAATGTTAGATTTTTTCAGAGGGTTTCTTCACTTTTGTATGTGATTCAACTCATTAGCAACAAGTAATGTAGTCCAGGGCGCCAGTATTTGTTCACATTGAAAATTTTCATCTTGATTTGTGATATATTGTATTACCTTAGCTGTGTAGTCATAAATGAAGTACATGTAGCTCAATATTTTTTTTTCCTTACAATGTATTTACAATTTTGGACATAATTTATTGCATGAATAAAAAAATTGTTAGAAAAAGTATAAACCAAACTTAGATCCAGCCCGTACTCTCTTCTGTTGAGTTTATTACCAAAGTGAGTTTGCTCAGCTATTTGTTTTATAGCTTTTTTTTAGTTTGATAATAGTATTCCTTTTCTTCTTGTAAAATAAAATAATAAAATTTGAAATGATTTGATCTCTTATACAAGTTAGTCATACAGGGTAGAACTTTCTCTTAAACAGGCCTATCTTTACAAGAAGGGGTAGCCGCTGTATGCTCCTCTTGCATCCAAAGGAAGTTGTACGCTACATGTATTTGGAGAAAAGTCCTTTTTTTTGGGCTGAATTTGAGTAAAAAAAAATGTAAGGCTAACCCCTTGCAATTTTGTTCTATTATGGCCAAAAAATGAAAATCATTGAAAGTTGCAGGGAAGATGCCTAAAGGGCCATAAAACACATTCCCACTCGGTTTTTGGACATATGTGCCATGCTAAAGAAAACTTGCGCAGAAAATATGGGAAAATTTTAGTCAAAATATGAATTTTTTTTCTCAATAAATCAGTCGTTTTGGCAAAACTCTTCAAAATTATGGGTGTTTGACTACTGATTGATGCTCTTCTAGCATCAAAAGGAATTCGTGTGGTTTTTGGAGGAATAAAACCCCAAAAAATGAAATTGTATGAAAGTTGCAGGAAAGATGCATAAAGGGTTCTAGAACACATTCCCACTCCAGGACAGATGTGCAATACAAAAGAAACAAACACCGAAAATTACATGTATGTCAATTTCCGTCCAAAATATGATTTATTTCTCAATGAATTGATGATTTTTGCCCAAAAAATGTAATCTTATAGGTGTTCCTCTTGAGTCTTGAAGTCATTGAAAGTTGCAGGGAAGATGCCAAAGGGCCATAAAACACATTCCCACTTGATTTCGGAACAGATGTGCCATGCTAAAGAAAACTTGCACACAAAATATGGGAAAATTTCTGTCAAACATATGATCAATGATTTTTGGAAAATTGTTTAAAATTATGGGTGTTTGACTATTGATTGATGCTGCCATAGCATCAAAAAGAAATTGTGTGCCTTCTGGAGAAAAAAAAAAAATTGCCAAATTTGAGTAAAATGTAAGGCTAACCCCTTGCAATATTTTCAATTTTGGCCAAAAAATCAAATTGCTTAAAACATGCAGGGAAGATTCTTTAAGGGCTCTAAAACATGTTCCCACTCGAGTTTGGGACAGATGTGCCATTCAAAAGAGAACTTGCTCAGAAAATATGGGAAAGTTTCAGTCAAAAATATGATTTTTTTTTCTCAATAATTCAATGATTTTTTGGCAAAAAAACTTCAAAATTATGGGTGTTTCAGTATTATTTGATGCTCTTGCATCTAAAAGAATTTGTGCCCTATTTGGAGAAATTACAATTTTTGGCCTGAATTTTAGTTAAAATGTAAGGCTAACCCCTTGCAATTTCCTTACCTTTGACCAAAAAATGAAAACCTTGAAACTTGCAGGGAAGATGCCAAAGGGCCATTAAACACATTCCCACCCGAGTTTTGGACAGATGTGCCATTCAAAAGAAAACTTGCTCAGAAAATATGGGAAAATTTCAGTCAAAAATATGATTTTTTTTTCTCAATAATTCAATGATTTTTGGCAACAAATCTTCAAAATTATGGGTGTTTTAGTATTATTTGATGCTCCTCTTGCATCTAAAAGAATTTGTGCCCTATTTGAGAAATGACAATTTTTGGCCGAATTTGAGTTAAAATGTAAGGCTAACCCCTTGCAATTTCTTCACTTTTGGCCAAAAAATGAAAATCTTTGAAACTTGCAGGGAAAGTGCCAAAGGGCCATAAACACATTCCCACTCGATTTTGGGACAGATGTGCCGTTTAAAGAAAACTTGCTCAGAAAATATGGGAAAATTTCAGTCAAAAATATGATTTTTTTCCTCAATAATTCAATGATTTTGGCAAAAATCTTCAAAATTATGGGTGTTTTAGTATTATTTGATGCTCCTCTTGCATCTAAAAGAATTTGTGCCCTATTTGAGAAATGACAATTTTTGGCCGAATTTGAGTTAAAATGTAAGGCTAACCCCTTGCAATTTCTTCACTTTTGGCCAAAAAATGAAAATCCTTGAAATTTGCAGGGAAGATGCCAAAGGGCCATAAAACACATTCCCACTCGATTTTGGGACAGATGTGCCGTTCAAAAGAAAACTTGCTCAGAAAGTATGGGAAAATTTCAGTCAAAAATATGATTTTTTATTTCTCAATAATTCAATGATTTTGGCAAAAATCTTCAAAATTATGGGTGTTTTAGTATTATTTGATGCTCCTCTTGCATCTAAAAGAATTTGTGCCCTATTTGGAGAAATGACAATTTTTGGCCGAATTTGAGTTAAAATGTAAGGCTAACCCCTTGCAATTTCTTTACTTTTGGCCAAAAAATGAAAATCTTTGAAACTTGCAAGGAAAATGCCAAAGGGCCCTAAAACACATTCCCCTTCGAGTTTGGCACAAATGTGACATTCAAAAGAAAACTTTCTCAGAAAATATGGGAAAATTTCAGTCAAAAATATGATTTTTTTTTTCTCAATAATTCAATGATTTTGGCAAAAATCTTCAAAATTATGGGTGTTTTAGTATTATTTGATGCTCCTCTTGCATCTAAAAGAATTTGTGCCCTATTTGGAGAAATGACAATTTTTGGCCGAATTTGAGTTAAAATGTAAGGCTAACCCCTTGCAATTTCTTCACTTTTGGCCAAAAAATGAAAATCTTTGAAACTTGCAGGGAAGATGCCAAAGGGCCCTTCAACACATTCCCCTTCGAGTTTGGCACAAATGTGACATTCAAAAGAAAACTTGCTCAGAAAATATGGGAAAATTTCAGTCAAAAATATGATTTTTTTTCTCAATAATTCAATGATTTTGGCAAAAATCTTCAAAATTATGGGTGTTTTAGTATTATTTGATGCTCCTCTTGCATCTAAAAGAATTTGTGCCCTATTTGAGAAATGACAATTTTTGGCCGAATTTGAGTTAAAATGTAAGGCTAACCCCTTGCAATTTCTTCACTTTTGGCCAAAAAATGAAAATCTTTGAAACTTGCAGGGAAGATGCCAAAGGGCCCTTAAACACATTCCCCTTCGAGTTTGGGACAGATGTGCCATTCAAAAGAAAACTTGCTCAGAAAATATGGGAAAATTTCAGTCAAAAATATGATTTTTTTTCTCAATAATTCAATGATTTTGGCAAAAATCCTCAAAATTATGGGTGTTTTAGTATTATTTGATGCTCCTCTTGCATCTAAAAGAATTTGTGCCCTATTTGGAGAAATGACAATTTTTGGCCGAATTTGAGTTAAAATGTAAGGCTAACCCCTTGCAATTTCTTCACTTTTGGCCAAAAAATGAAAATCTTTGAAACTTGCAGGGAAGATGCCAAAGGGCCCTTAAACACATTCCCCTTCGAGTTTGGCACAAATGTGACATTCAAAAGAAAACTTGCTCAGAAAATATGGGAAAATTTCAGTCAAAAATATGATTTTTTTTCTCAATAATTCAATGATTTTGGCAAAAATCTTCAAAATTATGGGTGTTTTAGTATTATTTGATGCTCCTCTTGCATCTAAAAGAATTTGTGCCCTATTTGAGAAATGACAATTTTTGGCCGAATTTGAGTTAAAATGTAAGGCTTACCCCTTGCAATTTCTTCACTTTTGGCCAAAAAATGAAAATCTTTGAAACTTGCAGGGAAAGTGCCAAAGGGCCCTAAAACACATTCCCCTTCGAGTTTGGCACAAATGTGACATTCAAAAGAAAACTTGCCCAGAAAATATGGGAAAATTTCAGTCAAAAATATGATTTTTTTTTTTCTCAATTATTCAATGATTTTGGCAAAAATCTTCAAATTTATGGGTGTTTTAGTATTATTTGATGCTCCTTTTGCATCTAAAAGAATTTGTGCCCTATTTGGAGAAATGACAATTTTTTTGCCAAATTTGAGTTAAAATGTAAGGCTAACCCCTTGCAATTTCTTCACTTTTGGCCAAAAAAACCTGAAAATCCTTGAAACTTGCAGGGAAGATGCCAAAGGGCCATAAAACACATTCCAACTCGAGTTTGCGACAGATGTGACGTTCAAAAGAAAACTTGCTCAGAAAATTTGGGAAAATTTCAGTCTAAAATATGATTTTTTTTCTCAATAATTCAATGATTTTTGGCAAAAAATCTTCAAAATTATGGGTGTTTCAGTATTATTTGATGCTCCTCTTGCATCTAAAAGAATTTGGGCCGTATTTGGAAAAATGACAATTTTTGGCCGAATTCAAGTTAAAATGTAAGGCTAACACCTTGCAATTTCTTCACTTTTGGCCAAAAAATGAAAATCTTTGAAACTTGCAGGGAAAATGCCAGAGGGCCCTTAAACACATTCCCCTTCGAGTTTGGCACAAATGTGACATTCAAAAGAAAACTTGCTCAGAAAATATGGGAAAATTTCAGTCCAAAATATGATTTTTTTTCTCAATAATTCAATGATTTTGGCAAAAATCTTCAAAATTATGGGTGTTTTAGTATTATTTGATGCTCCTCTTGCATCTAAAAGAATTTGTGCCCTATTTGAGAAATGACAATTTTTGGCCGAATTTGAGTTAAAATGTAAGGCTAACCCCTTGCAATTTCTTCACTTTTGGCCAAAAAATGAAAATCTTTGAAACTTGCAGGGAAAGTGCCAAAGGGCCCTAAAACACATTCCCCTTCGAGTTTGGCACAAATGTGACATTCAAAAGAAAACTTGCCCAGAAAATATGGGAAAATTTCAGTCAAAAATATGATTTTTTTTTCTCAATTATTCAATGATTTTGGCAAAAATCTTCAAATTTATGGGTGTTTTAGTATTATTTGATGCTCCTTTTGCATCTAAAAGAATTTGTGCCCTATTTGGAGAAATGACAATTTTTTTGCCAAATTTGAGTTAAAATGTAAGGCTAACCCCTTGCAATTTCTTCACTTTTGGCCAAAAAAACCTGAAAATCCTTGAAACTTGCAGGGAAGATGCCAAAGGGCCATAAAACACATTCCAACTCGAGTTTGCGACAGATGTGACGTTCAAAAGAAAACTTGCTCAGAAAATTTGGGAAAATTTCAGTCTAAAATATGATTTTTTTTCTCAATAATTCAATGATTTTTGGCAAAAAATCTTCAAAATTATGGGTGTTTCAGTATTATTTGATGCTCCTCTTGCATCTAAAAGAATTTGGGCCGTATTTGGAAAAATGACAATTTTTGGCCGAATTCAAGTTAAAATGTAAGGCTAACACCTTGCAATTTCTTCACTTTTGGCCAAAAAATGAAAATCTTTGAAACTTGCAGGGAAAATGCCAGAGGGCCCTTAAACACATTCCCCTTCGAGTTTGGCACAAATGTGACATTCAAAAGAAAACTTGCTCAGAAAATATGGGAAAATTTCAGTCCAAAATATGATTTTTTTTCTCAATAATTCAATGATTTTGGCAAAAATCTTCAAAATTATGGGTGTTTTAGTATTATTTGATGCTCCTCTTGCATCTAAAAGAATTTGTGCCCTATTTGAGAAATGACAATTTTTGGCCGAATTTGAGTTAAAATGTAAGGCTAACCCCTTGCAATTTCTTCACTTTTGGCCAAAAAATGAAAATCTTTGAAACTTGCAGGGAAAGTGCCAAAGGGCCCTAAAACACATTCCCCTTCGAGTTTGGCACAAATGTGACATTCAAAAGAAAACTTGCCCAGAAAATATGGGAAAATTTCAGTCAAAAATATGATTTTTTTTTCTCAATTATTCAATGATTTTGGCAAAAATCTTCAAATTTATGGGTGTTTTAGTATTATTTGATGCTCCTTTTGCATCTAAAAGAATTTGTGCCCTATTTGGAGAAATGACAATTTTTTTGCCAAATTTGAGTTAAAATGTAAGGCTAACCCCTTGCAATTTCTTCACTTTTGGCCAAAAAAACCTGAAAATCCTTGAAACTTGCAGGGAAGATGCCAAAGGGCCATAAAACACATTCCAACTCGAGTTTGCGACAGATGTGACGTTCAAAAGAAAACTTGCTCAGAAAATTTGGGAAAATTTCAGTCTAAAATATGATTTTTTTTCTCAATAATTCAATGATTTTTGGCAAAAAATCTTCAAAATTATGGGTGTTTCAGTATTATTTGATGCTCCTCTTGCATCTAAAAGAATTTGGGCCGTATTTGGAAAAATGACAATTTTTGGCCGAATTCAAGTTAAAATGTAAGGCTAACACCTTGCAATTTCTTCACTTTTGGCCAAAAAATGAAAATCTTTGAAACTTGCAGGGAAAATGCCAGAGGGCCCTTAAACACATTCCCCTTCGAGTTTGGCACAAATGTGACATTCAAAAGAAAACTTGCTCAGAAAATATGGGAAAATTTCAGTCCAAAATATGATTTTTTTTCTCAATAATTCAATGATTTTGGCAAAAATCTTCAAAATTATGGGTGTTTTAGTATTATTTGATGCTCCTCTTGCATCTAAAAGAATTTGTGCCCTATTTGAGAAATGACAATTTTTGGCCGAATTTGAGTTAAAATGTAAGGCTAACCCCTTGCAATTTCTTCACCTTTGGCCAAAAAATGAAAATCTTTGAAACTTGCAGGGAAAATGCCAAAGGGCCCTAAAACACATTCCCCTTCGAGTTTGGGACAGATGTGCCATTCAAAAGAAAACTTTCTCAGAAAATATGGGAAAATTTCAGTCAAAAATATGATTTTTTTTTCTCAATAATTCAATGATTTTGGCAAAAATCTTCAAAATTATGGGTGTTTTAGTATTATTTGATGCTCCTCTTGCATCTAAAAGAATTTGTGCCCTATTTGGAGAAATGACAATTTTTGGCCGAATTTGAGTTAAAATGTAAGGCTAACCCCTTGCAATTTCTTCACTTTTGGCCAAAAAATGAAAATCTTTGAAACTTGCAGGGAAGATGCCAAAGGGCCCTTAAACACATTCCCCTTCGAGTTTGGCACAAATGTGACATTCAAAAGAAAACTTGCTCAGAAAATATGGGAAAATTTCAGTCAAAAATATGATTTTTTTTTTCTCAATTATTCAATGATTTTGGCAAAAATCTTCAAATTTATGGGTGTTTTAGTATTATTTGATGCTCCTTTTGCATCTAAAAGAATTTGTGCCCTATTTGGAGAAATGACAATTTTTTTGCCAAATTTGAGTTAAAATGTAAGGCTAACCCCTTGCAATTTCTTCATTTTTGGCCAAAAAAACCTGAAAATCCTTGAAACTTGCAGGGAAGATGCCAAAGGGCCATAAAACACATTCCCACTCGATTTTGGGACAGATGTGCCGTTCAAAAGAAAACTTGCTCAGAAAATATGGGAAAATTTCAGTCAAAAATATGAATTTTTTTCTCAATAATTCAATGATTTTGGCAAAAATCTTCAAAATTATGGGTGTTTTAGAATTATTTGATGCTCCTCTTGCATCTAAAAGAATTTGTGCCCTATTTGGAGAAATGACAGTTTTTGGCCGAATTTGAGTTAAAATGTAAGGCTAACCCCTTTCCATTTTTATTTACTTTTGGCCAAAAAATGAAAATCCTTGAAACTTGCAGGGAAGATGCCAAAGGGCCATAAAACACATTCCCACTCGAGTTTGGGGCAGATATGACATTCAAAAGAAAATTTGCAAACAGTGTTTATGTGTATATAACCATTTTAATTCTGAGCAATTCAAATATTCCTGTAAAACCCAGAAAGCCACAAATGGAAATACATGTACAATTAATTACTTGAATGAATTGTCACAAATCAAACTGCATCATCTTAAACAGGAAATTTTATTTTAATTTCAATCAAAAACCAAAACCAATTACATGTAAATGGCAAGTTCCAAAATAGGTTAAAATTCTTAACAAGAAGTGTAACAAACTTAAGCAAAACAATTTGAAAACAAACATTTGGGCATGTTCTTTATCTTGGCGTTGCTGTACGATGTAATGAAGATATCAATATCAGAAATTCGATAACTTTAAAATACCTTATAATATCTTTATACTGCCATCCATTTGATAGCAAAAGAAAGCGCAGTAAACAGCATAGTTGTGATCTGATAGGGGGAGTTTGAAATTCAAATGAAATCCTTTTGAACTGTTTTACCATGTAATTTTTTTTGGATAAAGTAACTTCAAAGATAGCAGTGTTACTTAATATGGGTTATTAACTACCTTTTTTTCGAAGGCTGGCAAAGAAATCACTTTTCATGCGGGAAAATCTCTTCATTTTATTTTTGTCAAAACCAACGAGACCTTTATGAATCAATTAAAAATTCATTCAATTGAAATTTTAAAAATTCAATGAACAGATACAGAAACGTCTGCCTTGAACGAGGGAAATTGCTTGAGAAAGATTCAATGTAACTATAATAATACAAATAAATAATTAATGGAACAAATAATACAAAAGGAATTTCAAAGAACTTGCAATTTCAAAATGGGCTTCAATTTTTGTTTCACTTTGAACAATGTGCAATTGAGCCATTTTTTTTTAAACCAGTATTCACCTGAGGGAACTACTATCTAACAATTGGAACCAGTTTCTTCTCAACGGAACTTGTGTGAACTAGAAGGAACTAATACCCAAATATCTATAGGTTCTACTTGATGTAACAGAGTAAATAGCCAAACCCCCGAACATTGTGCAGTTATTAAAACCTGATTATTCACTTGACAGAACCGATATCTAACAATTTGAACCAAGTTCTACTCAATGGAACTTGTGTGAACTAGAAGGAACTTATATCTGGAGAACCAGGTTCTACTTGATATCACAGAGTAAATAGCCAAACCCCTGAACATTGTGCAGTTATTAAAACCAGTATTCACTTGACGGAACTGATATCTAACAATTAGAACCAAGTTCTACTCAATGGAACTTGTGTGAACTAGAAGGAACTTATATCTAAGGAACCAGGTTCTACTTGATATCGCAGAGTAAAGCCACACCCCTGAGGGTCCAGTGATCAGGATTCGGTGTGGTCTTGAGCCATATGGGAGTGATGTACGTCAAGTCAGTACGCTGTGGTTTCTTGTAGACGGGACACTGATAGAGACGTGGATCCTTGGGTGCTGTTGAGTTGATGGCAAACATGTGGACCACCGGCAGGTTGACAAAGAGGACCTTAGGGGTGGGGTCGATCAGTTTGCAATTCTTACGATCCCAGGCAGCACCGTCAAGGTATAAACCATGGATGTACACTCCTTCCTGTAACATGAAGAGCAAAAACCCAATTTGACTTCCTGTTACATCAAACATTAAGCTCATCACTTTATTTCTGGTGATTCAGGAAAGTGTAATCCTGAAGTAATCAAGGGGAACAATCAATCCCTAATCCCCTAAATGACTGTCTGATTAACCAGGTGATTTCCTACTCTAGGTTTAACTTTCCTCATCCAGGGGTTTGTGTTTGCCATTTGTTTTGGTATCAGTTTGAGTTTGACCACTTCGCGCCGGGATTATTTTTGCTGAAAATTTTGATTTTCGCAAAAGGCAAAATATTCCAGCCAGCATCTGATGTAGTCATTTCAACAGCGTCCATCATCGTGCCCGACACAAGCGCAAGTTGCGGTCAATCGATGATGATGATGATGATGAAATGTGTGTAAATAGAGTACCGAAGTGTGACGTCATTTACAGGCATGCAACAGGGAAGTCACAAAAAAAAGAGGAAATTCTAATCTTTCCAAGACTTTGTACGGTGTTTTTCTATTTTCAATGGCACACATTGGAAGTGAAAAAAGAGGAAATCAGCTGATCCGAGGAAAAGTTGCATGCCTGCATTTAGAACCGTGAAGTGTAGTGCAAGCGAATGGAGTACGTGCACGTGTTGGTTCATGGGCTGAATCACGCGCTAATGTCTTTTACACATGTGTGCATGATACACGTATTCACTTCTGTACTCTATTGAACCAGGATTGAAATGAGACGGGGTGAGTTGGTCAGTGTATCTACTTACAGTTGGAGGGGATGTGAGTTCTTCTTTGAAGGCTTTGAGTACATCATTATGCAGAGTGACCGAATCCAAGGCCCAGCCCTTGTGTGCTCTGGTCACCTCTTGACGCATCGCGGTCAGAAATCCTGAAATATATGCATCGTGTTAACTTAATTATAATAAGACATCTTAAGACTTGGAACGTTGGAATGGGAACACCACTTGCTCTGACTCACTGGGAGCATTCCACCCAATGGGAACACTATTTTTTAAGGCTTTGAAGACACTAAAATAAATTGTTGAAATAAAATACAAATCTGTGATTCTTAAGCAGAAAAACAAAATTGAAAGCAACAAGAGGCAGGCAAATGTAGAGTTGCTGCATAAAGCATACTGAAATTTTTAGTGGCTCTTGAACTAAGCACATCTTGTACAATTAGCAATTATTTTGTTTCTACTCCTTACATATCGGCACTCAGTTAAACTTAAACCAACCTTGCGGGTTGAAGAATCCAGTCATCCAGAAGACAGTGGGTCTACCTTCAAAGCACCAGGAGGAGAACTGACTGTTCCTCTCCAGTAACTCAGTGAACCAGAAGCCTAGAGTAGATGACTCCCAGGATAGCTTCCTCCATAGGGCAGGCACTCTGGCATCGTACATGTTATCAAGAGCATCACGTAGATTCTATATATACATGTAATAACACAATGTAGAAAGTTAACTTGTAATAAGACAATGTAGAAAGTAAACTTGTAATAAGACAATGTAGAAAGTAAACTTGCAAGCAATGATAAGCAGCAATTAATTTCAGCCTCAATGCTTCAATAATCACAACATATGCCACGCCCAATTAAAGGGGTGCATACCTGTATGTTACCCAATACCTATGTTCCCCACCTAACCCTATAACCCTTACCCTCACCCTAATTAACCCTAAAAATTTTGGGGGAACATAGGTATTTGGGAACATCGGGTCGACCCCCAATTAAATGACCTTCATCCATTAATACAATACCAAGCCAGCAAGGGCCAGCGGGCCGCCGGTGATATCAGGACATCACCGGTGGGATCAGCAGCCGCCAGTGGGATGCCAGTGGCCCACTTGATCCCTCACGAGGTGAAAAATGAAACTCACTACTATTGGTAGGCTGCCGTCAAACCACTGCCGTGCATTAACTAGTATCCAGAGGCTCACCAGTGGTAAGCCACTGATATTCTACAGGAGTGCCGATCGTCGACCGCTGGCTCACCGCTGGTATGGTGACCCACCGATAAATTACTGGACCGAGCCCAGTCTAATGTGGATTTTGCGATACTGAGATAATGGCTTTTCAATCAGTTAACGACCATAAATATGTTCGCATATACGGCGGCAGTGCATGGTTTGTCCTTGATCATTCCATGGAGCCTTTTATTTTATAGCTCCATGATCATACAGTCAGGCTATCCCCAATGCATGTGCAGTCGTTGTCCAGAGCCACCTGCCACCCATCAGAATTTGCGTGACGAGTGACGAGCCAGTTAAGTGCTGGAGAGCTACCTACATCTAAGAAAGCCACATTAGACTGGGCTCGGTCCAGTAATGAATTGTCGTTACTTTGCCACCAGTGGGCCACCAGTAAACCGATGAGCAAGGACGCTGGCTAGACACCTGTGTTTGTTGATGGTGGGCCACCCTTTTTGCCATAAGTGCACCATCGGTGGACCACTGGCCCTTCCTGGCTGGGTACTAGCTGTGTCCTCCACAGATGAACAAGCTTGTTCAACCTACCTCACTCATGATGATAGTTCCTTCGATAGCCAGTTTGAGATCAGTGAGTGTGCTACGGACCAGGCTGATGATACGCTGCATACGATCGATCTCCTGACGCAGGAAGATATTCATGGATGACAGGGCTCCCATCTTGACCAGACGCGCTCGCACCTGCAAGTCATGGAAACAATGTTAATTGTTAAGGAAAATCTTGGTGCCAATTTCTTGGAGAGACACGGCTTAATGAGATGAGTGTGCACAAAATGGGCTATTAAATTTTGTCTTATGGATCCAGATCAGGTTATTTTTCCAACAGGCTCTAAATATATTAAAGAGGTTGTGGAATGCTCGAAGACATTTCCGTCTTTTTTCGGGTATATGTAGTTTTTTAGGTCCTGTTTCGACCCGAACGTGCAATTTGTGTAAAAGTCATCGTTCGGGGCAGCAAACAAAACATAGTAAATCGTGACGTAATAAACAGGACTCGTTTATACTACGCTGCATCGGGAGTCCTGTTTATTACGTCACGATTTACTATGTTTTGTTTGCTGCCCCCAACGACGACTTTTACACAAATTGCACGTTCGGGTCGAAACAGGACCTAAAAAAACAGCTCTCAAAAGTGCCTTTTGTATTCATTTCATGACAGACACAATAGTCATTTTTATTTCATCACACCTTAGGCTACATATATACCCGAAAAATGACGGAAATGTCTTCCAGCATTCCACAACCTCTTTAAAAGCATCCAGTTTTAAAAGAACCTTTGAAGCAAAAAAAGTCACCAAAAAGATCAGCTTTGAAGGTAGCAACAAGTTGCGGTTAATACTGGAGAGGAAAAAAGATAGGAGTTGATAACGAAACGCACACTATTCATGTTATTAGCACAAGTGGAACACAGAATAACGTACATTGTTTTTTGTGTCCTATATATATGCCACAAGGCCAAGAGGTGTATCATCATGTTTTTCAACGTACCTCATGTGGTTTATAATCAGGTGGTAGTTTACTCAGCATATCTTCAGCCATCTTGAAGACGGTGGTCTCTCTAGTCTCACCGCCTCCTCCTCCGACATCCTTGGGCTGAATGTTCAAGATGGTGTTCAGTACCTCGATACCGGTGTTGCTCTGATACCTGTAAGATCACAAATTGACAAGAGAGGTTTCCATGAGAAATTTGCATGCTCCATTCTTGATATGTAACTTGAGAATTGTTGAGGATCATCTATTCGATAATCTTTATTGTTATATTATGCTTGGATACTGTACTTTCATTGGTCTAGAACAGCCACGTAGATGCATGTCACACACTTATATCCATTTTTACGTGGAGATCAGTGATATATCGCACTGCGTTCATTGCGCACTTTGCATGCACATATGGAACATGACGGCGTGCTAGCTTCGCACAATGAGAACTGCAGCGTCAACTGCTCAGTCTCATGTCCCCAGAACATCAAACTTTCAGTTATCAAAGGTTGTATCACAGTGGTTTATTTATTTCTCACACAGTAAGTTACAACCCTTTTAATATCTTTTTGACTTATTGGCACGATATAACAAAACAATTGTTGACTGCTGTGATATGGGATATGCCGTTTTAAACCCCTCGGGGCGCATACTACTCGGGTGCTATGCGGGTGTTAAAAACGTCTATCCCTCGGGTGTTAAAAACGTCTATCCCACATCACAGCAGTCAACAATTGTTAAATAACCACAGCATGGCACAAATTCAGAGGGGCTCTGGCGAGCACATACCTTTCATTTAATAAACTGAAGACCCTTTACTGATACAGCTAGTTTATGTTCTCCACTAATTGTCCCTCTTTTCGCCCCCAAAAAACCACACCAGATGTTTGGGGTTAAATTCTGGCACTCAAATGTCATGTGTGAGTGACTTACGTGATGTCTGCATTGGGATGCAACCCAAAGACCTCTGGTGTGTCAGTCAATGGCAGCTTGTCAATAAACTCATGATACTCCTGTAATGTCTTACACTTAGGGATGGTGTACCCCGTGTAGAACTTGAAGGTGTCTGCAAACATGTGCTCTCCAAACCACACCTATGATGATAAAATTACCGATTATTGTACATGTTGTGATAAAGTCCATTACAAGTCAATCAAAAGTCACCCAGTCCAAAGTCAACATTACTGGACCGAGCCCAGTCTAATGTGGCTTTCGGGAACCCGGGATTCACTGGTTCGTATTCATGAGCACCTTACTGAGATAATGGTTTCTCAATCAGTTAACCACCATAAAAAATATGTTCGCACATACGGCGGCAGTGCATGGTTTGTCCTTGATCATATCATGGAGCCTTTTTTTTATAGCTCCATGATCAAACAGTCAGGCTATCCCCAATGTATGTGCGTCATTGTCCAGAGCCACCTGCCTCCCATCAGAATTTGAGTGACGAATGACGACCCAGTTAAGTGCTGGAGAGCTACCTACATCTAAGAAAGCCACATTAGACTGGGCTCGGTCCAGCAATGTAGACTGAACTGTGACAAAGACATTGCTTGGTTATTGTTCATCAGCTGTTACTCCTGACCAGGGATGCGGGCTAGTCCATCACAAGTCTATGATACAAGTGCACTCACAAGGGACAGTGGACTCGACTACATCCCTGCTCGTGACCAGACCTGTGAATTGATGTGTGGTTTACATCTGACAGGACTTATGTGAACATAAGAACTCGGTTACATGCCGTCCGGTAGAGTAAAAGTAATGACCATTTGAGTAGATTGCTGTTATTGCCTATACACACCTTGGCGAATGTATTGAGAAGGCGTTTGTCGTAGTCATCAGTCACTCTTCCACCATACTGCACCTCACCCAGCATGTAGCGTACTGTGTTCCAGGACACTCCCTGTAGAAAGCAACCAATGAATTCAATAACGACCAAGATGATAATACATAACTGGCAATAAGCCTCATCCACTTTGTACTTGGGCGAAATAATGCTCATCTCCCCAATGCTGCACTGCATGCTCCGGCCACACATGTCATAAGCTAGCTAGTGCAAGTAAAGTATGACTCGTGCCACTATGGCCCTTCAGGCCGGCATTTATCTCCGGTTTCCTTGGCATGAAGTGACTGAGAATACTTCTATTCCCCCTGGATGGGATGCTAGTCCATCACAGGTTACTCCCCAGCTAATGCCGGTACCCATTTTATACACGCAGGGGGAGATAGAGAGGCAAGTTGGGGTAAAGTGGATTGCTCAAGGACACAGTATGGCCAGCAGCTGGATCACACTTCCGTCTTTTCACTATTAATATGATGGAAATTAAAAAAAATAACGTCACAAACCCTAACCACTAGGCCACACTTCCCTCTTTTCACTATTAATATGATGGAAATTAAAAATTAACGTCACGAACCCTAACCACTAGGTCACACTTCCGTCTTTTAACTATTAATCTGATGGAAATTAAAAATTGACAACATAAAAAAATTAAAAATCTTAGCTATTCTCATACCTTCTTAGGATCCATATCATCCAGGTGATTCTGAATGAACTGCACACTGGCTGTCTGATCAGCTGAGTTGAACTCATATGGGATGTTCCAGCCTAGAGGACCAAACTTGCGACGCTCCTGTTAACAGTTTGGGGAAAAAAAACAGAGCAAGTTTGAGCAAGAACTGGGATTAGCCATAGGTAGACAATTAGCTCTCTATAGTCGGTTTAGTTGATAATTCAGGACCAGCTTCCTTCACAAAATTTTGTGAAGGAGATTAGCCCTTCCCAGCGCCGTTTGGGCGGTGGGTACGAGCAAACGCTGGTTACCAATAGCCGGGCGCATATTATACCAGGCATGCAACTTTTCCTCGAATTAGCTGATTTCCTCTTTTACAACTTCCCATGTGTTCCATTAAAAATAGAAAAACACTGTACAAAGTCTTGGGAAGATTTAAATTTCCTCTTTTGTTTGTGACTTCCCTGTTGCATGCCTGTTATGCGGCAGAGAGACAGGATCAAGACAGACGTATCAGGCACATGCATTTTCCAGCCTGGGGAAGAAACGAAACAAAAACAAAAATACCTCCCCCCCCCCAAAAAAAAAAAATGTCCAATAAGCTCTTCCTTTACTCAAATTGAACAAAGACATTTGAAAAAAAAATGATGCTAATTGTGAGAGGTAAGACATTTTGGCAGGATACCTGTACGGTTGTATGGAGGAATGCCACAGCATACAGCATTGGTTTCCACTGCGGTTGATTACTGATGTCTAACTGATCCTGGGTGATGGCTGCAAAGGTGCGCTTCAGTCCCGCCTTGACGCCTTGAGGAGGCTCATTGGTGAACTTGATGGAGGACTGAAGGAAACACACAAGACGATCTTAAAGATGTGTTGTAATAATAATAATAATAATAATAATACCGGAGTCTTATATAGCGCACGTATCTACCAACAATTAGGTACTCAAGGTGCTGGACAATATGTCTATTATTAAAGAAAGGTAAATAAAGTTTTTTATGAGAAATATGAGACCCATTATGTAGCACCTTATAATGGTTTACAAGATGCTGCGGCGCATATTGCAGCCACTGCCAGAAACACCAGGGCAAACCTCTTCTCTTAGCGATAAGTGTAACTGGGTTCTTTTACGTGCATTACACAACACACGTGACCTATGGCTTTACGTCCCATCCGAAGGACGAAGCAATAATGGTAAAGTGCCTTGCTCAAGAGCACAAGCATCATGTTCCCACGGTCAGGATTCGAACCAATGCACCACAGCACACGAGTCGAACACCGTAACCACTGGACCACAGCACCCATGCTATTTTAGAGTGTCACCCCCAAAAAAATACTTTTCTAGCAATACTTAGAAGACAATTCTTATGAACTTAGGAGGGTGTGGGAGTTCGGGTATGTGTTTACCTGCAGGAGACTGATTGGGAACTGTGGGTGTTCCTCCGTGGTGATCCAGACTCTGAATGTCTCATGTACTGGTTCATGAGTCGTCACTGTCTCCAGTAGCTCATCCATGAAGTCCAGACCAAGATGACAGTTCTGTAGTAGCACCCAACCTCCCTGCAAGGCATTAGGAGTACTTTATTTTGCATCTTAAAATTTGGACGAGTCCAAATCCATTTACCAAATTTTGAATTTTCTTATTGCCGCATCCAATTTACTTGGCTACGGCTTCGAATTACACGCACCAATCTAGGGCAAGTTCGCGCAAGAACTATTGTTGACTGTTGGTTAACCATAGTTCGACTAAAGTTAGCCCGAACTCTGTCTAGTCGACGGTGGTGGACTACGCTAGTCGACTATTTGGAACCAACCTACTGGGGCTGGTTGCATCCCTGGTAACCAATAGCCGCGCCCATTCATAACGTACAGCTGGGAGCCAGGATCCAAGAGTTTTGCGATGACATTTTGACCAGCGTTTGACTAGAGACGTTCGCACGTTGCTATCAGTGCGCAGGCGTAAGGTACGTCACAAATCAACCACTAGTCGACTAATGGTCCTTGCCCGCAGTGACTGAGGCCACTTCCAATAGCTGAATCCAGACACATGATCACTGTACACTCACGAGGCCCCCTTCAATGGAGAAACCATTGTACATGCTATTGTACAAAGCAACTGTCCCATGACGGATTATCTGAACAATAGCTAAGCACAATGCTTTCACCATTGAAGGAGGCTTTCATGATAGAATTGATAGTGTGCTCAGATTGGTCCACAGCAACATGTGTTACTGCCAGCCAAAGACAAGTGTGATTTAAATGCAGACTGACCTTAAAGCTACAGTCCATCATTTGCAGCTAATTAAGTAACTGACATAATTATTGTTGAAAAGCATACTTGGTTTACAGATAGTAATGGGACTAAACTCCCTGTGAAATAACTCTTTCTGGCAAGCTGTTATTTTGAAGAAAACAATGAAAAAATGCCTTTCAAACGATGCGTCTAAAGGCGCATCGTTGGAAGTTTCCATTAGTAGTTCATTTTTAATTTGGCGAAGCGCGCGCAAGTGTTGACACGACGCACACGTGCGCGCATTTGCTATAATTCGTCGGTTCAGTGCGCGACATCGCGTAGCTGCAATCGGCTCAGTGAGAACATGTCTCGGATGCTGAATTGAGGCCCAATTCCAAACATGACTCGGCAACTTTTGATTTGAAATCAAGATCTTAGAATATTGTTTTTTCGGAATATACAGCATTCACTGAGCTGAAACTTCATCAGGTTAGTTGTTCAGCACCCTTCTTTAGATTCTGAGCACTTTTGTTGCTTCAAACGAACACAATGCACAAATTACAAATGATGCATTGTACCTCTAAAGCTGAATTAAGGGGAAGCTGATGTCCGATTATACATTGCTACTTACCCCAGCCATGGACTGTGCCACTAATCTCCTGGCATGAACTTCCTGTCCCTGACCCATGGAGATAGCTCTACATTCTGATAGAAACAAAAAAAACCCAAAATTACATTGAACACATGCACAGACGATTTGTGTAAATTTCCACATTGGCGTAAAAAATCAGCTGCTAGTGTAATTGATCCTTTAGCATGTGTATTACATTGTGTTTCGTCGTGTGCCTGGCAGAAGGGCATATGCGCATACGCCCTTATGCGCGAACGCGTCATCACCAAAATGTTCCGAGCAAAAGGGCATATGCAGAAAACTGCCTCTCTTTGAATGAAATCTTAACATATCCGTCAGAAATTAACACACGTTGCTCCAAAAATTATATTTAATACATGTGACAAATTTCAAATTTGTACGATTATTAATACGTGGGGGAACATTGGACTCATAATATATGCGTGGGGGAACATTGACGCCTTTCAATGCAATTTTTTTGAAAAGTGATTCCGCGTCAGAACGCTCATCTGCCGGGCACCTGGCGATTTACTCCTCGATGAATCAATAAAGAGTGCTGGACGGTTTGGGGCGGTATGAGGAGTATCAACAGGCAGGGCAGTTTGGGACGGTACAAGGGCTAAAGTTCAACATAGATCTATAGTTTTCATCCAAAGTATTACAGGTTTGTAATTAATAAAATAGTCTATTGTAAGTTTACTCAAACCAGAAAAAACAAAAACAAGATACACGTATCATTCCGGTAGAAGTAATAATAATAAATAATAATAATACCAAAGTCTTATATAGCGCACGTATCTACCAACAATTAGGTACTCAAGGCGCTGGAAATTATGTCTATTATTAGAGACAGGTAAATGAAGTACATGAGAAATATGAGAACCATTATGTCCCACCTTTATAATGGTTTACAAGGTGCTGCGGTGCATTAAGCAGCCACTGCCAGAAACACCGGGGCAAACCCCTTCTCTTGGCGATAAGTGTTACTGGGTTCTTTAACGTGCATTACACAACACACGGGACCTACGGCTTCACGTCCCATCCGAAGGACGAAGCAATAATGGTAAAGTGCCTTGCTCAGGAGCGCAAGCACCATGTTCCCACGGTCAGGATTCGAACCCGTGTACCACGGCACACGAGTCGAACACCGTAACCACTGGACCACAGCACCCCACAAGTAATGGATATACACTTGGCAATTGATACATCCGACCTACCAACTTTGAGTTTCTTAGCGAGTCCTTCAATCTGGTTGGTGGGGTCGCTGCCCATGGACAGGAAGCAGATGAGAGGCGTCCTGATGTCACCTTCCTCCCACGTCTTCTCCAAGTCTAAGATGACTGGGTCTGCGTATCTGGCTCCCATGGAATTAGCGATGTACTTACGAGCTTGGGGGATGACCCTGTCTGTACACCAACTCCTAAGGAGCACCAATAGTAAATTTAAGGAATCAAAATGTGACGTAATATCATTCAGCTATTTGATAATCCTAATCTTGCTAGATCCTTTCATTTTTTTTTATTTGTTGGGTTAGTTTGCTATTCATTATCACTCTAGGAGGATGACTGCATTAAGAAGTGCATCAGAATTATAAAATCATGGATGTCAGATGTAACAGGGACAGGAAAAAATGAACCCAAAATTTATGGAATGACTCATCTAGAAGTTTTCTGAGGATATTTGCAGAATTTAGGAAGTAGCACTTTCAATTCAACATAACTACAACTTACTGCAGAAAATCATGAGCCAAGCAGCACCATGATATATGACAGCCCATGACAAAAAACAGGTAAAATCAGCAATTTCAAACGGCCTTCACAGCAAATGTTGATGAAATGAAAGTCAATTTTAATACGTAAATGTGAGATTCAGCATCTTAATCTTTCCTTTTTTTATATGATTTCTAAATCGAAATAAATATATATTAAAAGTATATAACCATGGGTGAGATTAAATACATGATCTTTGGAGGGGCTGGGAATTACAGTTCTGGATTGGTGTCAAAAGTAACACTCAGGTTACTGGTGGAGTGTCATGGCCTAAAGATTAAGAGCACCAGGCTCATGCTCTGGTGTTTCAGTGGCGTGGGTTCGAGCACTTGTGCTCTTAAGCAAGGCTCTTAACCATTATTGCTTCGTCCTTCGGATGGGACGTTAAGCTGGAGGTCCCGTGTGTTGTATAAGGCCTGACGCACGTAAAAGAACCCAGTAACACAGTGTTTCTGGCCTCCTAGTTATACTCCCTTGTGGAAGTCCTCAGGAGAAGTAACACCCATATTACAGAGGATTGAGGATTCGATTATCTATTGTATTTACCTGACTAGGAGTAGTTTCTTGAATGTCTCCAGCGTGTTGTAACCATCAGGTATGACCTCTTCCTCAGGAGCGTCCTTATCATACCAAACCTTCCATGCCTTCTCACTACGCTGGATCTACAACACACACCACACAAAGCATGTCAAGTGATGACAGGGTTTTTTTTATTTGGAAGGAGTGCCTTTCTTTTCATGAGATATGCCAACAACAAGGCCCAGGGCCACTGAAGGTGGTGGCTTAAAAAAGAGTGAAAGAGCTACGTTGTCTTATTTCTTCACGGTTAGAAGCCAGCCCTCTCGTTTTTCCAGGGCAACTTTCAGATATAGCACCACTAATGAATCATTAGTGATTCCTCCTGCTATAAGTGAGTGATTATAGCAGGAGGTCGTGGGTTCGAGTCCCACCCGAGTGATTTTTTTTCCAACTTTCACTCGGGAGGTAACACACTGAGTATACTGAAAGGTTTGCGGAAACACCATGTGCGAATAATTTCTCAACGAAGAGAATGGTTCTGAAAAGAACCAGAGGTATAAACTCGACGTTCCGGTCAGTATGCTCTGACCGTCTTCAGGAGAATGCCTGAACTCTAAGAAGGTAAACACTTATGTGGCAGCAGCGAAAGCGATTATTTAGTATCTCCACCATGCAAAGCCTCAAATCTTACTTACATGTACACTGAGTATACAGTGTTTAAACGTCTGTGAAGGGCAAAACCAAATTTGATTTACATCACCCCGACGCAAAAATTCCATCTTATGAAAACTAATGAATCAAACGCACGGTTTGAGGCAGCACAGCGACTAATGGGTTCAGAAATTATGTAAGCACAAGACTAGCCCCAAAGTATTTCACACGCTGAATGAATAGGACTGTGATTCAGGCGCGGTTCTACGGGGGGGGGGGGGGGGGGGGGGGGGGGGGGGGGGGGGGGGGGTCTGGGGGGGCTGTAGCCCCCCCAAATTTTGTCTAGCACCCCCAAAATAAATTTCGTAAAAAAAAAAATAGCATTAGCAAAAAGAAGGATTGGGATGTACATGCGAACGGTCTCCCCCTAAAGAAGTAGTCGTGACAAGGGTGCATTAGTTAATATAGTGTAAATGATTTTAGGATTTTAGTGGCGCTTCCCATTGAAAATATGGCATGAGCCCCCCCCCCCCTATTGATTTTCGGAGGCCTAAGTGTTTGGAAAAAATAACCGGTCAACATTTCAGCACGCCTCCCTGAAACAATTCTGGATCCACCGTGCTAGCCCCCCAAAATATTGGTTCTAGAACCGCGCCTGCTGTGATTCTATGGCACACTGTTCTTCATGCAATGTTTCTACCTGGTTAAGGACTTCCTGGAACTGTTGCAGTTTGCTGAGTTGGACCAGATTCAGCCACGTCATGTCGGTGATCCATTTGAATGGCTTGGGTTGCACAGCCTTCAGGTCCAGTGCAGCTCCACCTAAGCGTAAAAACAATTGCAAGAATTAAGTCAAATCATTACAAAAAAAAAGCATTGTAACTCATCATCACATAACAGTCTGGAAATCTACTGAAGATGGTATCATATAATATTAAAGAGGTTGTGGAATGCTGAAAGTCGTTTTGTTTTTTTATATTTTTTTTATTGTAGAGTAGACCCATATATATCTCATAATAACAAACTCCCATTGTTTTGTAATGTGCGTTTATGTGTTTATAAAACTGAAATTCATCGAGTAATTTGTTGGTCGGCGAGCGCATAATTGAAATCAACAGTCGTCAGGTTCTTCGTAAAAATCATAAAAATCGTGACGTAATTTTTTTTAAAAGGACTCGTTTATACTACGCTGCATAGGGAGTCCTGTTTATTACGTCACGATTTACTATGTTTTGTTTGCTGCCCCCAACGACGACTTTTACACAAATTGCACGTTCAAGTCAAAACAGGACCTGAAAAACAGCTCTCAAAAGTACCTTTTGTATTAATTTCATGACAGAAACAATAGTCGTTTTTATTTCATCACACCTTAGGCTACATATACCCGAAATATGACGGAAATGTCTTCGAGCATTCCACAACCTCTTTAATACTTATCTAAAGGATGCACATTATTCATCAGAATTCAAGTCACAACTGAATGCACATTTTACACTTTGCATTTTCCGCTGTATGATGTGGTACATGTATAGACTAATCCCAAAAGCAAAATTAGTGGCAATACATGCGCGCAGGTTGTATGTAAGCACTAAGTCCTCCGGTGACCAACTGAATTTTCAAATAACACATACACATACAATTAAGACCTCGTGTAGCACGAGCCAGTATTGTAGTACTCGTACTCGGTACTCGTACTCGAGTACTACTCGAGTACTTTTTTAGTAGTACTTGTACTCATACTCGTACTCGAACGTCAAAGTACTCGTACTCGAAATGACAATACTCGTACTCGGGCAGCAAAGTACTCGTACTCAACATTTCGAAATTGTACTCGAGGGTCAAAGTGATGGTACTCGAATAACTTACCACGGCCTTATTTTATCAGTTTGAAATGGTTGATTGGCTTGTGGAGAAATGGAAGTTTCATGATTTTTCTCTGTGCATGTCCGGACAAACAAATTTAACAGCTAGCCGTGAGTGAGTCTGTACATCGGTCTGACTGGGCCTGGGCCAATTATGCACAATGAACCATTTGCCGTATTCGGAAATACAAGTACTCGTACTCGGAAGTACAAGTACTCGTACTTGTACTCGTACTTGTACTCGTACTTGTACTCGTACTCGGAGACCTGTTCTTGTACTCAGAGGTACAAGTACTAGTACTCGTACTCGTCAACTTAAGTACTCGGCAGTACTCGGTACTCGGAAAAAAGTACGCGATTACAACACTGGAACGAGCATGGCAAGCCAAAGTAAAGTCTGTCCCGAGCATATGGCCCATCACACCAGCGTTTATCTCCAGTTTTAGTAGCATGAGGGATGCCAGTCCATAGCAGGTTACTCCCCAGCTAATGCTGGTGCCCATTACACTCTTGGTAGAGAGGCAAGTGGGAGGCAAGTGGGTGTGAAGTGGCTTGCTCAAGGACACAACATATGACCAGCAGCTGGATTTGAACCCTTGACACTCTGATAGTGAGTCACGAACCCTAACCACCAGGCCACACTCCCATGGTGCCACCTCAAAACTGTTGATAGCCACATCAGTTTACGGCTTCAGTTCGGGCATTTACACACAATCTAAGTAAATTCCTGAAGCCAAACTCTTACTTCCAGTTAGTCTTACATGTACCTTTAATGAGTGTCTGGAACTCATTGTGCTTGACATTGCCAAGTTGTTGGTCAATCTTGAGAGCCAGCTGTAAGGTGAAGAGGAACTTGTGGTTCTCGTACAAGCCACGGCAGGAATACTTGAAGATCTCATAGGTCAGGTACTCGATGATGTTGGAGATGCGCTTAGCTGGAATGGGAGACTTCTCTGATCTGTTAAATGAATCAAGAACCGACATCCAACGACCACGGACTCATTTTACTCAGCTTTACAAAGAAAATATAAAAAAGTTAGAGACCCTAATGTTTTGAAACTTGCAGGATCCTTGTCACAAGCAAATATTGACAATGACTCTGTCAGGGTGAGAAATTTTAGGGTCTCTAACTTTTTTAATTTGTAAATTTCACGTCAATCCAGTCAGTAAGCAGTTTGCAGCAGTTATATTTATGCTTTTATTGTTTAAATTTTTCCACCTGGCACCTGGCACTCACGCAAAGACAATACAATTTTCTGCAAAATTTAGATGAAAAACATAGATTTCCAGCCGTAGAGAGAGAGATCACATTCCCCAGGTAGTCAGAAGCACAGAAAATATTTGCTTGGCGAAAACAGGTTTCCAGCCATGGTTTGCAATGCATCACTTGTTGGTTTTCTGTTGATTCTAGCTTAATTAGCTCATCGATAAACAATATGTTTAGTAGCCGAGCGGTTAGAGCGTGGAGCTACGCAGTGGAAGGTTGGCGGTTCGAATCCCATTCGGACCAAAAACTGGAAAACTCTCTCTGACGACCCAAGAGTAAAATGGGTACCTGATTCGTTCAGGGAAGGTAAGACGGTGAGAGGAGAGGACTGGTCACTGCCACTCATATGCCGCGCCCAAGACACAGTGGACCTCTAACATCCCACTGCCCCTACGGCCAGTAATGGCTATGGGATCTTTACCTTTACCTTAAACAATATGTTCTGCTGGGCCTCAGTAAAAGTACAGCAGGATTCCTACCTTGCCATGGACAAATCGAAGACGCCCAGGAACTGCTTGAGAGAGGTCTGGTACATGATGTTCACCATGCTCATTTCAGTGATCAGGAAGTACAGGATACTGCCTCGTGATGCAACTATACACAAGAGATCAAATGCAAATAGATTCATCTGAAAACTGTGAACAGTTTGTAGTAACACTAAGGAATGTCTTGGGAGAAGTAATTAGAAGAAGGTTCTGAGAAGAGCAGGGGTGTGAGTGACCACTGACAGATATGGCTGAAAACAGCTGAAAAAGGTGTAAAAAGCTGAACTTTTGTACACAGCAAGTGAGAGAAAAAGCTGAAAAAAAAGCTGAAATCAGCTTTAAAGCTGAGATTTCGCACCCCTAAATTTTCAATCAGTGATATTTTATACTCATTCTATTTACTCAAGCTTTTACTTTATTAGCACCATTATATTGTATTACACTGTGTTTATTCACTGAAGAATCAATTAGCCATAGACAGTGCTCGGGAAGTTCAGGCTCTACAGGGAGAAATGCACCGGGTGCTTTCGGACGTTACGGTGACTAAAGGGTTAGTGGTGTTTTTAACATTGTGACCTGCAGCTTAATCATAGCCTAGCTACCGGTTCTTACTTTACAACATGTAGTGCATTTTAGAATGCCACAGTCCAGTGGTTACTGTGTTTCACTTATGTACGAAGGTGCGTAGGTTCAAACCCTGCCAGGAACATGGTGCTTGTGCCCTTGGGCATGACACTTAACTACAATTGCCTCTCTCCACCCAGGAGTATGCATGGGTACCTGTGAGGGTCGAGGACCGATTGAGCGCTGATATCGGCTGCCGCATGGTCTAATGGCCTGATGAACAGGGTAATAATGTAAAATGCTTTGAGATTGTTGATACGATGGAAAGCACTATATAAGCACAATAATTATTATTATTTTGCTAAAACAATCGATGCTGAACAAAGACACAACCCAGGCTTACAAAAGCTAGCCGCGAGAGGGCTGCACATCCAAAAGTTATAGACAGGAAATATCAAGAGGCCTGCATATCTTGTAAAAAAGTGACTACATTTTGGGATCCACACAGCAAAATGACATCTTCAAAATAAACTCTGCATTCTTTTCACAATTAAAAAATTAGACATATATGCATAACCCTTCATGTCATGATAAACATGATCTTTGCAGAACATTACCATTCTCGGTATCCATGCTTCTCAGATGAGTGTACTGTTTCAATCAGCAAATGCATCTATTGTCAGAAAAACTTCCTTGGCAGAATTCATAGTTTGTTGTTGGGGAAAGCACCCACCTGGTCTGAATTCTTCTCTTGCCTCGTTGATCTTAATCTCAGTGTCTGCTGCCACCACCAGCTTGTCAGTCACTTCCTCTGCAGTCTCCTTGGTTGTGGCTAGCACCGAGATGAGAGATTCGTCCTCCACCAGGGAGCCCTGGAAAATGCAATCAGTAAAACAAAGAAGTCATTCCACGACTATGACTGCTAGATTTTTAAAGAAAAATAATGCCAGTGATGTCCCTATCATCAGGCACACAGCTGGGAATTTAGACAAAATGAAGACATTCAAAACCACACAAGACTTTGTACAGTGTTTTTCAATTTGTAATGGCATTCATGGGAAGTAAAAAACAAGGAAATCAGCAGATCCGAGGAATTGTTGCATGCCTGTATCATGTAAAATGAGAGCAACTGAATGAAAGGATTTATTCTTTGGAAACTAATTTGTGCTTTGGGAGCAAACAGCAATTATTTTGCAGCAAAACAGATGAAGGACTTTAGTGAGACTGAAAATTCTTTGTGTCAAATTTTGACAAACGTGTTAACACAATTGCCATGGAACAATGTTTGTTTATAATGCAATTGCCATTAACTACATGACATGTGCTCTGATGGTTGAAATGGAATGTAGGATTATCACAAATCGAAATAAAACATTTTGGAAGCACACACTTCCAACTGTTTTCCCAACTGACACTTTTACTAATGCATTTTTTTACGAAACATATTAAACTTTACATTTCCAAGACAACTGCTGTTTTTTTTAAATATAAGATAGAGATTAAAAATGTTTGTCACTCCAAACAGTTTTTAGAAAGGCATCAGACTTGTCAATCATCAGAAACAAAATGATCATCACTCATTTCAAAGTAAGAGCGTTCCTTTTTTTTCATCAGAAAATCAACAAGGTATCAATGATGCCAGACAACCTTGACATTTGAAAAAAAATACCCAAAATTCAAACTTGTTTGTTCACATTAGGGTCACATAAAGAGTGATGAAAGGGCTCATTTAATAGTGGAACCATCCAAAAAGTCTGTTACATATGCTTGCTTGAAAATTCCCTAAGGACTTGTGCTGAGGTACAGCATTTGCATTTTGCTTACAAGCCTGAATGAACAGTAATTCTTATTAATAAGTATTACCGTAATTATGGTCATTAGAGTAATTCTTATTATTACGGGGAATGGTATCTTAGGGGGACATTCCCATAGGGTAGTGCACAAAATGTTTCCAACTTTAAGACCCTAACTCAAATTTCCCTTATCCTATCCCCACAAATTCTGGTACATTTACGTTTGGGACCATGAGCAATCAATCTAGCCTATTTGGGACAATAACATTTTGCCTCTAAATTGGAGTTGTGACATTAGGGAGACATTGAAATGTCTCCTTAATGTCCAGTATGCATGTCTCTTCAGGATATAACTTATGACGAAAAATGCCTCCTTAAGAGAACATTAACAGGAATTATAGTTTTAACTAAATCTAACATAGGTCTTAATAATTATAACCTAGGAATGACAGTTCCATACTTTGAGCCTTGTAGCCCCTTCCTCCATCACATCTCTATGGAAATGGACCTTGACTCTGATTGCTGTCAACCAAAAGGCCAAAAAAAAAAGTCTACGGTTTCTGGTATAGAGCTTGCCCAAAAAGTGGTGCGGCGACGCGGCTTCTTTTTTTTTTTCCCTGATTTTTTTGCTTCAAATGTTGACTGCAAATGGTGCCCGACTAAACTTAGTGCAAAAATATGGGAGTCCAGAGAGGCCACATAAAGCTTATTCTCGACCATAACCCAATCTAAAAGCACGTTAAAATTGTGCAGCAGCAGGATTCCAGTCAAACCAGTGAGTTTGGCAGTTTTGAGACATCATCTTTCATTGAAAATTTTTTTTTTTTCATTTTGCCGACGTGCATGGCTACGGCGACGCACGCGCATACCAGAAACCGGATACTTTTTTTTATTGGCCTAAGAATTGCAAATCAAATATTTTCTTTTGCCCATGACTGACCTGTGTGCTGGTGAGTCTGAAGAGCAGGTTGTCCTCCAGTTCCTTCATCTTCCTCTTGTTGGCCGTCACGTCCTCCATCAGCTTGGTCCGCTCAGCTTCCAACTCCTAACAACACAAGGAGACATACATCAATAACTAGGAATGTCCAAGGTGGGTTGATTTGTCGCAAATGGAAGAGTTTTAGAAAAGGGATATTAAGTCTGAATTTCAGCCAAGGAAATTAATTCTAATTAAAATAAGAGCATTTTGGAACTACACTTTCAAACTCGAAAGCTTTACTACACAAGAACAAAGGAATGTCTCCACAAGGAAACAAATTTCAGTGTGGGTGTGTGTGTGTGATCACAAGTTGTTCACAAATTGATCACCATCAAGGCAGAAGGCAGGGCGACTGGCAGCAAAGCTGCATACCCTGCAAAGTGGCCACAAGGTGAAGCCTCGTATTAGAAAAAGGATTCCATGCAAGGACGTTGCATGATGACAGAGTTGATCAGATGTACCTGTTTCTCTGTGAGGATGACGCGGCCCAGGAGCTGGTCTTCAAGTCCCTTCATGGTGACAGTGAAATCAATGATGGACGTACGGGCCGACACCTACAATCAAACACAACACAAACACAAGATGCATAAACTCAACAACCGTTGTGCGAAGAGCTTTAAAAATCTTTCTCACATCCTTGTTTAGCTTGTATGATGGAACTTTACATTGAGAAATATAAATTTTAATATCGGTTCTCGAAAGCTCTTTGACAACACAGGGTAAACAGTGTATGTTACATATATGTGACCAGCTCCACTAAAAAAGGTATTTATGTCGCAAAAAAGTGAAATTCAATACACATCGTTTGAAAGCCCACAATGTAAGCTTTCATTTGGTATATAATAGAGCTCCATAGCCCCTCCCGTTCTGGAGATATGACATATTTGCATATTAATTACTTCCTTAGAGTTCAAATTACACAACTGAGAAAACAGGCCTTGAAATAGCTGGCTTTGTTGTAGAACAACAAAACGATGCACATAAAATGGTTGTTTCTTCCACTTTGTTCATCAAAATCAAAATTTCTGTGAATGCAACCTCACACTGTAGGTATTAAAGATGTCATTCATGACAAAAACTGAAAATCACATTTTGACAAAATTTTCACCCTCTCAATGTTGAGCAGGCCATTACACAATAATGCACAGTGCGACTTAATACACTTTTTTGTGGAGCCGGTCACATATGTGGGGCAAAATCCAATAGTGAAATTCCTTAGATCCCATGCAATAATAAGTTTTTAAAGAGTTCAGATCCCTAAAAGGAACCAGAATAACTAACCTCTGGTGTGTAGGTAGGGTTAGCCAGCTTGGTGGTCATGTACAGGGTGAAACCCTTCATTACATCCACCTCCTTGTCTCCTACTTTCACCTTAATCAAAAACACAGTAATTAAATAGGTTTATAATATAATAATAATAATAATTTGGGAGGCTAATCATCCTTACTCGCAGCTGGTATGCTGAATTGCGAAGGACGCGGCTACAATGTGGTCGGGCCGCTGGCACGTAAAGGCGCCTATGGCTGCCGGCCACATCGACCCATATATGACCACGGAGCACAGCCTGAGATCGAAAGTGTTTGATTTTTCCTTTTTTAACGAGGGGAATGTACAGAAGTGATGTCAAATGGGAAGGAGGTTAATGGATTTGATTTGAAGTAAGTGGGAGAATGTACTCTTTGTTAAAGTGTAGCAATTGTTACAATTAACCCATTAGACTGTACTGCCAAAAACTGCCCTGCCTTCTCTTGTACTGCCCCAAACCCATTAATACTCTACAGTTTATGGATTCATAAGGGAATTAATATATCATGTAATAACATGTGGCACAGGTGCTAACAGGTGCTAACAGGTGCTAACAGGTGCTAAGAGGGAATTGCATTCAATGGTTACTGTTGTCAGGGTTCAACTTTAGTAGTAGCCCGCTAGCCAATTAATGCTAGTCAAAACAGCGGCAGGCTAGTCAAACTACGGTATTACTTAAGTAGCCCAGCTGGCGAGTCAAATGTTATTGGGCTACGGCAAAGATGAAAGGACAGGAAGAATTCAATCATTAAATTCAGAAAGCAAACCTGTATCAATTTGTGTCTAATTTCATTAACTGTTAGGGTTAAATTATTAGATTTGTTTATTAAAAACACTGACAAGATTGCCTCAGGATACATGTTTTACATGTATGCACATTAACGTTTATGAGACACTCGATGAAACAAAAACATGCGGGCTGGTGAAAATGACCCCGGGCTAGTTAAGAGTCTGTTTCATTAGCCTGGCTGGCTAGTGAAAAGAAAAGTTACGGTCGAACCCTGCTGTTGTACAATTTACAATTAATTGTGCTACAAAATAGCACTGCAACACTTTCCACCCCAATTGACCATAACCACAGATAATCTGATTGCTAACAATCCATTGTGAGGTAAGCTCATCTACAGTTAGCAGTGAGCAGTTAACAGTTAACACTTTCCATCCTAATTGACCATAACCACAGATAATGGATTGCTAACAATCCATTGTGAGGTAAGCTCATCTACAGTTAGCAGTGAGCAGTTAACAGTTAACACTTTCCATCCTAATTGACCATAACCACAGATAATGGATTGCTAACAATCCATTGTGAGGTAAGCTCATCTACAGTTAGCAGTTAGCAGTTAACAGTTAACACTTTCCATCCTAATTGACCATAACCACAGATAATCTGATTGCTAACAATCCATTGTGAGGTAAGCTCATCTACAGTTAGCAGTTAGCAGTTAAACACTTTCCATCCTAATTGACCATAACCACAGATAATCTGATTGCTGCTAACAATCCATTGTGAGGTAAGCTCATCTACAGTTAGCAGTTAGCAGTTAAACACTTTCCATCCTAATTGACCATAACCACAGATAATCTGATTGCTGCTAACAATCCATTGTGAGGTAAGCTCATCAACAGTTAGCAGTTAACAGGTAACAGTTAACACTTTCCATCCTAATTGCCCATAACCACAGATAATCTGATTGCTAACAATCCATTGTGAGGCTAGCTCATCTACAGTTAGCAGTTAATCCTTCCATTCACAACTTAGTTAATCCCTCTCTTAACAACCCCTTTTAATCTCTAGCCACCACCACACTTCTTTGTTCCTTCCCCCTCCCATCCCCTGTCTTAATCCCCTTTGTTCTTCAACTACTGCCACACTCCCTTGGTCCCTGCCCCCTATTTAATCCCTCCTCCTATTTAATCCCTCCTTTGTATTTTTCCTTCTACACCTGCACACCTGTGTGTCCCCTTCTTGTTTGTTTTTGTACCCCTGTCATTCTGCCTTTGACCTGGACCCAAACAATAGGCCCCCCAACTTTTCTGATTTGTTTATTCCACATCAAGCCAGTCAGTAAGCAGCGTTCAGCACTTGTATTTATTTTCAGTTATAATGCTACTCAATTACATTGCAACACTTCCCACTCTTATGGCCCACAATCAGGATTTACATTGGTGCTAAGAATCAATTGAATGATAAGTTATACAGTTTACAATAGTTTCAATAAATCCTACTTGCTTGAAGTCAACTGTTTTATCACTACAACAGATTTAAGCACAATAGCCATCTTGTAGGGTAGGGTTTTATGTTCCACAAAGCTAAGCAGTGGTACCATTTCATTCAATTTGTTGTTAGTCAATTAAAAGAAACACAAAAATGAATTCTAAGAGTCCCAAATTATCACGCTTATTGGGATCTCTTCATCTCACAGTTCCTTACGAGAGTTCATTACCTTGTAGGTGGATCCAGATTTGATGAAGTTTTTCTCCAGCACATTATCCAAGGCTGGATCCAGCTCCTCCCCGATGTCCTCAAGAAGCAATGGACGACCCAGGGACAGACTGTCTTCAAGATGAGTTCGGAAATACTTGTGGTTTAGTGACGTCACCTGTACACAAGAAATGAAATAAGGAAAGGAATGAAAACAAATGGACAAATTTTACCTACTTGAATTCAAATTGTTCATGATTTTGGCATCTTGAATAATTTGAATAGTTTTAATAATGCAGGTTCAAGCTGTGTGAAGACACTACTCAGAGATGAAACTGGCATATGGCCAAAAAATTGGAAAATAATTACACACATGTACATGCATGTACAATACACTTCATGCCCAGTTTCCGGACACCTACTCCTGCTTTATTTTTTTTAAATGGTCAGTGTTTTCATTGAATAAAATGCCCGAATTACGGTTAGAGTAATGGAGTCATCAATAAAGAAGTTCACATCTTACTTGAGAAAGTCTAGGGAAAAGTCCGAAAGACAAGGGCACCGTTCATGGTGCTTCAATCATGTCCATTCAACCACACAACTCCACTACTCCACTTGCATTCATACGTGGGGAAAAATCAGGTATTATCGTCTTTCTCTTTTAACAAATGCCAGTGAAATGTTTCGCTAATGCTCTCTTCGCTATCCTCGAGATAATCATCACGATTTTTAAAGCATTGTATTTTGTATAACTAAATTTAAAACTTCCGAAAATCGCACAACATAATGATTTTGTCCACTGGATCGTTCACAAGGCTACATACCCGTTCCCGACCGGCCATGTGCTAGCGGACGGTACGGTGCGGTACGTACGCTGGTACCATTGCATATTCGCACGCACGTGCGACACAGTGATTTTTCCATGTCGCCTGTCAATGTTTAACCTTTTGTCCAGCCGGAGAAGGCTCTGATCAGTGTTATGCCCTGTGTTTCTACCGTTGAAACACTCCAGTAGCGACTGGTGAAAGAGATTAAAACTACGTTCGCGATGATTTTAACGTGCCATTTCCATCGACTTTTCTTCGAAATTATGATTGAAATAAAATGACATTTTGTAAGAAAAATCCTTACAAAATCGAATTTTGTGGGACACACTGTAAAAAATCGGAAATTTCGTTGGGAAATTCAAAAAGTCGGTTTTCCGATTAAAATCGGAAAAGTTTAATCTCTGACTACTTCAAATACTAACTCGAACAAATATAATAAAGAAAACTTAGAAAATGTATTCTTTTGATCTCAACCAAAAATTTAACCCGTTGTTTTTTTAAAAACAAAATCTGCTTGTTCGATATGTGTTCCTTTGGTAAAATTTTAAAAATGATGCACAGTGTATGCCTTGGCATGTTGAATGTCATTCAGATATTTTCACAATATTTTCACAAGAGGTGCATTTGAATCCCTTCACATCACTGATTTTCCTCTCATGTGAAGAGAGTTGATGGGTTAATACGTGCGATCTGTTTTGCTTCTCTCTGTTAAACAAATTTCATGATGAAATCAGGTGAAAATTCATATAAGAAATCATCACTGACTTGACATGAAACGAAACATTAAATTTGCCCCTTGGTGGAAACAGTGACAAATAGACCAATACATTAAGACCCGCCCACTCCAACTTTTTTTGAAGTGGTGTCGCAAAAAATGAAGCCACTGCGTACAGCATTAAAATTGCGCCACTATGCGCCAATGCCATGAAGAGTCGTAGTGCCCCCCCACCTTTTTTTTTTGCTTTTTACATAGGTTTTCCCGGCCAATTTCCTAAAATGTTCATTCACTTCTGAAAATCGGTCATTCATTTTCGTCTGAATTTGAGAATTGATCTGAACAAGCGTTTCATCTTCGCTACCTGGGCATTCGATTCCATTTCAGTTCAATCAATTAAGGGATTGAGCAGCACCTTTCGTTTATGTCCATTCAGATTCGTTTACAAGACTTCTTTTTTTGCTTTTAGAGGGCGATTTAAAACATTCACCATTCTATTTCACTTTTAGTTTCATGCCATCGGCACCAGATACAATTAGGGGCTTCTTTTTCATTAACAGTCAATCAAATTAGCTGTACCTGAATTCAATTTAGAAAAGGTATGCTTGCGTAAATGAATGCACAGGTAACGTAATTGGCCATCTGTTTCTCAAACCGAATGCACAGACAATGAAAAAAGATTGAACTTTCGTTGAACTGAAATGGGATAAAAGACATGCATTCAAATTCAGACGAAAATGAACGACCGATTTTCAGAAGTGAATGAACATTTCAGGAGATTGGCCCGGGAAACCTTTATTAAATTTGGGGCAGACAATTTTGGACCCACTTTTTCGGGGAACAAAAAAAATAATTGGGCCCGCCCCCAAACTTGCGTTCTGGATCAGCCCTTGCCCCACTGACTCGCGTGTGGGCAACAACATACATGTGCACAAATCCAATGCAACACTGCATACATGTTGCAGCCCGACGCATCATACCCGCACGTGCACGCATGTCAGACATTGTAGCACGCACGCTAGACATTCATCATGGCTGTGATTGGTCAAAACACAATGAGGTTGGGCCTAATGGACAGGTCTATTGATGAATCTGGGTACCTGATCACTATGGGCTCCGTGCCCCGACGAAAGAGGGCGCCCTTTTACCTGGCAACAACGTCCCATGGGCGGGACATTTCGCTGGTTGACGCGCACCGTTCCTTGTGTGTGACGCACCTACACCAGGGGATTTGTACTATGTACACGCAGTGGCCACGTTTCGCGGCAAATTAATTGCAGTCAGGCAAGATGGCGTCGGTTTGGTCACCCCCAACTATACTTTCTTTGCCGGTGAGGGGGTACTTGTGAACGGAGCGGTTACACTCACGAGGCCCTCTTCAATGGAGAAACCATTGTGCATGCTATTGCACAAAGCAACTTCCCATGACGGATTACCTGAATACATAGTACAATGCTTTCGTCATTTAAAGCTATAGTCCATCATTTGTAATTTGTGCATTTTGTTCGTTTGAAGCAACAAAAGTGTTCAAAATCTAATGAAGGATACTGAGCAACTAACCTGATGAAGTTTCAGCTAAGCTTCAGCTGTACATTCCGAGAAAAACTGCATTCTAAGATCTCAATTTCAAATCAAAAGTTACTGAATCATGTTTTGAATTGTTTTGAATTGCAGTTATACGCGACGTCGCGCACTGATCCGACGAATTATAACAACCGCGGGCGCCTGTGCGTCGTTCCAATACTTGTGCGCGCTGCGCTGAATAACAAAACGAACTACTAATTTAAATTTTCCTACGGTGCTTCTTAAGAATCACTGTTGGAAATGCCTTCTTTCGTTGATTACTTCAAAATGACAGCTTCCCAGAAAGAATAATTTCACAGGGAGTTTAGTTCCCTTACTATCTTTCAACCAAGTTTGTTTTTCAACAATAATTACGCCAGTTACTTTTCGGATGGCTGCAAATGATGGACTCTAGCTTTAAGGGGCCTGTTGTGATCACAGTGATAGCTTGCCCGGATTGGTACGCATTTCAGGAGTCGATGAGTTCCTACCTGCAATCCACTTTCCTTCTCACGATTCTTAATCCATGTCTTGCCTTGTCCCTGTGGGTCAATCAGCAGTGGGTAGCGTGTGGCTTTGGTCACAATGATACCGTTCTGCACAGACAGGTCATCATTGGGTAGACCCTGCAGGTTCCATTCTCCTATCTGTTAAGCAAAACACTAGCATGGGTTAGTGATCGTACAGCTGCTAGATAGTGCCTTTGGAGTCAAGTCCTTCTCTGAGTCCAAAATTGAAGGTTTAATTACGTTGTATCATAGGAATGTACCCTAGCCTGTGTTGAGTGAATATCAATCTGAGTGAATAGGAATATAAGTGTTTGAGCTCTTTTCCACCTCATATTTCAGCAAACATCTTTAAGGAGGATTTTGAACGAAGCACTTTATGGAAACAAAATTCCCTGAGTTTTTCCCTGATATTTCCCTGAGAAACTTTCAAAATTCCATGAGAAATATTTTCACCTGAAGAGGCTGCTGGGAATTCAAGAGGTGGTTGCAGCAAAGCAACTGAGATACCGATACTGATAACATTCACACTGCATCAACACCTAAAAGCCACAGCCAGTCCGTCAATGGACGCAACTTGGACACATGGCACAAGACGCACATACGCCAAACTGGCGAAAAACCTTTCCCCGAGTTTTCCCTGCTTGTTGGTGTTTTCCTCAAAATCCCTGAGTTTTTCTCTGACCAAAAACATGGAAACTCGATTTTAAAGGTTTTCCCTGATTTCCAGAGTGACTGGGAACCCTGCCCCAGAGGTACCTTTTTTTCTAAAGTGCAATTTCAAAGTTGCCCCAAAATTTCAGATATTCATCAAAATTTCGTACAATCAGATCCTGAAATTTCTAATAAGGAAAGCTATAATGGTGTGTAGCACTCACAGTGGCATTATCCACCAGCATGCTGGTGATATTGAGGTTCTTAGTGAACGGAATCTTCCTGGTAGTCAGTTGATTCATCCAGTCTTCATTCATGTTGAGACGGAAGACCTGGTTGAATGGGCCGGAGTAGGAGAGGAAACCTGTGGCTAGGAGTACATCGCCAACAAGCCTGGATAACCACACAAATCAAATCAATCATTTGGGGTTGACTCAAATTGACATTAAATCTCAGCACAATCAACCAATAGGGGGGCAATTTCTGGGGTTACTAAAATAAGGCCCCCAAAAAATAGTTCTGATTCCGATTACATGACATTTGAAAATAGGGTAGGTAGGTAGGGATTTTTGTTTTTGGCAATTTTTTTTGTGTACGATCATATAGAGGCGTCTGCGTGTAGTCAAGGGTAAAAGGTAGTAATTGATGGTTTTGGGTGTTTTTTTCTCATTTTCCCCATAAAAAAATTAGGGTAGGGGCTGTCAAAATAGGGTAGGTAGGGAAACCGGAAGCAGAACTATTTTTGTTGTTGGTCTAAGCACTGTATTTATTTGCTCAGTTAAAAAAATGGCTAATTGGCCAAAAATTCATGGAAGGTTTTGTTTTCCCCACTGCAGGACAACCTCTCTGTGGCAACGTCTTATAGTGAAGCACTGTAGAATTGCTCCACATACAGAACATATTGGTCATAATTACTGCTAGGTCTCAACATTTCGGTGTATATTGCTAAACTATGATGTTAATTTCAAGTTGTTTTTTTTTCTTTTGTTGCTTTTTTGGGGGCAAAGATTTATGAGAAACTTTTCTATTCTGTTTCAGCCTTATGAGTAATTGACCTATCGCCGTTTGCGAGTCAGACACGCCCCTTAGACAACCCTATGGAGTTTTTGTACACTAAGTTTGGTTTGTCTCGGATTTTGCGCATTCTGCGTCCATTTGTAGGTATCATGTTATTGGACAATATTTCACAAGCAGCGTTGATGTAATTTTCACGCAATTCTACTGCGATACGTCAATTGTTTAGTGATTTGAAACATTGCGACAATAAAACAACCATGTACTTCAGCAATACAATGGTTCTGTGGGACCCGCCGTACTTTTGTACAGTCATAATTTATTTGAGAGTATAAAAGATGCAACCAGACCACATATTACTTGAAGACATTATTCGACAGCCTGACCTGTTGATCTGTTCTTTGAATTCTTTGCTCTGCTCCGTCCATCGCACCTTCTCTCCTCCCAGCCCATTAATCAAGGCAGACGCTGCTAACATCTTCTTTTTACAAGACTCCGCATCGTCCAACAAGTCCTAAAATTACAAAAACAGTACCAGATCAAAATTTATCCTTATTTTTAAACAAATTCTAAAGCTGTTACTGATAAAACATCTTCTCCCTACACGACTCACCATCGTGTAGGTAAATTCTAAAATGTAAAAAAACAGAGCCGGATTAATAATACCCCTGAACTTATATAAGATTTGAGGCTTTGCATGGTGGAGTATCAGTATCGTTTCGGTTTGCGGTAACACCATGTGGTAATAACTACTGCTTACAAGATATTTAGTTCTGAAAAGAACTTGTCCTGCTTATTATCAACTTTCGCTTAGTAGTTTTTGTTCCGACTGTTCTTATCAGAACAAAAACTACTTAGCGAAAGTTGATAATAAGCAGGACAAGTTCTTTTCAGAACTAACTATCTTCTAAGCAGTAGTTATTACCACTTGGTGTTACTGCAAACCGAAACGATACCCCTGAACTTTTTAAGTGTCTTTAATTAGAGTTTCTTTTTACAGGACTCAGCATCATCCTGCAACTCCAATAATTCCGACAACTAAAAGACAGAAGGGCTGGGTCAAAAATCCACCTGAAACTTTCAATCAGTCTTTGCTGTTCATGAGTTCAAGAACTCATCAGCATCAACCGGTCAGTCGAAAATAAATCATTTCAAAGCAAAGTCAGTCAGAGCTTCAAATTCTAATAGCAGGTTCTTCTGCAATAACTGCAGAATTTTGAGGTGATGTTACAAGCACTGCATGCCTAATGTTTTCGGAGAGTTTGTAAACACTATATTCCGCAAGTTTATTTAACCTACGATTTATAAAAGTGGTCTCATCAGGGATACTTATGGGTGGTGCTGCTACCACGCTGACGGAAAAACAAATTCAATGCCTAACAACGTTAGAAAACTATGTCTAATTCATGCTGAAATATGATGTACCGTGCGTGTAGCAATGCCATTATTTTTATCACCTAGTTTTAATGGGGCATGGGGAACTGTAAAGAAACATTGTTACTTTTATACCTGTTTTTCCTTCATGGCGGCATCAAACTTGGCCTGGACCTCATCTAGCTCTCGCTGCTTCTCGTCCAGGATTGCCTGGGCCTTAGATAGCTCAGTATTGGCCACGTTCAGACGGACTTCCTGCACGACTAGATTAGCCTGCCAATGGAAATCATAAACGTTTGAGCGACACTAAATAATAATAATATGGGGATGTCTCCCAAATGTCCAATCCAGCCAGGGTCATACTAATTACCCTGGATTGGACATTTGGGAGACATCCCCATAGACTTGTGCACAACATTTTTCAAACTTACATGTAAATGTGCTCTAACCCAATATTCCCTTGTCCTTTTTCCACAAATTTCGGTATGTTTACTAATTAGACCACGATCACGAGCAACAAATAAAACCTAATTGCGACAATACAATTTTGCCTCTAAAGGGGGGCTGTGACATTAGGGAGACATAATGACCGATGTCTCCCACCGTTCGAAGAAATTACGATACCGTGTCTCCTTAAAGCCAGAGTCCATCATTTGTAGCTATCCAAAAACTAACTGGAGTAATTAATGTTGAAAGACATACTTGGTTGAAAGAGAGTAAGAGGACTAAACTCCCTGTGAAATTATTCTTTCTGGCAAGCTGTAATTTTGAAGAAATCAACGAAAGAAGGCCTTTCCAATGGTGCGTCTTAAGAAGCACCGTAGGAAATTCAAATTAGTAGTTTGTTTTGTTATTTGGCGAAGCGCGCGCAAGCATTGGTACAACGCACACGGGTACGCGGTTGCTATACTTCGTCGGATCAGTACGCGACATCGTGTAGCTGCAATTGGCTAGTGAGAACGTGTCTCGGACGCCTAATTCAGGCCCAATTCAGAACATAATTCAGCAACTTTTGATTTGAAATCGAGATCCTAGAATGTTGTTTTTCTCGATAAATGCAGCTGAAGCTAAGCTGAAACTTTATCAGATTGGTTGTGCATCCTTCTTCAGATATTGAGCACTTTTGTTGCTTCAAACGAACAAAATGCACAAATTACAAATGATGGACTATACCTTTAATGGTACCTTTACAGGTATAATAATATGGAAGACATTCCCCTAGACTTGTGTACAAAACTTTTTCTAACTATATATTGACCCCTAACCACAATTTTACCTTATCCTACCCCCACAAATTTTGGTATATTTATGTTTTGGACCAAGAGAAATCGATCTAGCCTATTTGCGACGGTAAAATTTTGCCTCTGAATAGGAGCTGTGACATACTATGTGTCGTGCCTCCCAAGCTATCAAAAATGACAAAGAAATGTCTCCTTAAGGTACCATTAACAAGTGAAAGTTTGAGACCAGAAGGCGCTGATGTCGAGCTGCTGCAAAAACTGGTCTCATGGCATGATGAAAGTAGGGTAACAATTGTGAAGCGCTTTGAGACCTTAGGTATAAAGCACTATGTAAGCACCAAATTATTATTATTATTACTATTACGACTACAAGACCAACCTTAAGAGGCAAGACTTCCTTGTTGATGCCAAAGAACATAGCCATAGCCTTGGTCCATGAGCACAAGCCGGCTACGTCACCGCACACCTTCTTAGCACTAGCCAGGTTGTAGTCTTCCATGTCGAGGTATGGGGCGAGTAGCTCCACTGTCTCCTCTGTGATGGTGTCCTTGGGGAAGGTCTGGAGCATGGAGACAAAACCTCCCCCGCTCATCACCTGCCAGGTACAATCAATCATCTCGGATTGAGATCTTTATCAACTGGAGGATTTGTTCATGAATCACATTTCTAACACAGTTCGCTCTGCTTCATTTCACATCCGCAACATAGGAAAGATCCGAAATATCTTGATCGCGCTTCCACAGAACAGATTGTCCACTCCTTTGTTACATCTCGTCTTGATATGGGAAACTCACTTTTATTTGGGCTTCCAGATGTTCAGCTATCCCGTCTCCAACGCCTACAAAACACTGCTGCACGTGTGGTCACTTTAACGACAAAACACTCCCATATAAAACCTGTCCTTTTGGATCTTCACTGGCTCCCAATATCGTCTAGAATCATCTACAAACTGATGCTCATTGTCTTCAAAGCACTTAATGGGAAAGCACCTGCGTACATCCTGGACATGCTCAATATATACAAACCATCTCGCAACCTTCGATCTGGAAATAAATATCTTCTTCAAGAAGTCAAATCTCATCGTACCTGGGGGGACAGATCTTTCTCTGTTGCAGCACCACATCTCTGGAATCAACTACCTCTTCATATCAAAACTTCCACTTCTATTCACTCATTCAAAACATCTCTCAAAACACACCTCATGTCGAAAGATCCGTTTTTTCGTAATTAAACTGATTTTGTTTTGTTTCGTTTTCATTGTAATATCGCCCTGAGCTCCTTGGTGGATATGTGCGCTTTATAAAACTTCGTTATTATTATTATTATTATTATTTGTGCTAATAAACTTTACTGATTTGTATGTGTTCTAAATAACCCCCGAGGACCGACACACAAAGGGAGAACAACAGATACTTTCAGTCCTCGGGAGTTGGGTCTTTTGTTGGAAACGGTCCTCTGTAGCAAGTTTGTGTGTTTAGTCTACAGGAGAATGTAATATTACAGGGACAAAGGGAAACACAAAGCATTGTCCTCGAGAGTAAAGTAAAACAAGAGTGTATGGTCTGAGAGTGCTGTGGCGGGTTCCTATGGACTTATTCGGTGAACAAAATTTTTAGCCCTTCATATGAAAAAAATTCAATGAGATTTAACTTTTCAGAGTTGTGGAACAAAAAAGTAGGAAATGCAAGTGAAAAGTAGGAAACGTAGGAGCAATGTAAACAAAACTAGGAAAAAGTAGGAAAAGTGGGAATACTTTAAAGCCTGCAAGCAATATGCACTGGATCAACTGTTTGTGCTAAGTGAATATTTCTTTGCTTAACAAAGTTTCTATGCTTAGCAACTCTCTGAAGTTAGGCTAAATTTGAGACACATCCCCTTACCTTGAGGGACTCTCCCCAGGATGGCTTAGGCGAGGGCCTCTCAGGATCCATGGTGGTAGGATCCAATCTCTTCTGGAAAAGCAGCAGCACGCAGTCGATGATCCTCATGATGAGATGCGGCGGCTTGGCCAGCTTCCTGACTGTGGAGATGTGCGCCGGTTTGATGGTATTCAAGGCGTTCTCGGCTTCCTCTAAGGCCGGCTTGGCTGCTTCAAGCTTAGTCTCGGCTATGGATTTGTCTGCGGCTATCTCATCCACGATGTGTTGGGCTTTGTCTTTGACTTTCTGCACACTGCTCTTGACCTTTTCTGCGGCCTGTGCTGATACTGTCACCTCAGCCAATACCTGTTAATAAATTGAAAAATCATTTGTGATGTGATCAAGCTAAAATAAGTCATTTGTCGACCCTGGTCAATATTTTTTTTTTTTTACAGATTTGAAAAGAGCTTAATCTCAGCATTACTGCTGTGAAACCGCATGCTGGTACCATCTTTAGTTAAAAATTTAAGGAAGTCGGAACACAAAGAAATGTGATGAAGTGATGTGATGAAGTGGTCCTATTTTGGCCTGAATCTCCAAATAAAAATTCTCGACAAACGACAAAATTTAAGGAAGTCGGAACACAAAGAAATGTGATGAAGTGATGTGATGAAGTGGTCCTATTTTGGCCTGAATCTCCAAATGAAAATTCTCGACAAACGACTCTTTGAGCTTGATCGCATCACATATGATAATCGAGTGGCATTAATGTAAGTTGAGAGAAAAGCAAATTTCACAAAGGGTAATTACCCCTCCTAATCTTCAACATCTACCAGGATTTTGAAGCATTTCGTGAGAAAAGGAAGGTAATCTCAGCTTGGTGAAAAATTGAAGAAAAAAAAAGACTCCAGAGTAAGCAGGCAAGCGACTGGGAAGTCGATGAAAAAAACCAAGAAAATTCTAAATTCAAAACATATTTTGCTCCTGTGGTTTTTTTGGGGTTTTTTCCATAGCAACATGAGAAGTAAAAATTTATCAGCTGATCCAAGGAAAAGTTTCATGCCCGAGTAGAGCTGCCTGTGCAGAAAAATTATGTCCATTTTTTTAAATGCATTTTTAAAAATGCATTGTTAGGCCTGCTTGCAGAAGTAGCACATACACACTAGTTGCCCCAATTTTTTTTCAGGGGGAGATTTTACAAAGATTCCCAAGACAATGTTGAGATAGTGATTTGTGGGTGATAACGGTTCATCTTGGTAAACCCCCTCTTTAGGCGGGTGATCGCGTTTCCAATTTACAACAATGTCTTGACCCTAGACTAGTTAAAAAAAGAGGAAATTTTCGGGTAACACCATGTGGAGAGAAATCTCTTCTTGGAAGAAGTGTGGTTCTGAAAAGAACCGGTTGGTTGAGTGTAGAACTCGACGTTTTGGACAGTGTGCTCCTTTCCTCCTGAGGACGGACAGAGCACACTGTCCGAAATGTCGAGTTCTACACTCAACCAACCGATTCTTTTCAGAACCACACTTCTTCCAAGAAGAGATTTCTCTCCACATTGTGTTACCCAAAAATTTCCTCTATTTTATCTCATCTGCCATGCAAAGCTTCAAGTCACATATACCTAGACTAGTTGTTGGGTTAATCCAATAACATTTTACCTTGTCTGCTTTGATAGAAGCCACAGCCAAGTCTTTCTCCTTGACCACCAGATCCTTGGACAGCTGAGTCACAGACTCGCTGGCTTCAATCAGCTTGTCCAGGCCGGTGTTCATCCGACGAGCTAACTCTGAGATCGTCTCGTACTTCTCTAGATAGATGGACTTGTAGCCGTCGATGAAGGATAGGTAGGACTTGGGTGTCACGTGGGTTTGGCGACGGTACCTGTGTATCATCAAAGAGGTACGTAAACAACATTATGCAATTGTTGCCTGTTGTGATGGGGTCCATGGTGTTTTGTACACCCGAGGGTGCCATTTGCACCCGAGGGTGTACAAAACCCATGGACCCCAATCACGGCAGGCAACAATTGTTTTGTTATGCCATGGTAATAGATTCCAAGCATCTGAAGTTGTAGGATTTCCTCCAGTTGCCGTGCGGTAATAGCGGAAGTATTGTTTTGAAAAGATCCGCGATTACTACACCATGAATATTCGCACAATTTGTTTTGCACTGCACAGGAACACAAATTAATTTACCTTTTCACTGAATAGACCAATCCATTAATCCCTGCCCCGTTATGAGCCAATCACAGCTGCGACCATGTTCCATGCGCGCGCGTCCATCCGACATGCGTACGTGCATGTGCGCACGCTGTCTGAAGCCTCTTATCCGGGCTTTTTTTTATTATACAAGGCGATAGAAACAACACTTTCAACAGTGGGGACAATCAAGGTAATGTACCCCGTGGGGTACATCACTCATGTACCACAGGGTGTACCCTGACACCATACATGCGTGTTTGTGGCACATCACGTGCTCGGTTCTCGACCAATAAAACATCACGATCTATTACCGAGGTATAACAAACATGTATGATGAGAATTTGCTTCAAACATATTTCGAAGGCTGACGCATTCCACCTCCAGCAAATTTTGCAGCAGATGTTTCCTTACGTCTTTTTTTCGTATTCACAGCTGGGTGAAGTATGAACCTGCCCTTGGTTAAATTGTTGACGAACAAAGACAAAAGAATTGTGGAAAATATTCAAATAGGCTTGCGCAAGTTGTGCTCAGGTACCATGCATCCACTCCTCCGACCAAAAGGGTTATCAAATGCATGTGAATCTTGTCTTTCAAAAGCCCATGCGGCGTGCGAGCTGACGTGGTTCCGCCTCAAAAATAGCAACTCTAACATGTCTAAGGCAAAGAGTTAAATTTAGATATCATAATTTCAAAAATTATTCCTGACGAACATAATGTGCTTCGTGGATATGGACAAACAGCTTAGAAATAAAATGTATGCCTAGTACAATTACATGAAATGGAATTGCAAAGCAAGGAAAAACCTTTGGAAATAGTGCAAATCCCAGCCACACTGTTTAAGGCCAGGGCCCAATTTCATAGAGCTGCTTAAGCAGAAAATTTGTTAAGCACGAAAAAACATTGCTTAGTAAACTTAGGTTACCGGCCAAAACTTTATGTAATGTACATTGCTTGTGACTGGTATTTAGCTGTTGTTTACTTAGCATAACAATCGCATGGAGTTTTGGCCGGTAACCTGATTTTATTAAGCAAGACGTTTTTGTGCTTAAGCAAATTTTGTGCTTAAGCAGCTCTATGAAATTGGCCCCAGTTGATACTAGATGCAAATGCAATCACGAACTGGAGACATCATGGCAAGTGTTCGCGTTGTCGATTTGCAACAGTTGAGTGCATTCAAACTCCAGCGAATTTTGCAGCAAATGTTTCCTGATGTCTGATTCGCTTCAAACTCGCATTTGTGTGAAGTATGTACCAGCCTTTAGTTAAATTGGTGAAGAACAAAGGGAAAAGAATTTTGAAGAATAGGGAATCGCAAAGTGAGGGCTTACCTTTGGAAGTAATCAGTGCAAGTCTCGGCCACCCCGTCATGAAACTCCCCCATGGTGTGCACCAGCTGCTGCTTGGTCTCAGGAGGGCAGACAATCTCAAACTTGGACAGGAAGTGGTTGGAGACAGCTACCAGGGCATCCTTGGGCCAGCGTGTGAACCAGTCCATGGTGCAGCCGGATATCAGGCCCGGGAACTTCAGGGAACGGTTACGGAACTTCTCTCCAACCTGAAAGAGAACAGAAATCCCCAAAACCAAGAAATTATTTACTGATCGGCTAAGATACATTCCATCTGTAATGCTGACGTATTCATTAACTCATACTTTCACAAAGATGAAAGTTTCTTTTGTGAATAAAGTTGGTAATTCTTCAATAAAGTTGCAAAGTCTTCACAAAAGAGAATTGAGTGAACACACTTTGAGTGGTAGCCAACAGTATTAATGAATAGGCTCACAAATACATACAAGGTGTTTAGTAGCAGTAAAACTCAAAAATAGAGAAAACATTTGAGTGCCTTAGCAAATGTACACCAATGCTTAGGTGTGCTCTTTTCAAACTAAGACAAAACACAGGTTTCAGCAAATTATTTGGGAAAGCATACTCTGCACTACGGCATGCACAAACAGTTCGTAAAAACAGAGTGTTCTTCCCTGTGTTTTCCTAAGTAGGCTTTAGCGTCATCTATCGTTCTTGCATGAAGTCAATGATTAAGTATTTCTGAACCTACCGGAGAGAAGCACAGGACAACGTGTAGATTGTTGCGAGCTCTGGAGATGAAGTACTCATAGAGGTTGTCGTTGGTGGGCGGTCTGCGGGGAAACTCCTTCTTCATGACGGATATCAACTCTTGAGTGATCTCGTCCAACTCGTCGCGGGCAAAGAGATTGGACACCTAAGGAGGTAAGGAATGCAGGAATTACAAGTGCTGTAGTTGCAGTACTTGTGATGGATCACAAATTAATCACAACTCAATCCCAAGCCAAGCACAAGGCATCACAAGTCCATCACAAGTCCATCACAAGCCAATCACAAGCCAATCACAAGTCAGCACAAGTCCATCACAAGTCAATCACAAGTCATCACAAGTCAATCACAAGCCAATCACAAGTCATCACAAGTCATCACAAGTCCATCACAAGTCAATCACAAGTCAATCACAAGCCAATCACAAGTCAATCACAAGTCAATCACAAGCCAATCACAAGTCCATCACAAGTCTATCACAAGTCAATCACAAGCCAATCACAAGTCCATCACAAGCCATCACAAGTCAATCACAAGCCAATCACAAGTCCATCACAAGTCAATCACAAGTCAATCACAAGTCATCCAGTCCAAATCAACTCATGAGCTATTCAAATAAACTTTGACGAAGGCATTCCTTGTTTACTGTTTATCGCCTCTTACTTGTGACTGGACTTGTATTGTGATGTACTTGTGATTCATCAGGAGCACACTGACTACGACACAGGGAATTACCCAACAAAATGACACAATGTTCTCAATTGATCAACTCTTTGGGTTATTATCGATCAATACTTTGAAAACTTATGAATGAACTCTCCTTATTTTTTTCTTATTTTTCCACAAAATGAGAGCACAGTCACCAAATATTGTTTGCATGTTAACCTTGGGGTGCAATTCTTCAAATCGCACAATAATATTCCAGCTAAATAGAGTATCTTTAGACTAAATGAAAGGCAGATCAAGTTTTTTTGGCAGCCGGAGGGGAGAGAGAGGGGGGGGGATGTTAGACTACCTAACACCCCCCTCTCCATTTCTGCCACTGTAATTAGAATAGTGGGAGGATATTATTAAGGTATTCAACGGAGGCTTTGTGATTGATGTTGCTTTCATTGAGGTCTATGATGACGAATTGAATATATTTAATGTTGAATTTTGCTCTTCACTGACGTAATGTCAATGTTGTGCGAGGGCTTGCAAGACAGCATGAGTGAAGGGCAAAATCAAAACACCAAACTGTCATCTCTCCAACACAGAAACTCCACTATACAAATGGAATGTACAGTTCTTTTTAGACATTTTCATGACGTACCTCTCCTGATGACAGCACATTATTGAGGTATTCCAAGAAGGCTTCATCTTTGATCTCGTTATCAGTGAAGATGAATGTGATGCCCTGTCCCTGGCTGCCTGCTACTCTATACAGATACTTCAGATCATCCATCAGGTTACTGGCATTGTAGGACCTGCAATTAGGAAACATGCGTTGCACTATAATCAATTTGATGTATTCATGAGATGGAATTGACCTATCTCGGTAGAATCGCGTTAGAATCGCGGCAACGCAGCTTGTTAAATATTGCCCAATGACATGATGTACAAATGGAGGCGGAACGCCCAAAATCTGAGACAAACAAAACTTAGTGTACAAAAACTCCATAGGATTGTCTTGGGGGGGGGGAGGCTACCTCGCAAACGGAAACAGGTCAATTTACGTCGGGGTGAGGTAAATCAATATTAAGTTTTGCCTTTCACTGACGTATTAACACTGTATACTCAGTGTGTTACATGTACCTTCCAAGTGAAAGCTGGAAAAAAATCACTCGGGTGGGACTCGAACCCACGACCTCCTGCTTTCTAGTGCAGACATCTTACCACTCGACCACTGAACTTGAGGGATCGGCTGGCCGGTTCGAATCTGATGTACATATAGCGGCGGGCACCGCAATTAAATTTGATGTAGTCCATGGCTTTTGTGTGCTCCGGGTTGGAACAGGATAGCACTTAGGCAAAACCAAGTCTTTGAGAACAGTCGTCGGTCATACGTGGACTTTTTGTCACAGTTTACAACCGAAGACATAATCGTGAAAACACCTGTTGTGCAATGGCTGTTGCACTATGATATAGGATTGTGTACAGTGCACACAGTGACAACAATGAGAGCTTTCAATAAATTTAAAATTTAGCATGCATTATCAAGAATAAAGGCAATCTTTTACATTCAAAGATTTAGAAGATTTCACAACACAAAAATTTTAACTCAAAACAATTACAAATATCCACTAGTATTTTCAATTTTTATTTAAAAACATATACTCACCATTAACACTAGAAGCAACAATCAGAAACTTCAACTGTATGGCGACGATTGAAAATGTTAGATTTAACGTGTAAAGTAAAGAATGCAAAAAACACTGAGGTTAATGCAACATGATAAAACATGATCATATAAAACTGAAAACCAATAAATAAGAAAGATAGAAATACTAATTTAGTATTTTTTAAAAATCAAACATCAATTTCTGGAATAAAAAAAATAATTCCAGGCTTACCACACTCAACAGATTTGATTTTCTTAAGAGGTAGGTCTGTATTAAAGTAAAATGGCCTCAATTCGAAATGAACAAACAGTCGAATTTTAAACGAAATTTTCTGAAGCAGTATAATTTCAAAGGAAACACCCTGGAAGTCATCATACAAATTTAAGTACTGTCTTTTAATAGTGTTAAGTTCGAGTAAACAAACAACAACATAATAGTTTTACATTTTTTTTCTGAAAATTATTGCAAACAAACAAGGAGTTCATGCACAAAGAAACAAATTAGATGGCAATGCATAAATCCATATTGTCGTCGAGTCTAAAAGAAATCCTTCGCAGGTCTGGTCATACACAAGTCCTTCACACTAGTCTAGTCACAAGTTACAGGGGGTGAACAATAACAAAGGGATACATTTTTGTCACACTTCATTTTAAAGGTCGAGTGAACCATTTACTGCTATCCAAAAAGTTACCGACCAAATTATTCTGAAAAAGCTTACTTGGTTTAAAGATAGTAATGACGCTAAACTCCCTGTGAAATTATTCCTTCTGGCATGCTGTCATTTTGAAGAGAAAACAATAGAGGTCATTTCCAAAGATGTGTCAAGTGACACATTTTTGGAAATTTCCGTTTGTAGTTGGGCGAATCTGTGAATGGGTGCAAGCGTTGAAACAACGCACACGTGCGCACAGTTATTATTATTTGTTGGTTCAGTGTGTGACATGACGTACCAGTAACTACAATCGCCTGAATGAGAATAATGTCCCAAATGCAGATTTCGGGATTGTGTCATGAGGGCACAATTCAAAATATGACTCGGCAACTTCGAATTGAAATGGAGATCAAGAATATGATGTTTTCTCGGAATAAACAGCATTCACAGAGCTAGTTGTTAAGCACCCGTCATTAGATTTTGAGCATTTTGTTGCTTCAAACGAAGAGAATGCACAAATGACAAATGGTCCATTCTACCTTCAAGAGATTGTGGCTTGACTTGGCCTAAGATGCCTTGTGATGGACTTGTGACAGACTTAAGACAGACTTGTGATGGACCTTTGAGAACTTGATGGACCCAGCTAGAACACTGACAAGAACGTGGTTTTGTGTGATGTACCTTGTGAGGGTAATCTGGAAGATCTTGTATCCAGCAATGAATGAAGCCAGTCTAGTCAGGCTCTGCTTACCCGAACCACCCACGCCGACTAGCAACGTGTTGCCTACCGGGGTACGGATGACACGGGATATCTACAGAGAGAAAAACAATCAACTGTCCAATGCTCCCAAGGCCCTTGGAGAGAAATCATTATTAATTATTATTTACTCAGTGATCATGATTTAGTTCCCAGGGTTTTATGTTTGTTTTGGTTCGTTTTGTTGTTGTTTTTTTGTGGGGGTGGGGAGGGTCGGGCGGGGTTTGGGGGTTGGCACTTGTCAATACTGTGGCGAAAGTGTTCTATAAACATGTAGGCTGGTTAGGAGACTAGCACAATTTAGGGATTTCCCCCCAGTGAGCAATGTCACGGGGTGGAGCATTAGTGTACGTGACTGCGCGCAGAGATGTGATTGGCTGCGCGTCGCCCAGCATTGTTCTGTGTGCTGTGGAGACGTACACACGTGGTTAGACGGTCAGTGCGTTCATGGCGGTCGAGGAGACAACAGTGAGAGGTAAGCGCGAACTTTGTAGAGTTTGTGGTTTGTGTGTGGTTTACTAGGATCGGCTTTATGCCGTGGGTAGCGCTTACTAGGGAGCCGAGATCGCTAGGTTGTTGCCGGCGAGCTGCGTGCACTTATCCCGGTAGCGTTTAGTTCCCCGTTGTAGCGGAGAACATAAGTAAGCCGTGCGTTGGGAGTAGCATCAGCCAAGGTGGTTGAGCGTGCCAAGTATCGGGAGAGGTGTCGGTGTTCCTGCTGTGGTGTACACCTATACGGTGAATAGCGGTGAACGTGTACTGACCTTGCTTTCATACGGCTGCGTTCCCTGTGTGGCTGACTAGCGACCCCAGCAGCTATTGTAAGCCACGTTGATCGTCCGCAGCTTAAGTTGTTACCTCAGAACCTCTATAATAAACTTAACGTCTGTTGTAGTTTGTAAGCCTTGTAGTAAGCCAAACAGCGAGGTAGTCAGCCTTGCACATCGAGTAGTAAGCCATACAGCAAGTTTAATTAATAATAAAAGGTTCCCCCAAGTCCAAGAAGTTCACTCAAGTCATTTAATTATCAATTATTCATAAGGCAATTGTTGATTCAATAAACCATATTTAAATCATTGTGGTCCGAAATCAGGTGTCCTGTTGTGTTTATTTGACTTATTGAGCAGAGAAAGCCAATCAATTCCTTAGGCGGTATATTTCCACCAAAACGAACTTGCATCCCTTAGCCTTGAGGCTGCTCGTCAGTCTCCGGTCCGAGGAAGTAACTGGGTTCGGGAGCAATCCGCCACAAAATGGTGTCAGAAGTGGGATTGGAATTGATTGAGTAAAATTCGCTAATAAGTCGAAAGCTTTCGGAGAGCTTACTAAATTGTTTGGCGTTGTTAAAAAGAGTCCGTTGTCGGATATCGTTGCCATGAGCAGGCAGAGTGGTGCGGTTGCCTCGCCAGGTGAGAGCAAAGAGCAGGCACTCGAAGAGGAATTGAGTCGCTTGCGGATGGAGCATCAGTTGTTGCAGCTAGAAAAGTCTGCAAAAGAGACTGAGCTAGAGAGGTATCGGTTTCGGGTTGACCCGGAAATTGAGTTTCGAGTCCCAAGCGAAACTGGCTATGAGTCTTTCAGGGCAAAGGCGATGATGCCGAGTGTGGCCATGTCGCCGGAGATAGTCCATGAGGGCAGGAAAGAGGTGAGCTTTAGGGAGAGCACACCCTTTAGGAAACCTGCATTGGACTTATCGGTAAAGAGTAAAACACCGGTGGCTAAGATGCCTGGTACGTATAAAGAAGATGGTCTGAGTAACATAAGACCAGGTCGAAGTGATTCGACACGGAATAATCCCTTTGCAGAGGGACAGGAGGTTTTGACCCCTGAGAAATTGAGGGCAGAACTAATGAGTTTTGCTACCCGAGTAGGCGATAGTGGTGACCGATCGGGAAAGGTTGAAGTTGTCCCGTCGGTAGGCCCTTGGCCATTAATAAGTGAGCCAAGGGTATGTAATGAGAGTGAGTTGAAGGAGCAGTTGGGACGGAAGCGGCACCGTCCAAACATCATTCCCGATAGGTATAGTGGTAAGGTCTTGTGGAGAGAGTACCACAGACATTTTGAGTCTTGTAAGAAGGCTAACCGCTGGGATGATGAGGAAGCCGCTACATTCCTCGCTGCAAGCCTTCAGGGAAATGCTCTCAGAGTACTGGGAGAAGGATCCGCAGGTGGACATGAGTATAGTTATGCGGAAATGGTGAAGTTGTTGAAGAGGAGGTTTGATTCCGGCTTGCAGGCTGAGAATTACTTAGTCGAATTGCGACATCGTCGGCAAGGGCCGAAGGAGTCCTTGCAGGAGTTAGGGCAAGCAGTGCGTGAGCTTACAGTAAAAGCATATCCTGAGTTAAAGGAAGACGCACGAGATCGACTTGCCAAGAATCATTTCCATGATGCCGTCACGAGTCAGACGGTGCGTGAAGGGATTCATAGGGCGCGTCCAAAGAACTTGGACGAGGCCATACAGGCCGCATTAGAGACTGAGAATTACGAGAAGGTCGAGAGACAGAGGGCACTTGAGGGAAAGCCAGTCAAGTTAGTTAGGGCTCTCGATTCAGCAACCGATGACCGAGTTGGGAAACTCGAAGTCACCGTGGGTGAACAGTCTGAGGCTTTTTGTAAAGTCGAGTCGGAAGTTGGCAAGTTACAATCTGAGCTCAGTGGACAGGGCCAAAAGTTGGATGCCATCTTGGCCAGATTGTCAGATTTGGGTAGAAGGGGAAGTGCCCCGGTGCAGGTACCTCCTAAGGATCCCAAATTGTTGACGTGTTTCAATTGTGGTGGGAAAGGCCATTTTGCAAGAAGTTGCAAGAAGCCACCCAAGGAAACGAAGTTCCAGCAGGGAAACGGAGACCGGCCAAACGGAGGACCCGCGGGCAGGCTGGAGACTCCGAAGGGTCCTCAACAGTAAAGCACCCCAAGCTTGGTGGGGAAAATGGTTCGCAGGCGACAAGCTACGACAAGAGATTTATTGTGACCCCAAGTGTGGTCAAGAGCCCAAAGCATGGCTTATTTGTGGAAGGAATTGTCAGGAAGACAAAATGCAGATTTTTAGTAGACACTGGGTCGACTGATACATTGATTAGCAGTAGGATCTACTACCAGATGCCAAAAGAGCAAAGGCCTGCCTTGCTCGCACATGAGGTTAGCGTCCAGCAGGTTGATGGTAAACCACTGGAAGTGCTGGGAGCGGCATGGGTAGACATTCAGATTGGTCGTACTATTTCCCCGGTGAAGGCAGTTTTTGCAGAGATAAGATGCGCTGGCATCTTGGGTATGGATTTTTTGTTGACTACAGGTGGGAACTTGGACTTCCTAAGCAAGAGGTGGATGCTCAATGGTGAGAACATCCAATGTACCGATGGTGGAGGTGAACCGTTCATCGGTAGAGTGCTGGTTGCAGAGACCACAGAGATACCGTCTGGTCACGAAGCTGTCGTGCCCGGAGTAGTGGCTGAGAAACGTCACGGGCTGGTTGGGCCAGCAATTGTTGAACCTCTTGAGGGAGGAGGCGAGTTAGCCACGAAAGGCTTAGCGCTAGGGCGATCATTGGTAGAAGCAGGAACTGAGTACGTTCCGCTGAGAGTTTTCAATCCTGGTCGTGAGACCAGGACAGCTAGAAAGGGGACAACCGCAGGAGTTATCTCCGCGGTCGAGTCGGGTGCAATTCAGGTAGGCAAAGTGGCTACTTGTTCCACAGAGCCTGAGTTACCTGAACACTTAGTCGATCTATTCGAACGGTGTAAAGCCAACGTTGACGTAGAACACCATGGGTTGGTCCAAGGGTGTTTGAGAGAATTTCAAGATGTCTTTTCGAGGGTTGAGTTTGACATTGGCCGGACTGATGTGGTTCGACACCACATCAATACCGGAGATGCAAGGCCGGTGAAGGAACGGCCAAGGCGTCACCCATATAGTTACCAGGAGGAGATTCAGAGGCAAGTTGTTGACCTCCAGAAGCGAGGCATCATAGAGCCTTCTGATAGCCCCTGGGCTGCGAACGTTGTCCTGGTTGGTAAGAAAGATGGGACAAAGCGGTTCTGTGTGGACTACCGGAAGCTTAACGATGTCACCATCAAGGACGCTTACCCAGTGCCACGCATTGATGAGACATTTGATGCGTTGCATGGGGCGAAATGGTTCTGTACCTTAGATTTAGCGTCAGGGTACTGGCAGGTAGCTCTCGATGAAGACGCCAGCCAGAAGTCATCCTTTGTGGTGAGGAATGGTCTCTACCGCTGGAAGTGCATGCCCTTTGGGTTATGCAACGCTCCAGCCACGTTTGAGCGCCTTATGGAGCAGGTCATGAGAGGCCTGCAGTGGGAAATCTTATTGATTTACCTAGACGACATCATTGTGTTTGGTCGAACGGTTGAGGAGACCCAAGAGCGTCTCCGAATAGTGTTGGGTAGGTTGAGAGATGCTGGGCTCAAGTTGAAGCCCAGCAAATGCCATTTATTTCAACGGTCAGTCAGTTATTTGGGCCATATTGTCTCAGCAGACGGGGTGGCAACAGACCCCAAGAAGGTCCAAGCCGTTGCCGATTGGCCAGTCCCTCGATGTGTAAGGGATGTGAGAAGTTTCTTGGGCCTCACATCCTATTACAGGAAGTACATCAAGGGTTTCGCAGAAATTGCGAGTCCGCTCCACGCCCTTACAGAGAAGGCGAGGGAGTTTGTTTGGAGCGAGGCGTGCCAGGTGGCATTTGATGAGCTTAAGGCTAAGCTCCAGTCTGCCCCGATATTGTCCTATCCAATTCCGGAGGGCGATTTTCTCTTGGACACAGATGCCAGTGGAGACGGCATAGGTGGGGTCTTGTCCCAAGTACAAGATGGAGAGGAAAAAGTCCTAGCTTACGCTAGCCGTAAGCTGAGCAAGGCTGAACGCAATTATTGCGTGACACGACGAGAGTTGTTGGCAGTTGTCGTGTACCTTAAGCACTTTCGGCAGTATTTGTACGGCCAAAAAGTGAAGTTGAGGACCGACCATGCCGCACTTCGGTGGTTACTCAACTTTAAGAACCCCGAAGGTCAGGTGGCACGATGGATCCAGATTATT